AGACAAGACAGCGAACCCCCAACTAAGCCCATGAAAAGAACTTTTGATTATCATCAGTGCAGCCTTTAAAGGTTCTATCGACACATTAAAGGAGCGTAGACATTTGCCCGTCCTTGTCGCAGGGGTCTGAGTCCTCTGTGTGTCCTCAGGGCTCCTTCAGGTGTGGCCCCTGTAAGACGGGCTACGTAGGGGACCAGCGGCGGGGCTGTAAGCCGGAGAGGGCCTGCGGGAACGGCCAGCCGAACCCCTGCCACGCCAGCGCCGAGTGCATCGTCCATCGAGAGGGTACAATCGAGTGTCAGGTGAAGGGATTCAACCCGCTGCATCTTGATGGTGTTGCCTAAAAGCAGCTCAAGTAGAACTGAGGATTACATAAAGCATTATCCGTCCTCACAGTGTGGAGTCGGATGGGCCGGCAACGGCTACCTGTGCGGTGCGGACATTGATATCGACGGTTTCCCTGACGAGAGACTGGCCTGTCCTGAGAGGAGCTGTAACAAGGTGAGCGTGCATGACCACAAGACCACAACAAAGCCATCCGGCAAAAACAAATGTTCACTTATGTACATGTGACGATATGCAGAATAAGCAGTGTGTTGGGATGACTGGTAAGAAAGTGTACATTTGTTGCGTTTATATGGTTAATTTCAGTTAAGCATTTAACTGCTTTAGAAACCAAACAAGTTTGAACATAACGGGACCCTAAAATTAAAACAGATTTTAGCAGTTCTCCAACAAAGAGCCTGGTCGTCATGATATTAAATAATCGTATTAACTTTATTGTATTTTAGCCTTTAATACTGAGGGTGTTTTTTGCCTCTTCAGGATAATTGTCTCACTGTTCCCAACTCTGGTCAAGAAGATGCCGATGGTGATGGACTGGGAGACGCCTGTGATGAGGACGCAGATGGGGACGGGATCCTCAACATGCAGGTGATGCAGAAAAGACAGGGATACATCCTAAAACATAATTTAGACAACATAGAAACGATTAAAACGCCTGTGTTCATCTTTGCAACAGGATAACTGTGTGTTGGTGCCGAATGTGGACCAGAGGAACATAGATGAGGACGACTTTGGCGACGCCTGCGATAACTGTCGCGCCATTAAAAACAACGACCAAAAAGACACGGACGTGGACAAATCCGGTGATGAGTGTGATGAAGATCTTGATGGGGATGGTTGGTTTTCTACATATTTTTGCACCCTCTCACATAAATGAGGATTTGAAGCTGCGAATGCAAGTACCAATATATATATTTATCATATTAATATTAGAGGCCTATAATGAGAGTTATGATTGTATGGATGAACACACAGCTAAAGCTATATGCAAAAAAACAGGCTATAATGGAGTGGGAAGGGACAAACTATGAAATGACTTCTACATAAACTGGTCTCAGGAATCCTAAATCAACTGGATAACTGCAAAAGGGTTCCCAACGCTGACCAGAAAGACCGAGATGGGGACAAAGTGGGAGACGCCTGCGACAGCTGCCCTTATGTCCCAAACCCTGAACAGGTCACAAATCAGTTCTTCTTTTACAAATGGTGCCTCGAAATTGACAAAATATATCTGATATCTGAAAGCACTTTCAGGTGAAACGCAGAATAGAGCAAAATGAATCGGGCATAAATAGGACATGCACATTAGGGTTAAGCTTCTCTAAAGAAATAAGTCATGGACAAATATTTCAACAATCAAAGCTTCTAACTCAACAATTCAGAAGTTTGACATCCTTCGTAATAATGAAAGAATTCTGTAATTCATTAATTGTTTTAAGATTTAACCACTAAGAACACTGACCAATTATTCTTTTTAACTACTCACCTTTTTCACACTAAAAAAAGAATGAATTTAATCTTTCTTAGACGGACGTGGACAACGACTTGATTGGCGACCCCTGTGACACCAACAAGGACAGGTACAGTGTGACCTCACCAACCCCACCGCATGTATTCATCCAACCCGCGGTGCGACTATAGTGCACCGGAGAGCAAAGTCTGCATGTGCCAGTAAAAGCCTCCCGTGTCCAGTGACGGCGACGGTCACCAGGACTCCCGGGACAACTGCCCAGCCGTCATCAACAGCTCCCAGCTGGACACCGACAAGGACGGCGCGGGAGACGAGTGCGACGATGACGACGACGACGACGGCGTCCCGGACCTGCTGCCCCCCGGCCCGGACAACTGCCGCCTGATCCCCAACCCTCTGCAGGAGGACTCCAATGGTGGGCGACGGCCGGGACACGGAGGGCGAAGAAGCGAAGGGTTTGTCTCTGAGGGGAGTTCTCACGCGTGTCTTCTCAGGTGACGGCGTGGGAGACATCTGCGAAAAGGACTTCGACAACGACACGATCGTCGACACCATTGACGTTTGCCCGGAGAACGCCGAGGTCACCCTCACCGACTTCAGGGAGTACCAGACCGTCGTTTTAGATCCAGAGGGAGACGCACAGATCGACCCCAACTGGGTGGTGCTGAACCAGGTTAAACGCTTCTCCCCGTTTCGCTCGTGTGCGTTTTGGGTCTCAGGATCCTAAAACGTCTTGACTATCCACCCCTCTGTTTGCGTAGGGAAGAGAGATTGTGCAGACCATGAACAGTGATCCTGGGTTGGCTGTCGGTAAGAGCCCTTTATTTAAAAGAATGGTTTGACATTTTAACAAATATACGTGCTTTCTTGATGAGTTAGATGAAAAGAACGCTATCGGTAGTTTAAATGAGTTGTGCGCACATCCCCAAACCTGGATAGCTATTGGATAGAAATAAAAAAGCAGTTAAAGAGAACTTCAATAGCTCCCTTTAATTAAAGGATCTTCTACCAGGGTACACGGCCTTCAGTGGTGTGGATTTCGAGGGAACATTTCATGTGAACACGGAAACGGACGACGACTACGCAGGTTTTATCTTCGGGTACCAAGACAGCTCCAGCTTCTACGTGGTGATGTGGAAGCAGGTCGAGCAGGTCTACTGGCGGCCAAACCCGCTCAGAGCCGTGGCCGAACCAGGCATCCAACTGAAGGTAGTCCTACGATCCAGCCCGCTGATATGTTGCAGAGATTCAACTGTGTCTTTTCTAATAACGCTTCATTTAGGATTGATGAATTTATTATTAGCTAATACATCAATGATATAATGTATAGAATTAGAATAACTGTTGGGTTGCCAGGTTATGCAAAATCCTCATTAGGGATGTTCTTCTTTTAGAAAAGCATCCTGCCATTCCAAAACATCTAGAGGGGCTTGCTACAAGTTGTAAATGTTAATAACTTTATAGATGGATGTTGGTCCGGAATCCCAAGAGTTCCGACACACGTCTGCAGACTGGACACCACACGCCACGGCATTAAAAGATCAGACCTCTTGATGCTTGTGTTTTGAAAAGGCCGTGAAGTCAGACACGGGACCGGGGGAGAACTTGAGGAACGCCCTGTGGCACACCGGCGACACCAGCGAGCAGGTCAAACTGCTGTGGAAAGATGCTCGCAATGTCGGCTGGAAGGACAAGACTTCGTACCGCTGGTTCCTTCAACACCGACCTGCCGACGGCTACATCAGGTACTGAACGAGAGAGCCAGAGGATGTTTTGTCTTTTTCATTTCAGTCCAGCTTTGGGGCGGGAGCAATTACTCCCAAAAGACAATGAAGAAACTTCCAAAGACACTCAGTTTCTAACAAACACACAAGTCATAAACCAGTTTGTTGCCGCCTGACAAAAGCTTCTCTCCGGCGGTGTGCAGAGTTCGCTTCTACGAGGGTCCCAAGATGGTGGCGGACACGGGCGTCATCATAGACTCCACCATGAGAGGAGGTCGACTGGGGGTCTTCTGTTTCTCCCAGGAGAACATTATCTGGGCCAACCTGCGCTATCGCTGCAATGGTAAGACAAGTTTCCCATTGTGAAATCAGGAGATTTAAATCAGCATCAATATGGATGTTTTAGACTTAAGTATAAAACTTGTGGCCAAAATATGTTTAAGAGCATTCTGGTAGAATCTGGGCAGGTGGACTCATTTTTGCTAGAAAAAATAGAAAAAAGAAATAGAAATAGAAAAATAGATGTACAAATGCAGCCACAAATGTTGAGATATTTTATTGCTCAACTGTTGAGTATTTTGCCTTTGAGCTGTCAAAACGGAGATTTCCCCTCACGTGGTTTTCCATCTCCAGACACCCTTCCTGAGGACTTTGACACCTACAGAGCCGAGCAGGTCCGGCTGGCCACCTGAGGACAACAAACAAGCCACAGGAATCCTGGGAAACCCTTTTCCACCAGCACAAATGGGATCAAATCCTCCCTTTTCAAACATTTCTAAAAAATAAAGAAGCAGAAAAATGTCAGAGAGGTGGTAACATAAGTTACGTTATTAAGCCGTTACAAAAAGAAAGACATTCCTGTCGTTTTGAGAGCAAATGTTGTCTATTGTATATTTCTATTTCAAATATCAATATGTACTAGATTTAATTATTAATGATAAATACATTTGGATTTTGATAATGCATTTTGATTTACTTATTTTGTGACGGTAGAGCGGATTGTGCATATATCAAAATATAAGACCTAAATTATAAGCTATACAAATATATTGTTTATATATATATATATATATATATATATATATAATCATAATCGGCTCTTTGGCTTTAACGTGATGCATGCATCACGTTCTGATGCATGCAAATGTGCAGAAATCATTTAAGAATTTGCCAAATCTTTTTTGATAACGCAAATTGATTCCAAATTTGTTCATTTAAATTAACGAAATATAAATGTAACATGTAAATGTTTAAGCACTGTCATATATACCTCTACTGCAAAAAAGGTCAAACAATTTTAAGCAATAAAAGTGACTGGGACAGCTTTTAGTGGAAATCACACAAGCATGCATATATCCAAAATAATCTGCATAATACAGATTCAAAATAGAAATAATAATAAAGACAATATACAACAGGATCAAAACCCCGAGCATCAGCAGCAAACAGCGCAAAATGACTTCAGACAATTGTTTTTAATGAGCATATTCTGCAAATCAAGACGGTGTGCAGAGAAGAATCTGTCTTCCACATTCAATTTAATTGACATTTTTCTTTCATGTTATAAACAAACTGTCACATAAGGAGAATCACATGGCAACAAATAAATAACTAGATATTTTACTACAACTTACAGGACAACAGTGATATTATGCTATTCTCACTATACGCTTTAAGTGCAACTTAAACTGTTTTTTTCCCCCCAGAAAGTAGTTGTAGGTATTTTGAAAACCCTGTGTTGTTAATGGGACAATTTAACGAGAACCTAAAACCCTCTCAGAAGGAGCATAAAGACCGAGCAGCAGGACTTTCCGTATTATCCTGGGACGGAGGATCTCACCCCATCTTTTAAACCCTTAGAGCAGGTCTTTGGACTGCAGGGGGGAGCAGGTCTTTGGACCCGGAGGGAACACGCAGACTTCCACACAGAGAGAGGCCTCCTTGTGCTCACCACCACTCCGGGACCGGGGATACGCCTCAAAACACAGCAGCCCCATCCGAGCACCGCTCAGTCCTCAAAAACACTTTTCTATTGCTGTTTTTTTTTGTTTTTTTTAAAACACAACACAAACGTAAGCTGTGCTCACAAGTAATGCAAGTCAACCGTGTCCAAACAAGGCAGATGAGTCGCCATTAGAAAACACACTTTGAGCTGATTAGTTCTTTTCATCGGTTTGGAACGGACTTCCATCTTTTGCTAGTTGGCCTTTTTTTGTCTGCAAAAGTTTGTGAAATTAGCCCAAAGTGCTAACATACTTGAAACGTTTTAGAATTCCATATTTGTCTACCCAGAAAGGGTCGAGCAAAAAAAGATCCAACTTTAATCAAAAAGGTGCATTAGCCGTCTGATGTGAACTAAAATGGAAAGCCGTTGGCTAATCTAATTACCAAACCTGTGACTTTTGAATACCTACATCAAACTATTTGTTAACTTTCAACTTCAAAAACACAATCGAGTCCAGTGAGAGCTTTCAAATAGAGTGAATCAAAGTAAAATATGTCCAGTAACTCTTAACGCACCGTATTTTCATGGAGCTGGGAATTAGTTGCCATATTGTAGTTTGAATGCAATAACATTCTTCATGTGCAAAACACTCATTTTGCCAAAGTGAGAGTGTGTGCAGCACTGTACGGTGTTCTGGAAGCAGAACGTGGACTCAAAGTGACGATGCTTCTCTTGAGTATTATCGAGGCGACAACCACCTTCCATCTATCGTCACTGTCAGAGCCGTTAATCACGCAAACTGCAATTTTTCATGTGGGGGGAGATATGACCAACAGAGAGACATTCGGAGTACCGTTCCCTTTACAACACGAGAATGCAAGCTGCACTGGAGGAAGCCCTTTCTAGTTTTGCATCCCCGATGATCTTCACAGATTAAAAAAAATTAAAAAAAAACAAACGAGGAAAAACAAGACGAGCCAAATCCTAGTAGACAAAAGCAGAGAATGTCTTTAAACAATCTCTGCATAACTGGAACAAACCTCTGCACATTACATATGTAATATAACAATCAGCTCCACGTGACCGTGGTGTCATGCAGTTGACGGCGTGACGCACAAGCTTCACAGGTCCAAGTACGCAAAATCATCCGCAATCCGCAATCCCCGCCGCCATTTTCTCTAGAACGGCCAAAAGGGTTGTGCTGACGGGACAGGAAGGGGCGGGGTCGACGTTAGCAGAATCCATAGACTTCTAACAGGCGAGATGCTGAGAGGGGGGGGAGGGGCTGGTGAGCAGAGAGCAGAAGAACCAGTCTGATCCTTCAGTGACGAGAGCAAAAAGAAACAAACTCAAAGCCGGCTTAAACCAGGACACTGCACCAGGAAAATACATTCTTATCATTGTTGAAGAAGCATCATACAGAAGGTCACAGAGTCACTTAACAGGAGTTAACCGACACAGAGGAGAAACCCACACCCCCCTTTACACGGTGTGATAGTATTACGTTACACAAACCCAACCTGCTATAGAAGGCCTTCGCTTAGAGACGAGTCATGCATTCTGCTTCGGCTGCAGCGTATGTACAAGGTCAGCGCGGACGACATGTTGTCTGTAGAGAATGAGTTCATGCATTTGTTTCAGAGACTTAAAAAATAATTTAAAAAAATAAAAAACAGCTTCTGAAAGTTGTTGTGTACCTCGAGAGCTTTTTGTGTGGTTTTGGGTGACAGGCCAATAAACTAACATCCACATAACAGAACTGTTCCATTGATTGAAACCGTCGAAAGAGAGTCGAGGTTTTGCATCAGTTCCTTTAGGATCTGCAAGAGGTTTTCTCTTACCGTGTCTCTTACAGGGACACAGCGAGACGCTTGTTGCGGTGGACAGTCGGAGTCCGAGACAACGTAGGAAAATGACCAACTGAAGAGATAGCGGTTCACAGAAAAAGATTCCAAGTAGAGCTGGATTCATGTTCCTTGTTACTCTGCGATAGAAATACATGTATTGATAAGCGTACGATTTTACTCGTTGATTGTCGTAGCACCACTGCAAAGCGCAACATAATCAAATGCACGCAGCTCACATCGCTCTTTCTCCCTCACTTAATCTTAAATCACAAATGTGCACAGAATGAGCCTTCATAATTTAGTTATGTCGAATAGAATAAATGAGAATAAATCCAGCTCAACTCCCGGAACGTTGGAATAAACACAAAATATCAGAGGAGGAATTTTGTTTTCTGCAGATCTCATTTGCATAGGAATCACATATTGGTCGCAGGCAGAACCATTAATGCAGAATTACAGCGGACATCAAACACTTCTAAACGGGTTCAACGGTAGTCGGACCGAAAAGAACGAGCGTGATTCCTTTTCGGGAGAGAAGGGGTTGAGTGAACGCTTAGCACATCTGCACACGAACGTTACGACATATCGAACATGATCTCTCTCACACACACACACACACACACACACACACACAGGGAAGCTCTGACAAAAGGCCAAGGCAGGTTTAAGTTTGACACAAGTTGTTAAACACATTTTAGCAAAGGATGTAGTCAGAGATAATATCAATATGTACATTTTCAGATGAAGAATTTGTGTAAACATTTCACGGTAAACAATTCTAGACTACCGCGTATCCTTGGTGAGACATTTCATTTGGAACACTGAATTTTAGTTCATTAAATTAAAAAAACACCCTGCTTTAGTAATAATCTCTGAAACAGTTTGCATGAAAACAACCATTTGGAGGCTTCAATAATATTAAATGTCCAACAATCAATTGTTAAAATCCCTTTACTTGCTGTCGACCACCTGTGTGACAAAGGCCATTAGCGTTTGTTAGATCTTCCCTGTGAAGGAGCAAAAAGCCTCCCCAAAATTGCACTCCATCTCAATCACTTTGAACCCATTCTGAGAAATGTTTTCTGTTTTTTTCCCCGATTTAAAACAAAACAAAAAACTATTTGGCTATAAACTGTACAGATACATAATACAGTACATTGATTCGTCAAAACTTACACTTAACGTGACCACAAATACTGACGGAAGGTCGAGTTCCTCTCAAATACAAGAAAATGTTACAGTAAATTACGAAAATACGTTGTCACATATGACACTTAAGTAGACCAGTATATTACTCATGTAAGGCAAAATCAGGTGATTTCACAGTGACGACTTAAAAATATTTATATTTATATTAAGATTTTAGTGTTTAAAAGCAGACAGGCTCCTTTACTGAAAAGAAGTTTAGTTTAGGTGTGTGAGATTATATATATTATTTTACTTTACACTTTTAACTGGCAGAAAATTAATTTAGACTTGTTTTTTCTTGCTTTCTAGTTTAATAGAAATACCTGATGATTTTCTCAGAAAAAGTTAATTCGAGTGGCGTAGAAACGACCCACCAGCGGAGCACGCAGCATTTTCTGGCGCTGTGCTGAAAACTGTGATATTTCAATTTGACCATTGGGCCGCAGGACGTCCTACATCAGAAAATCACGTCAAACACCAAAGAGCAACTGTGGGGAGGTTTTGCACTCTTTCATTTACCAAGTAGCTTAACAAACACATGTATAAATATGTTGGTAATTCATAAATAGACACATTACATCAGTGCAACTTCACACTAACCCTACAGAGAGCATTTTGGCATCAACTTTAAATTCTGAACAGGAATATAAAAATCTATAACTCAATAAATAAACACGTAAACGCAATGTATTAAAACATACAGAAAACGATGGAAATAACATTTGGTTGTCAAAAATAAAGCTTTATGTGGGGGAAAGAAAGCTGTGACAGCACGATGGGAAAACCGACTGCACGGTCAACGCCGGCTGCGGTTGCGGCCTGTAAAAACGGGTACAGTTTAGCCCAACGTCCCAGCATCTTCCTGCTACGAGCAAATATCAACAAAACAAATATCAAAGTGGATATGAGAAGAAAAACAAACGTTTTGGCATGTGGGGCATGTAAGGGCATACTGTAAACACAGCAGGCTAGCGAAAGCGCTGAATCTCATTCAAAACGACAGCGAGGCCATTCCGCTGGATGTCTTTCCCCCCCACCCCGGTTGTCTTTTGGAGGCGCATCCTTTCAAAGGGCTTCACGGAGTCGAGGGCGAGATCAGACAGCTGGACGGCCATGCAACGAGGGAGAGGGTTCATCCGTTCATCCCTTTGTTTCTCTCCTTTCACAAGCTAGGTGTGTGTGTGTGTGTGTTTGTTTTTTACTCTTTCCTCTCCTCCTTGCGTTACAGCCGGTCCATCCTGAACGTGTCCTCTGTGGCAGGGTCGGCAAGAACCATGTCGGGGTCATTGAGCATGTGCAGTCCGTCCAGGGTGAGCGGGTCAATCTTCAGCTCGTCCAGAGGGAACTGAGAGTCCGCGTCAAAGCTGACGTCGCCGACGCCCGCCAGGGAGTTGGTGAGCTCTTTGGAGAGGCTCGGCGGAGACTCTCCTGTGACTGATGACGTGACACCACAGACAGAAAAAGAGGGTGCTGACATCGGAGATTTAAACAAGGCAGATTCACAGATTCATAGATATTATATGTGAATATATTAATATCATATCATAGATTTTTATAAACCTCAACAACTTGTAACTCCTACGAGAAGAGAGCAGAAGTCAATTTCATTCTTGGAAAGTATGCTGCTGCCTTGTACATGAATCCAAAACTGCTGCACCCAGATAACCTGAATCCACCTGTGTGTGCGCGAATGAGTCCATGATGGTCACTGTTAAACAACGGTCGTGAGGTTAAAGGGTATCTGATGGACTGTCTGATGGGTTGGTGTCGCTACCTGTTAGGATAATGTTGGGGATGTTGCCATGGCTACTGTAGCCGAGTTGCTGCGAGTCCTGCAGGCTGCTCCCGGTGAGGCCCATCATGGCGGCCTGCGTGTAGTTGAGGGTGGAGCACTGGTTGTAAAGGATGTTGGAGGTGATGGGGTTCTCGATCATGTTGAACTGCTCCAGCTATAAAAAAACAAAACAAAATAAGAAGTAATAGAAGTAAAGAATTGTAACAGGAGGGAGAACGTTTTCGGTCGTCCGCTGCTCGTCGCTGGAGCGCTCGGTATCACCTGGTGAGAGAGGGCATTGGTCTGCCTCAACGCCATCTGCTGATCGTAGAAGGAGTCGCCGAATATGCTGCCCACCACGGGGATGTGCTGCAGGGAGAGAAGGAAGCCACAAACCTCAGAACTAATGTCAAGAGAACAGCGACAATTGAAAACACAGTGACCGGAATAGCCAGAAGATGATTTGTCCGGGCTCATGAGGAGACATTTTAGCAATGGAACAACAGAAAACACAAGCAAAAACACTGTCCGACTGGGCAGCAACCAAAGAAAATGCTTTTCATAACCAGGGCCGTAGTGGTTTAGAGACAAAAAGAAGAGGCTTGTGAAACCCGAGAAAACATGAAGTGATACGCTTATAGTTGTTAAATTAAAAAAAAGAAAAATCCCAAATACAGATATGAAGTGGAAATATAGATGCGTGTTGCCCACCACAACCCTGTTGACTATGACACACACAACGCAAAATTTGGGTCCCCGTCACACTTTTACCAGATTCTGATATTTTTGTCCATTAAGACGGTCATGGTAGCACTTAACTCTGTAGCTCTGTTGTAGCCGTATGACTTAAATAGACCCCCCAACAGCGTCACAAAAACATTTTTGACCAAACCGTTGACAACCAGGACAATGAACGAGCGGCTGCACTAAATTGACGTATTAATTAATAACGGCTTCAGCGTTTCCTAAATCTCAAATGCAGCGATGGCAAGTAAATTGTCACAATCGACAAAAAGTGGGAACACTGCCCAGGTTGAGAAATGCAATTTACTACAATTACAACTACAATTTTCCTTCAAAGTAATGTCTCTGAATCCGTGCACCAAAGCAGAGAAAACCTGTACTGTAAAATTTGTATATATTACACACACACTTACTCTCTTGTGATTTCCCTCTCATACTTGCATTATGGTTCTCACTTAAAAATGTTTTGACCCCCCCAATATTCCACTGAAGTGGCAAAAATGTGCTGCAGCAGATATGCAGCAAGGCACCAATAAAAGACAGAGGAACAAGGCTGGGAGCTAATAAACTTCGAGATAACATTTCCTAGGAGGAGGGAAACGTTAAGCACATAGAAGCTTGCCTTGCCTTTCTACCGAATGCTTTACTGATGTTGGGATGATCTTTCCCGCAGGAGGAAGAGTGACCGGTATGCTTTATGTGCATGTGGATAGCAGATGTGAAGCTGAACGGTCCAATCCTTCTAGTTCACAAACTGGCCAATAGCGATAATGAATCCTTATTATTATTACATGGCAGAATATAAAAATTAAATAACAGGGCCTCCATCAACAAACTATCTCCATATTGTCATGCACACAGTGAAAAGTGACAGTGGTGATGCAGAAATGAGTTATGCAGCCGTTGACACCATGAGTGGCTAGGATGAGAAGCAGCCTAAACGGATCTACAATTAGCTTTCCCCGAGGCGCAAAGCCCTTCCCCAAACAGCAGCCAGCTCGGTGGGTGGGCCCTTACTTGAGGCGAGCCGCCGGGGGAGAAGCCTTGATTGGAGACTGGGGAGGTTGGAGACTGAGTGGCTGGTGAGCCAGTCTGATTGCGGTACTGTTGGAGGGAAGAGGGTTAGCTAGCACTAAGCTCCGTGCGGGTCACACACAAATCTCACAGAATGTGAGGAGGCATCACCCTGCGATCTGGTCATTATGTACAATGTGCATAAGTAGAAATAATAACAATCACCACTAGATAGATTGCAGGAGAAAACGTAGCTGGCCAATATGTTTTCACATCGCAAAAATGTGATTGTTAGAATAGTAACATCTCCCGGTCCCACTTTTGTTAAGAGGTTGTTGAACAGAGAATGGTCAAAGATACACATCTATATATCGGTATTCTGTTAACACAAACTCCATCTACCACCCCTGACACAAAAACTGAAAAATAAACAATGAGAAGAATGCAGCCCAGTCCGCTTTGAAGGGGTTGCAGGGATCTTCCTTAACTAGAACATACAAGTACTAAAATGTAACGGCAGGGGTCATCTGGTAGTCCGGAGTCAACATATACTGTAGTCCTCATGAAAATTTAAAATCAGGGTCTTAATCCAGTAGAATAACATCATATGAAGATAGTTACTTGGATATAATCTGCATTGCTGAGGACTTCTCAGGACAATATGCCAAAAGGAACAAGAGCTTGAAATTAAGCAAAATGGTTCCATTGTTATCTCCGCTTTATGACCCGACTTGCCGGTTTCTTACCGAGCCGATGCTGATGCTGTTAGTGGTTTGGCTCATGCTGTCTGGCGAGGGGCTGCTGGTAGTGGTACCAGGTGAGGCCAGCGGTGGCAAGGTGATGAGCTGGATGCCCTGCGGCAGCGCCTGCTGCTGCTTCTGGAGGTCGCTGAGGAGCTGAGCCTGGGCCTGAGCAGTTAGCTGGTTGAAGATGGGGTACTGCGACAGCTGCTGTTCCAGGGTCATCAACTCCGTTGCCACGTCCTGAGGAAGGACGCACATGCACCATGTTTAGCCTGGTCCCGTTAAAAAGTGAAAGAGCTGATTTGGCAAGTTGGACTGTCACCATGCTATAAACCACATGTTATGATCCATAGTTAGTGTAGAGACATACTTATTTTAAAAGACAGCGATGTGTTGATATTCTCTTTGGCCAGATGTATGGGGCTAATAGCCACAACTGCAAAGATTTAGTCCACAACTTAAAGTCACAGCTCACCTGCGTGATATTAACGGGCGAGGAGACGGTGGGCGAAAGCTGCTGTGGGGACTGCTGGAGATGGAGGTCAGAGGTGAGGGTGAGCGGCACCACGGGGGGCTGCCGGCGTTGAGTTGTTACGGTCATGGTGGGCTGAGAGGATGTGGGGATCCCTGACGAGGAAATAACAAAATTGAGTATCCCACTCGAATCAAATCAAGTAAAACGTGCATTAAAAACAACAAAAAACAGCCAATACCACCTAAAGAACTTAAAGAAAACTGAATATTCATTTCCAAAAACTGCAAAAAATACCAAGTTGAAAGTATACATCTCTGAGCTACCTAGAAGTTGATTAGCAGTGAGTTTCCTCCACATTTGTAGCTTTTGGCCCCTTTTGGCGCTTATTAGAAAATGAAATGAACAAAATGAACCTGACCCACCTAATATAAATAGTGGGGTAAACACCGGAGAAAAATACAGATATTGGTTCAAATGGAAATGTATTTTCCATTTTAACAAACTACAGCTGCTACTGAATATGAATTCTAAAACGTCGTCAGGGAAGTGTGCAGTTTAAATGTAATATTCTTAACCTTTATGTGAGAGAAGCAGAATACATTTGAAAACCACAGTAATAAGAATAATCAATCCCCATATGTTTTATGACGCTCACACAGTGGATAGGCTGAGTGATTAATGGTGTTGATTCACATTGATTTAAATGAAAAGCCCAAACTTTCATTCAGCCACCTCTAGCTGCAGTATATTTTTTACCCAACTTGGTGGCTTTCTTTTGTAAGGAAGCGGTTTAACGTCGTCAAACAATGTCTATGCTGTCCAATAGCACGCGTTACCGTGGCTTGCAGCGCTGATGCCCAGGTGGGTGAGGTTTGTGGTCAGGGTGCCCGTGCTGTTGGACGAGCTGAGAGAGGAGAAGGCCACGGTGTCGTCGGGGTCCAGAGGGGTGGACAGCGGTGGAGGGAACTGGATGTTGGTCAGGTCAGGCAGCGAACCACCGGTGTTGTGTGCAGCCGGGATCATGGACGGGTTCAACTCCTGGTCTGGTGACGGGAATATACTGAAAGACACAAGTCATGTCAGACCGGAGAAAAGCTGCCATCATACCATCCAAATGAGGACCTTTAAACCCTGATCAGCCGCCTGGTCATGCTTATCCACTGGGGCATATCACGGTGAGACCCATTTTCCATGGTGCCAAAAGGGCGAGATGAAGTTAGCTTTTCCAGCATTTTCCAGAGAATCTAGACTAGCTGTCTTGTATCAGAGCTCACAGTGCGACGTATTCGTATCTGTGTGACTGACAGACCTCGAGTGGCACTGTACAAAACAATAAAACGTCAAACCACTCACTTGATTCCCGGGACATCACATGTGTTGGGCTGAGATGACTCGTCCTGTGGAGAGAACGCAACAACCAGCCGTAAATCCGAGGTGATTTACACGCGTCATCTTGTGAGCCGTTCCCTTTCAAGTCAGTACCTTCTTGTCATCCCACAACTGTTTCTGCAAGTCCTCGTCTGCGCTTGACTCCGAAGTCTCTGCCCCGGGCGCTGTGAGCAGCAGCACTAATTAGTGACACAGCGGGACACGGTGGCTTCGCCAAAACAACATGCATAACAAACCAAATTCAGTTCAAAGACGTGAGTCATCAATAGCGTGTTGAGCGCGAAATAGTCCTGTACACTAGATTCCAGGGGGTCTATAAATAGCAAGGAGACCAACTGCCAGCTAATCTTGGCTCCATCATAGGAAAGCTTCACAAATTAAAACACAGAATCCATGTGTAATCAGAGTATTATTGATCCTCCTCTCAACCGCATCGTGAATCAGCTCATTCCAAAAGTGTGTCTTCTCCGCAGGACCGTGGCGGCACGCTGAAGCCGTTTCTTTCCAACAGGGATCATTATGCATTTACTCCATAAATATTTAATCAAGTCACTAGATCTACTTCTTTGTGACATCCCTGCCTGCATTAGTCCATCGGACATAAATAAATGAAAGCGCCTAGTGTCTTTGTAACTGGATCTTCCGTTACCTCGTTTGGGCTGCAGCTCCTGGGATCCCCCGGCAAAAACCTCCTGGGCCTTTGGATTCATGGCGCTCTGGTGTAAAGCAGAGTCCGAATTTGTCCTGTGTGTGTGTGTGTGTGTGTTAGAAAGACGAGAAGTCAGCAAAGCCACTGGCAAAGACCCACACGTACTGCATCACATCCATAAGGAACCACAGTCTGCTACAGATCTTTTGCAGCTAAACAACCCTTCTGTGGGTTGCCTCAGAAAGTGTTGTACCAACAGAAATGCATGTTTTAGTAATGGAGCGGTGTGTATTAATTAGGTCATGATTTTGGCAAAGGGATGAGGGGAGTTAGCTTACCTTCTCCAGCTGGTGTCTGGCGGTGGGGAGAGGTAAACTGAGCTGTAGGGACAGCTGTCGATGTGAATCTAGTTAAGACAAATACAGTAGGGGGATAAAAAAGATGGATCTCAGATAATCCGTACTTTCTGATGGCGGAGTTATTGAGAATCAATTACTGAGCAGGTTTCAGCCAGTGTCTTGTAATCTATTATTGTTTTCATTTTCATGAACACCCCTGTCAATTGCATTGTATCATTTGATATCAAAATCTCATGTATTTATCATCCCCAAGTATGAATTGAAAGCTCACATCTGTCATAAAAAATACAAGAATGACTTTGGATTTCATTGTATTTTGGGTTCCCAAGAAAATCCCACAATGCTGGAGAAATCTGTGTTGACCGTTCAAACTTACTCACAATGCTACATCGCTAAACATGCAAACACAAACAATGTTTAAGCACGCCACGAAACCTTAAAAGCAGCACCCAATGCTGAAAAAACCCAAACAAAAAGGATATCTGGCGCCCTTGTTTGTCGACGGACGGCGGCCGGCGGTGAGGAGAGGTGATGCGGTTCCGGTCACGGTAAACGCGCTCCACCAGTCCGTGATGCCGGGTTGTTCGACTGGTGTCCAGCACGGAGTTCTGGGGCGAACACAGCAGGTGCATGAGGACAGCGAAACAGCTTAAATCACACAACAAAAACTACGTTTTAGGATTAATGGTGCACATGCGTTTTATTTCAAAATGAGTCAAGCCATGGGTCCCCGATACCAATGCTCGAGTTAGCAAATGTATTTAAAGATGAAAAGCCATGACAAGCAATGATGTACTTTGGAATTTAGGATCCAAATTACACTGCAGGGCTCATCTGGTCTATCTTGTCTTACATATCTGTGGTTTCTTTTCGCTCCTGTACCGCAATAAAATGTGGTCCGACTAAGCAGCTGTGAGCAGCAGCTAATTTCTGGACACCTTGCTACTGTCATAAATCAAGGCTAAGCCTGCAGACTTCTCCGTTTTGATTTTTCACCGATACTACAAATAACTGCAGCCTTTGCATGTCCCATATTATTACCAAACAGCTAAGAAAGGTACACCCATAGAGAACACACCAATGATTTACCATCAGAGAGAGGCTAAGGGCTCACCTGAAAAGGCAGGTCAATGTTGCCATTTCCAATCTGATTGACATTGGGCAGTGAGCCTCCATAGTACTGTCCACGATTCTGCCCTAGTTGCAAATACTGGGTCTTCTGAAACTGCAACTGTGCAAAGTAAAATTGCATGAAAGCATGAGTGAATGACTGACCTGAACCCACAAATAAAATTTAAAATGAATGACACCCGTAATCCACAGTGGTGAAATGAGAGACTAAATGAGTCAGTTGAAAGATGAAACACGAGGAGACAGGCAAATTGCCTGTTTTATGATCAATCAAGGAGGCAGACAACATCTTTCATTGGAACGAGGTAAGGCTGATGTCACTGACACCTGACTGACAGGTGGGGTGATTACAGACGTCCCATGGGAGACACACCTGGTGAGGACGTTGGCCACACGTCTCAGATTCATTACATAAAACACTGTGATGGAGGTACTCTTTCAACAATGATGGCGTTGATCTGAACAAATGCAATGGTTTAATGTTGAGATGACAAAAGAAACAACCGGGCAGAAACCACAGAACTGAGCCGTCAATTTAGTTTTTCCCTCCTGAATTCAATAACAGTACAGCTCAGATTAACACTGATGCATCGTGTGAGAAGTGGGCATTATTTCTACCAATCTGGCTAATAAATATTACATTACATTACATTACAGGTCAAACATTTGCTGGCATCAAGACGTTCCTTCTCTCGTGGTTACTAGAAACAATTTGTTGATTTACTGATTAGTTAGTTTTAGAACATTGGAGGGCAAACATGTTGAAACTAAATATTTTTTTACACAAGAAGTCCAATCTTGCTGCTTTATACTGTATAACGTTTCTTTTGAGTCCAGTGAGTATTTATAAAGGATATTTTCCACTACGTTGTCATACTGAATAAGGTTCAATTCAATTGTTTTGTCTTAAAAATGTAACGTTAGTCCAGCCTCACAGCAGACAGAGACATCTTTAAACTGTTTGTTTTGTTTACCAACAGTCATAAACGGTCATAAACCCCAAATATTTTTTTTTAAATCTAGCAAATGAGCTAATGTAACGGGTGCATTGAGGAAAACATCACTGATGGATCGTTAGCTTAAGCCATCGATCCCACGTTCTTGATCAGCTACAGTTAAAACCCCGCTCCGTGTCGGCGGGTGTCGGGAATGAGCGACCCGTCACCGGCTCCTCCACCTGCACAGGTGCACATTATTCACGGCTCGGTGCGGCTAGCAGCGGACACCCGGCTGATGCTCAACGGCTCGAGCGTGACTTTAAACAACAACAACAACAACAACAACCAGTTCGGTGGTCGCTGACACGCTGTTAAAGCTTAAACAGGACGTGGACGTTTAACTTTTATTTATTTGTTTTTATCTCACACTAACGTTAGCATCCTGACGTCCAGGTCGGTCTCTCGCCGCAGCGGCGCGTCGTCGAGCGCAGAAATCGAGCGACGCGCAAACTTAAGCGCCGGAGTGCGCAGGTCTTACCCGAGCAGCTCTGGTGATGTTCAGGTCTTTCATCACCTCTTCGAACGCGGCGGTTTCCTCCGCCTGTTTCTGATTGTGCAAGGCGATTTTTTCGCTAAATTTACGAGGATTGTTAGAGGACGCCATCTTCCCCCCCCTCCTCTTCTTCTCAATGGAATGTTACGTTACGCGCCACGCCGGGGCCCTCGCGGGGTCGTCATCACGCACGGTCAGCGGCGCGCGTCGACGTCTTCTACGCGCTTTGGATCAGCTGATGACAGCGACGGGGGCGTGAGAACGACTTTTTACACAGTGCAGATTAGTTTTCTGGGTTTTTTTTGTCAAGTCACACTCGCTTACATTTTCACCAGAGAATCAAATTCATCTTTAACTTCATACATTTATTTTTTCAGTTCATACCAAAATCAACTGTAATTTAAGTTAAGGGTGTCTAGCTTATATTAAGATATGTTGATTCATTTTACATTAGGTTTGGTCACGGTTTCATACATTATTTTACCCTTGTTAAGAGAAAGCAATGATGTAACAATTGTCACACACACACCTACACTCTTGCAGCTGGATGCACTGATCATATTCCTAAAAGACAAATATAAATATAAAATTACGTAGACCGTCTTACTCAACAGAGCACATAACCACAGCACCCCCAGTCTGGTGGTCCATCACACCGTACACAGCCAAAAAGAAAGAACAGAGAAAGCTCTTGGGTACTTTTTAAAACATGATACACCTTTAATGATGCACATAATATGTATAAATGTCTACATTCCTTCTGACGACAGCGGTTTCCGTTATATTGCACTTCAACAATATCGTGTGCTTTTACAGGTACTTGTTACACAAGACAAACACACACTAAGGCAACAGGAGAGACAGGTTTTAAAATGGACACAATCATGTTGATGATTGCATTTAATAGGGCGCAGAACACACACACATTAAGTATAACGGTGACTTCAGCAGCAGAATCAGATCTGTGATGAATAAAGCTTCGTAAATTGCAACAATGTAGTCAAAATAAAAACATGTGCGAAACAGAGCAAATGGTTCATTTAGGTAGTTTTTGGGTGGAAAATCATTTTTTGAGAATAGTTTAGGTATTAAAACTGCGTTAGTGCCTTCACGCTGCGCTTATTAAGAGCGAAACGCACACGGTACACAAGATTTAACACGTGTAACATAAAGAGCAGCAGACGACTGACATTACAGCCTGAACACGCATATGAATGATTTATGTAGCGGAGACGACGACGACAACAACATTCAACAATTAGGGTGTCGCTTGAGATTTCAGCTCAGGAAACAACCAAAAAATATCACTAATAGACAAAACAACCCGTTAACATGGAATATGCAATTCCGGGCAAAACACAAACACGACTCGTGTTCAATTGTGCGATCATTACTGTGCATTTGTTTATGAGAACATTTGAGGACACATGAAAGCATGAGATTTCAGTTATCTCAGTTGTTTGAATACAAATTCTTACAAAACATTGCAACTAAAAAAATAAATAATAAAACACTGACAACTTAACAATCAAAATGCCTAACAAAGGTCAAGTTGAATAATACCTTTACAAACACATCAACTTTCCTTCAAAAATGTCCGGTCTTTAACTTCAGCCCTTGAATGGTAGAACTTATTAACAATCTTTTTTTTTTAAATAAGAACTGCAGAAAATTAAGTTAATGCTATTCAGGAACATTACTTGCATCTTCTCATATGAGGATAAAATTGACAATCAATAAATTATAGAATTCAAAAAGGAAACGACTGAAAATTATTTTCACAGCGATCCTTTCAAACTCTCATTCTAAAGCTTGAATTGGTATCAAAAAGAAAATATTCCTGCTGTTATGAACATTAAAACCAGAATTTGTTGCGTGAAGGATTCAACACACTGTGACAAAAACAAGTGTGTTGAATCATGCAGCTTCAAATCAAATGCAGCTTAGCAGCCTTTCAGGTCCTTTCCTAGAATGAACTGAGACGGACACACAAAGTCGCACAACGGTAGCTTACGTAACGTCAACACCTTGTGTCGGCTCGATGGCCAGCAGAAAGAGCACGAGGATTCAAACCTTCACAGTCGCAGGTCGGGTGGTTATTGTCGTGTCGTGTTCTGTGGAATAATAATCGGTGTACAAGCGATGCCAGCAAAGGATTCTGGGAAGTGCAGATCCCTCTCCCACTCGTCAGTCTCCACATTGTACACCTGCACGATGCTGGTGACGTTGTTCAGGTGCCAGTTGTAGCCCCCGACGACGTAGATCTTCCTGTCCAATAAACAGCAGCCGGCCTCGGACTGCCCCGCTCGCATGGGACTGACGGTGGTCCACTGGTCGCTCTCGGGGACGTAATACTCAACCGCCAGCACGTCGAAGCAGCGGTCCACGTGGTCCATGCGGCCGCCCAGAGCATACGCCCGACCGCCGGCGGCGATCATGGCGTGCAACACCCTGGGTTCGTTCATCGGGGCGCCGAAGTCCCACCGGTCCGACGCTGGGTCGTAGCACTGAAGGCTTTTCTTGTCTTCCAAGGAGACGCCGTAACCCCCCGACACGTACAGCTTTTCTCCGCAGGGAGTCCCCGCGTGACCCCAAATCCTGCGTTTTAAAGGCTCCACATTGCTCCAGACGTTCCTCCCCGGGCAGTAACACTCCACGGACGACAGGCTGCCGGATCGATTGCGCCCGCCGGTGGCGTACAGCCGCCCGCCCAGCACGGCGAGCTGGAACTGGATGCGAGCCTCCTGCAGGGGCTGGATGCGCAGCCACCGGCTCAGATGCGGGTCGTAGCGGAAACAGCTGTCCACCGCTCCCTCGCCGCTGCGGTACTGCGAGCGCTGCCCCCCGACGACGTAGACAAAGTTGTCGAGGACGGCGACGCAAGCGTGGCTGCACCCCGTCTCCATCTCCGTCAGCTCTTTGAACTGACGGGACGCCGCGTCGGGGAGATGGTACACCTTGTTGCTCACCGTGCGGTCGTTGTCGGTGTAGGGCGTCCCGCCGAAGGCGATGGCCGACAGGACGTCGGAGCGTATGGCCGTCCGCGAAGAGCGCATCTCGTGCTGCCGGAAGGGGAGGATCTGGTAATTGAAGGCCTCGAGGAGATACTGCCGACACAGCACGTCCTCCACCATGATGTCCACCGTCTGGACGCTGTCCACCAGCTCGGAGGAGCGCATGAGCGGGAAGCGCACGTGGCAGAGGACGCCGCTGGCTTGAGCCCGGCGGGACTCGTCGTACCGGAGCCACCGGATGGCGGCGTGGAAGAGGTCGATTTCGCTGCAGTTCCTCAGCTCGTTGCTCTGCAGGAAGAAGACGAGGCGCTCGGCGGGAATGTGCAGGAAGTCTTCCTCCTCCGCGATCTGGAGGAAGTGGCGGAAGGTGAAGGCATCCACCGACTCTTTGAGGGAAGACAGGCTGAAGGTGGTGGCCATCTGGCCAATGTGCAGGCAGGTCTCCACGCTCATCGCCGACTTGAGGAACTCCTCACAGAGCTCCACGACTGGGACCATCTGGAGGAACACAGCTGCCCCGAGGACATCCTGAATGCAGTCCAGGTCTAAAGTGACTTCTGCACTGTAGGCAAAGTCAATGATATGTTTCAGCCCACGGGCGGAGAGACCCTTCAGCTCAATGGTGTCTTGACTGGACTCCTTCATGCCTCCAGTAAACATGGCTCTGTAACACAAGAACAAGTCGGGGAACTACAGGATAAGTCTGTTCCTTCCTAATGCAAGCATTGACTTTGTCTGACTTCACAGAACTTATATGAAGTGGAAAACAGTTGCATTGTTTGGTTCAGGTCCACTGAAAACCAACTAATGAGAAAAGGCCAGCAAAAACATATGTTTGGCTTCATTTTGGAGTCATGGAGACCCGTTTTCTTCATTCATCCAATTTGTGTTAAATAATCTATCATTACGGAATGCGTGTTCCTACAACTTTTATAATCATTAGGAAATCTGGAAAGTGAAGTGCAAAGGTTTGGATTACAGACAAAATTTGATAAAAGCCAGAGTCAGTATCATTTGGCATTTTGTTGCGAGTTTCAGAATATGCCCCTCACCCTCCGTTACCTTCCGTCTCCCAAACTGAATCGCTTTTACCAGTTGATCTGTGAGCTGCAGGATACTCCCGCCGTGCACTCAGTGTAAACGGCCCTGCATAAGAGCATCGGCTAAGTGCTTCCAATATAAAATGCAAACGGTGGGTGGGGAGTCTTGGGAGTCGGACTGACCTGAAGTAATCACTGCAGGCGGCCAGCACAGCTCGGTGGACCTGGAAGCGCTCCTCATTGATGGCCAGCACAACGTCAAGTAGTTGACCCTGAGCCCGCAAGACCGACAAGCCCTGAAGGAGCGTGGCACTGTGGCCTGAGGCGGAGAATGTACAGCACAGGATGCTATTCTTGTTAGCCATACTGGAAAGAAGGAAAGGGCCTTGTCATAATCAATTCAGAGACTTTGAGCATTCTTAAATATACTGAATACAGTTAGAAGCTGTAATATTCTGGCCGAGCAGGCTGTACGTGTCTGTAGCAGAAGTGCACAGCAGCACTGAAATGGAAATTTGATCTAATCTGCCAGTCAGCCAAGAGGGAAATGCAATCTGTGGCGTACGAGGTCTTCGCATTAGTAAGAGCAATTCTGCACACGGGAAAGAAACAGCTATCAATACAAATTGTATCGCTTTGTTTAGACTATGTAACAAAAACAGCAATGAATCGGCCGGTAAGAGGCGCAACTGACACATGTATGTAGAGAATAAACAAAATCTAAGTGTGCAGAATGAAAACACTTTGGCTGATCGCAGTGAGTAAAAAATAACTTTTTTAATAGAAATAGAAGTTTGAAAAAGCATTCACTACCTGGACTGAACTTCACTAACAAACAGAACTGGAGATTGTAATAATTCAAATAAAGGTAATAATCCTTATATTAATGAATAGACACCTCCCTCATGATGTACATACTAAATTAATCATTCTCTTCTCCAACATTCAAATATAAACATTTGTGTTAACAATTCTCCACTTTGTTTATCAATTGGTTTCCTGTTGGCAGAAAAGCTAAACTAATGATAACAATAACATTTATTTAGTGGCCGTTATTGCATCAACATTTAACCAAAGACTCGTGAAAGCATCAACTTGCAACAATTAACTTGCTCAAGAAATTTCTTCAAGTTCACCTGCTGCTCAACACCAGGAATCTTCTTTAATAACTGCTCCATCCTTCCTCCATTCCTTACAGTTAATTCGAATAAAGTTAGACATAAAAAGGAGGGACCGTGGAGGCCCGGACCGCTCCTCGGTGTTTCCCGGAGTAAAGCCCCTTCTCCGGCACCTCCCAGCCGGCATTGAACGCGCCCGCGGCGCCCGGAGCCGCTGAATTCTTCGCACAAGGCACCGCCGAGGCACCGGTCCTTCCACCGACGACCTCGCGCACCCTCCGCCCGCTCCACTCACCTGCTCTGTGGATGTTTCGAAGCATAATCCCCGCCGCCCGACTCCGCCATCTTCTAGCGCGGAGCAAAATGCATGGAGCATCTTTCAGCGACGTTACCGGGAGGTCGACGGCCGGTCCATGTTTTTGTTTTGTTTTAAAAGTACTGCGAACAGCCTGCCCAATGGGGCTGAGACGGAGGACGGCGGCGCGTCCCTCGGGTCCCGCGGTGAGACGCAGTGAAGACGAGGCCGACCCGCCGGCTGCTTGCGGAACGTCCCGCCTGCGTGCTTACAAAGACCGGCCGCTGGGGGGCGCCGCTGGGACGCGCGGCGGTGAACTGAGGCGGAACGATCTCAAACGGTGGAGGAAGTGACTTAATGAGATACACAATTATGGGGAATTCTTTCATATCCGTGATTAAAAGGTTTTAAACACAATAGTGTAAACATAATCTGGGAAAGTGCAAATGCTGAAAAGTGAGGAAACACACATGAACAAATGAGCCACAATTCCATTGCATTGCATTGTCCCAGCTGTGTGTACCACTTTTAATATGTCCTGAACCTTACAAGGGACTTACTGAACCTTACCTTACTGAAGCGATAGTGCAAATGTATGATCCGCAAAAAGCACTTTACCTTAAATTATTTCAGCAAATAAGAAATGTCTGAAAAAGAGCTGTAGTGCTTTTGTCGCAAAGACAATTTATTGTTTTAATTTCTTGGGTTCTTAGAGAATTCGATATTGTCAAGGTCTACAGTATTTTGAACACATTTGTGTTCCAGTATAAGTAACGTGGCTGCAAACGTTTTGTCGTGCATTAATCAATAAAGGCCTCGGTTATGGATTAGGCATGAAATAACATGGTTTAGCAAAGTCAGGGAGACATTGTTTTTTGAATACCCTTCCCCAGTGTTCTGTTGCTCCTCTCCTGTGCTATTTTATTACAGGAGTTACTTTTTCAAAATGAAAGTGCAAGTGATTTCATATGAAACTGTACCTTTGCATAATGGGAAATGGCATAAATAATGAGGATATAAGATACGGAGGAGTTGCATTAGAATGAACGTTTCCAAGACCACAAGATGAGCATCAGAGAAAGCTTTAAATAGAGAGGCTATATATATTTCAGAATGGAAACCTGGGCTACATGTGCTGCCCTAACCCCCTCCTTAATCCTTTCTATGTACAGAGGCCACTTGTTCAGCGCTATTTAAAATATACAGTATTTTTGATATTTTGACGAATGATAACCAGTTATGTTGCATGACAATGTCTCCCTTAAGAGACAGGGTGAAAAGCTCAGCCATCCATGAGGATCTCCGAATAGAGCCGCTGCTCCTTTGCGCGTGCAGGAGCCAGTTGAGGTGGTTTGGACATCTGGTAAGGATGCCCCCCTGGACGCCCCCCTGGGGGGTGTTCCAAGGCACGGCGAGCTAGCAACAGGCTACGGGGAAGACCCAGAACCAGGTGGGGAGATTACACTTTAAACACACTACGTTAACTCAGGTAACCTAGGCTACTTATGGTAACCCAAAACACAATATCACACTTAACCCAACCAAGTAGGTTTGTTTGCTTAAACTCAACGGAGCCTAATTGAGAATGCAGTTTTGAAAGATCTGAAATGTGATTTAGAAATGTTGATGTGAATTGTGTTTTTGTATCAGAAACATGGGTATTCAACATACTTGTGCTTTGCAGAAAGGTAGAAGGTAAATACGCTGGCTGCTGGAGTTTCCAGTCTCTTACAGTCTGTCTTTGACAGAGAGCGTTTCAAAGGAACTTTGAAGGCTGTTGTGTCTGTCTGGTGTCAAACCCAAACCTTCCCCCGCCCCCGACACTTGTGGTTTTTAGCTGCAGTGCATATAAACGGAGAGACATGAAACCTCTCGTATTTCTGAGAAAGACAACCGAGTTACATGAAGGCAGGTTGAATATTTGGACTCTCACAGGCTGAAGAACGAGTCTTCGAGACTTTCCACTACGCCTGATGGAAACTTTGAAAGGCAGGAGCTCACTGCATGAACACATTGTTGTGCTTGTGTTCCTTATAACAGTCAGCCAAGGTAAATAAATACCCTCTATCTTTACCTAATGATTACTTTTACTGCTAACCTCAATCTGATAGAGATCGTATCAAAACGCTCCATATGAAAGTGACAATTCTTTTTCAGTATAAGTTAAACATCCGCCACCAGATATTGGTGAGCTTATCAGCATCGTGCGGTTTCCATCTGAATCCGCAGCGCACGGCTCTGTGCAGCCGTGTTGAGTTTGCAGCTTAAGATTACTCCGCACATGAGACAAACCGGTTGAGTGCTTGGACTGACTTGACAGTCGCAGCATTGCTTGTAGCAGATTCAATTGCTATTATTCAATCAGTGTAAAAATATGGAATTTTTAGAAAATAATTGAATTATAGACGCACGAATAACATAAAAGAAGGGACGGCTTAAACCACTAGACACGATTGGTTTTTAGAAAGGATGCCACCTCGTTTTGAAAAAAGTGAACAGTTTAAATGTAAAGGTTTATTAAATAACTTGTCATTGTTATTGGCCTATCTACATTGCTAAATAACAAAATACAGAAAGCACAACATACTGTATAAACTTTTACTCACAAGTAAACTCACATGGTTGCAGTCCTACTCGGTTTTGCATTTTATGTGTTTGTATGCTGTTAGTCTATGAAATGTGTCACTCCTCAGGGTCAGCATGTGAACCTCCTTCCACTCCTGAGTGCTTCAAAAGACGCATTGAGGACACTTTTTTCATTTGTGAATGGAGTACGAAGACAAATAATCCTAATGTGACATTTGACATTCACATTGGGTGAGTAATATTCTTTGTTTCAGACGCAATATTTTGAAATGGTGACTGAACTTTGACATGTTGATTTTGTGTATGCCCATGAGTGTAACACATGTTAGACGTCAAGTTAATAAACATCAGAGGAGACAGTTAGCTCAGCTTGGATTAGCATGAATACCGCAAAAGAGGAAACAGCGAGCTTGGCTTTATCAGAAGTTAACAAAATCTGCAAAATACGTATGAAACTACAAGTGTACCCAGAGCTCCCACATGGGTGTCTGCAACTTCAATTAAATAAACGACAATTGGCAAACCCGCCCCTCTTGACTCAAGTGACTTGGGTACCGTCATACGATCTTCCACGAACAAAATAAACTCACTAGCTGAGTTGCATGTAAATGGAAATATTAGTTGAGTATTCATTTTTATTTGCAATTTAAACAGTTTATAAGGAATGTTGTTTTTTCTGTTGTTGTGGTACACTGTTAAGCGGTTTACTACCGCAGAACAAGATCAGCCATGGCTGGACACCGAGGTGCACACTCACTCACTCCCCGGACGCATGATCCTCCTGTTGGAGGTAATGCGCATAACAAAGTGAGAAGTTGTGGGCCTTAGACATGCTGGAAGCCGGATTTTGTTCCCTTAGGACAAAGCAGGGCTGTAAGGGAAACAAAACCGTGTAGTATGTAAAGTTGATCTGCACTTTGAGTCTCAAAGCCCACTGTAAATGTCTACTTGCAGAGAAAAAAAGTTCAATACCTCAAAGACGACGTGCTCCATCTTGCAAGAAGTGATCATCATATATCATCCTGTAGACATTTGGGTGGAAGCTCGCGTAGGAAACTCCAGCTGCGTGTCGACCAATAGGTCGGTGGTGCTCAGCCGCATAGGTACTGTATGCTCCTCTCATTTAAAGGCTCGCACACAGAAGGTCACAATGTTGAACATGCGAAAAGTATATGTAGAAAGTTAATGTAGAACTTTTTTTTTTTGGTCAACAGTTAAGTCTGAAGCACCACAAAACATAGGCATGTCCTGGTCCAAAAACAACCTGAAGTTAAACTGGACGGCTGCAGGGTATCCAGTTTTATGCGAGGTCCTGTTCAGACGCAGTGACTACCTCACCTGGGAAAACGTGAGGCCGATTGTCTCACCAAGTTTAATGTGTCCAGTGTAGTTTATTTTACATTTGTAACCATATTTAACCTTTGATCCGTATTACAGAGAACAACAGATGCCGCCATTGAGTCTTCATTCAGTGAGTAGTCGTTTTTGTTTTTTGTAATCCGTCTTTTGAATAGAAAGTTTAATCCGCCTTCTCTCATATGAGCTCTTAGGCCGAGGTCCCAACAAAACCATTTTACCACTGGTTTCAGTCCACTGCTTTCAATTGTCATTCAATCTTACTTTACTGATGAGCGATGGCGTTTTCAGTTTTAGTTTATGTTACTTTTGCTGATTCTGAAAAATAAATAAATAATCTATCATTGTAATGAAATGTCTCTGTTTTCTTCTCTTTATCTGAACAGAACATCTTACTCTTACAAATCTATCAAAGGATTCAGTTTACCTCCTACAAGTTAGATGTCGGTATAATGGCCCTAAGAAGGACCTCGTCTCTCTGTGGAGTGACTGGTCTCCAGTTGTGACTGTTCCTGCAGGTGAAGTCATAGATTTGAGTGCATATATCTTTTGCTCTGGTCTCAAACTAAAATGAATATAAACGAACACACAGTACATAGCTTGCTCAAAAATGTCTTGTTTTTAACTGCAGAGCTTGAACACAAACCCGAAGTCACCATAACAACAGAGCTTTTAAATCGCAGCCGAAAGGTGACACTAGAGTGGAAGGTAAGCCAGTTATGGGAAATACTACAATTTCTGTAAATTGATGATGCTCATATAATGTTCACTGTTAAACTATTTATACAGCAGAGGCAGAACAGAGACTTGAGTGCAAATATGTATTTATTGCACAGCAGGAGGTCATACATGGGTTATCAGTCAGGGCGGGTAAAGAGTTTGCAATAATCAAAGATCCAGAAAAGGCAAAGGTCCAGAATACAGAGGAGGTATCTGATGAGCTTGAAAAACAGCCTGATGATACGTAGAGCACTTACAGGGAAGAACAATCTGACAGGGGAAAAGGGAAGCAGGCAGGTTTGTGTGTTGGGGTTTGGGGTCGATAGAGGGAAACACCAGAGAGAGAGAATACAGGGTAGAAGAATGGAGAAATCCCCACACCAGGCGTTACGGAATGTGGTATGAAAACCTTGAGATCTTACTGCAAAGAACGGAGATGTTTTTGTGATTAATGAGCAAGACAAACTTTGAACCAAGTGGTAACTTAGTCAGAGTTGTGATGCTGTTTGTTTTCTTTAAATATTTTTTTCAGGGAGTTAATTTATATTATAGTTTTCATAAAAGCATTTGAAATCTTTTCCATTACATTTATTTTTCAGCACTATTGTCTTTTTATTTGACCTTCAAAAAGTGCAATTAAATCCTGAAGAAGAAAATAAAAACTCACAGAGCATGAATAATATGTCCACTTATTAAGAACCCAGTATGAACATTTATACTGGTTATTAAGCTGATTCATTGTAATTTAACTGTAATGGAAGCAGCACGCATAACCGGATAGAATGAAACAATTAGAAAATATTGCTGACTCACCATATTTTTTTAACAGCACTGATTGACACAAAATACTTGAAAAAAGACATTAGTACTAACTTACAACCCCCCAGTTCAAGTGAAATTAAATCTGGTTCATGAACCTCCTTTTTGCTCTAACCTTTCTACGTCAGGACCAACATTGTGTGTTATAATTCTTCTTTACCTTTTGCCTCCTGGCTGCACTGCACTCAGTTTGTCGTTTGTCTCTTCTGCTGTTTAGGCGATGCCACATGCAAAGTGGTACATCCTTAACGACACGCAGTCTTCTCGTCAATGTCCTTGCAAGAAAAAGAAAGCCCATAATACCACCCGTTCAACGCACACTATTTATGTCTCGTTATCTGCCGTCGACATCTGGGTATTCGCCCAAAACTCTGCTGGGTCTTCTCCACCAGCAATCGTACAAATACCGGCCGAATCTGTTGCAGGTTTAACAAGTAGGTGAAAGTGTGAGTGTGTGTGCGTGTGTGTGTTAAATATCATGTGTATTCGTGCTTCTGTTGACCCTAAAGGTCGTTTTTCCCCCGGCAGTTTGTGACAAAACGGCGCTGGATGAAAAGTTTGATAGGAAAACTTGCCGTGAGTGGTACGAGCACCAGGACGGAGACACAATGTCCCAAAATCGTATCAGAATGAAGAATAAGAAGAGGGGGGAAATAGGAAAGCGTAAGCTTTATCTAAACCGCCTCCAATCACACCGCTTCATCACATTTGCTCAGACGAAGGAGAAGAAGAATCCTACACACACTGAATTCATCATATCAATTTATACGTGCTATATTTCTTTTGTTATTCCAATGTAATGTAAATCAAAAATATTTTCTGTGGCAAACAAACTATGAATCTGTTTCTGTTACAGACTTAACGGACTATGTTCGCTACCTTTTCTTTGAACACAAGAGGGCCGATGGGAAACCACAGACAGTTAAAATGTGCTTCTTTTATCAAAAAGAGGGCGGTAAGTCTCTTTATTCCAATGCACTTAAATACGCACAGGCCTTTAACGTGACAATGTAGGTCAGCGCCATCATTGAACACTCAGAGAAAATTTCCCGGCAGTGTTCAACATGTGTACTTCTCGTGTCTCTGTGTGGAAGCGATTATAACTTCATCATGTACATGTGGGTACATCACCTGCCAGGATGAGACACGGTTATTCATCTGTCTCATGTTGCCGGTGCTCAGGGTTATGTACACCTTGAGGTGCTGACACTGTGCAGAGTGCAGATCGGCGCATTGAGGTCAACACAACCACAAAGTTTGTCCCCACTTATTGTGGTTTTTTTTTCAAATCTACATTTTTCTTTCGTTATTTCTTTAGTTCCACGGAAAGAACCCCAGGACCTTACTTCTTTAACAGAAACAAAAACTTCTGCTAACTTGTCATGGAAAGAAATCCCTTCTGCGGACCAGCGAGGTTTCCTCACACACTACACCCTCTGCATCCTGAAAGTCCCTTCACAAGATGAGGTTAAAGGTCCGAGGTCACTCTGTAGCTTTTTGCACAATCATTTTGTTGAGCTGAATGAAAGAAAAAAAAAGATATAGTTTATTCTGATTGAATAATATGTCAAATGTTCAGCCAGTGAGACAACTGAACTTCCTTATCACTCAGCACATGAAAGCACTATGCAACTGTATGTTTTCCCACATCTCAATTTCATCAGAGTGCCGTAACATATCAGCCTCCGTGACAGAACACTATGTGGAAAACTTGTTACCGGGAGGTAAATATGACATCGTCCTAGCTGGAGTCACGCGTGCTGGAAAAGGACCTGAAGCCACAGTAACCATCTCCACACTCCCCGAGGACTCATGGATGCATGGTATGTTAAATCCTAAATCACTCTACTTGTGTGTAAAAGTAAATACGAGGCAGGAGTGCAGATTCTAACAGATTCCTCCTCTTTGTTAGTGTGGTGGAGTGTGGGCATGCTGTTTCTGTTCTTTTTCCTTACAATGATTTGCACCTGCATCTTGAAGAGGTAGGTGACCCTCTCTGTAAATATTCAACAGTTTAACATTCAAGTAAAGCACACACAGGTATGCACAAGGAGTGAAAGATGAAATTGTTATGATGGTTTGAATTGTTGAACAGTAGGGCGTTCTATACGTGTTGCTTTTATTCAATGCTCAGTTTTACTGAATAAATTCCATAAATAGCAGCTTTTAGGAATTTGGTTTATTTGAGTTTGTTTTATCTTCACTTAGAATCCAAAACAAGATCTTCCCTCACGTGCCAAAACCTGTTGTTCAAGATTTTAACCCATATCAACCAGAAAGTGGGGTAAGAAACTAGTACTTACAAGGGATATTCAGTTAAAGATGTGAATTTGTTGCTCTTTAATAAACCCTGAGAATTGGTCCTTAGTCATTTGTGGACTGCAGAAGTTTTCTGTAGAGTCACAGGCACCTGTGGGGAAGTTTGGGGTTTTAACCTTTTAATAATGACTCTCTTCCCACTTACTATGTGAGAAAAACTGTAAGATGTAAGAAAGTTTAAAAAAATGTAATTCCATATGGTCGTAGGAATAAAACGTTTTAGCAAAACGTATTTTGTGCCAATAAACATCTTGACTTGCCATCAAGAGGGAGGTGTTTAATTGTATATAAACAATTGATAATACATCTGCGTTCATTAAGAGGTTGGGAAATGCATTGTCATGAAGAGCTGCAGGAGCCGAACAAAGGAGATCTCAGGCATCAGATTTAAGCGTAAGCGAGACACAACTGAACGTGTCATTAACAAAATCAAAGATGAAAAATCAAAGAATGAGTCTGGCGAGGGGCTGAAGTGCAGGTGGAGAAGCGCGGGTGAGGTGATTGGGCTACATGTGTAAATGGGCAAAGGCAAAAGCCTAAAGCTAAAACACAGAAAGCAACCACTCTGATAGTATCTGAACGCTGTGTGTTGAGTTGGCCACACTATTACTTTCATAGGAAGTAGCATCTAATTAAAGGAAGCTTCTCATTGTTACAAAGGCAAAGCGACTCTGAACTCTGATCCTTTTATCAGACATGGTTAGGTGGACAGTAAATCAATCTGTACTATTTCTACCATATGGCAATCAAACAGGACGGCAGGCCAAGAATGTAATACTACAGTCATTGTCTGTGCTTATGAAGTCTGGAATCTTTTGTGATAACGCGACCCACTCAAGGAGTTTCTGGAGGGAAAGGAGGAGGTAGACGAGCTGACGCTGCACCATCTGCCGGAGGTCAAGCCTGCCCCTGAGGACGCGGAGGAGACCACCGTCCTCACACGAGAGTGGGACGACGGCAGCGACCTGGACGACAGGGTCGACTCGATGATGTCGGAAGGAATCAGTGACGAGTGTCTTGGCTCCACGGATGAGGCGATGCGGAGCCCCAGAGGAGGAGAAATGAATGATCGCAAACAAATAGACAACGAGATCGCCATGCTGATCTACAGGAATGGCCTGGTCTTTGACATCAAGACAGACTCGCCTTAATATTAAATGAAGGTGTAACTGCCTCGCAGCACAGAATGGCACACCAAAGACTAGATGAACACGTTTTCAATTCAAAAAGGTAAAGGTTTGACGTAACCTGTGAAAGAGTTGACATCTATTACATTACTTGGCACAACATTCTGTACAAACCTTCAAAAGTGAAACGTGCAACTACAGAGAACCAGGGTGGGTAGAAGGCATTTGCGCCTGTGGAACGTAAGGGGAAGTGGTGGTCACAAAAAAGACCAGTGACCTTAAAAAAAAAAAGGTAGCTCACGCAGAGTGAAACACTGGAGTACTCATCACTGAAGTACTGATCATCAAAGCAACTTCTGATGTTGTTTTTTTGTCTTTTTCAAACTGGAACATGTCATGTTGATTTGCACAAAGTGATGACAGTGGGGAGCATTTCACACAACGCTGCACTTAGAGACCTGTAACTGGTTCCTGTACTCTTTGGCTGTGGCCTCGTTGGGTGGAACGTCACAGTGACAGTCAATGCATCGTCTCTCTCCACATCGAGACCACAGACTGACTGCTGACATTTGACAAAAGTGATGTGCTGGGAAGAAAATTTACAACAGTGTGTGTGTGTGTGTGTGTGTGTGTGTGTGTGTGTGTGTGTGTGTATTAACCCTTGTATGGTGTTTGTGTCCATGGGACTTATGGGATTTTTATCAATACAAAAATAATATAATTCATTATTTAAAAATAAGTTATTCTAAAAGCAGCCGAAGATTTAAGGCGTGGATGGCGAGGGGGCGACAGGAGCGGACGCACCTCGCGGCATCGATCGGACCCTGAAAGCACCGCCTCCACCTTACTGTCAAAAAGAACAACAGCGTGCACGTAGAAAACTCCTTCGAGCGCGAGCAGAGATTCTCCTCGCGAGCAACGAAGTTCACGTTTCGCAAGCAAGCAAATACCTCGCGGAGACAAACTTTTGCACGCGCGAGACGGAGACATTTTCTCTATGATTCTATTTTATTTTAGTTAGTTTTGTAAAGACACAATACAGTTTGTTATCGTTTTTTTTATAAAGGCTCGTTTTTATTTTCATTTCAGTTAACAAAAAAAAAAATCACACCTCGTTTTTGTTTTTTCGTTAGTTTTCGTTAACGATAATAACCTTGCTTGTCACTTGTCGCGTCATTCTTGAATGTCCCGAAGTCCTTGTCTGAGTGTTCCTGGTTCCTGTGAGCGTTTTTCTCCCTTGGCCTTTGATTTTTGGAATTTTTGACTATTAAAGTATTTTTTGTTTCTCGAAACTCTGCGTTTGAGTCCTGCCTTCCCTGCACTCATGACAGAATTCAATGAAGTCTGGAATCTTTTGTGCTAACGCGACACACTCGAGGAGTTTCTGGAGGGAAAGGAGGAAGTAGACGAGCTGACGCTGCTGTTGTTTTGTTGTCTTTTTCAAACTGGAACATGTCATGTTGATTTGCACAAAGTGATGACAGTGGGGAGCATTTCACACACCGCTGCACTTAGAGACCTGTAACTGGTTCCTGTACTCTTTCGCTGTGGCCTCGTTGGGTGGAACGTCACAGTGACAGTCAATGCATCGTCTCTTCCCACATCGAGACCACAGACTGACTGCTGACATTTGACAAAAGTGATGTGCTGGGAAGAAAATTTACAACAGAGTGTGTGTGTGTGTGTGTGTGTGTGTGTGTGTGTGTGTGTGTGTATTAACCCTTGTATGGTGTTTGTGTCCGTGGGACTTCTTGGATTTTTTATCAATACAAAAATATAATTCATTATTTATTCAAACTTCAAATTCAAACACATTTTCTGAGAAGAACATACATCAGAACACATTTTCAGCGGCCGCGCACCATAACCCGCCCTACACATTTATACTACATACGTGTTGCATGTTACATGGTGTTCGGGTGCATTGGACATTCGTGTTCAAAAAGCCTGAGCTCCCTAAATCCAGCAAATGAAAATCCAGTCCAGCTTCACCTCAAAGAAGAGGAAGACATAAACAGTTTGTGATTACCTTTAAGGGTATTATTGTAACTTTGGAGACTTCCTAACAGGGTCCATTTTTACGGAATAATTATAATTGTAAGTATTTGATATGTTTATTAAAAGATGCATTGTGTCACGGTTTGGGTTCATGTCCTGTTTTATTTTGTAGTTTCTTGCTTCTTGTCTCCCTGGGTAACGTCACTTCCTGCCTTGTCCTGTCATCTCCCTGTGATTGTCGGTCGTGTCACTAGATTTTTCAGAGACAAAGAAGATCATATGTTAGGGACCCAAACACAGGCAGCGCAAAAATATCAAAGCAAGGCAGAGCAGGAATTCAGGACATAACTCACAATGCTTTTAAAACCAACAAGAAACACAAGACAGACTGCACTTAAATACCAAAGGGGGAACTAGACAACAAGACACAGGTGAACTAAACAAGGGGAATTAACAAGACACAGGAGAAACAAATCAGGCAAACGAACAGGGTGATGATTGGGAACAGGTGAGGGGTGGAGACACGGACAACAACAAGGGAGCACATGGCAGGAACAAGGAAGTACAAGGACTAGAGACAGGAAGGGAACAACGGCAGACAGGAAGTAACATAAAAGGACAAACAAAGTAAAAGCAAGGGACAAAAACAGAGCAAAGACCTGACACTGTATATAAACAGAGACATCAATATATGTTCTGTGATGCCAAGGAGTGAAAAGCTTGCAATTAATTGTACCTCCTCAATATTATTGCAGCATGTTTCCGCATGGAGGCTGAGGAGTTGCAATGGCACCTCCTGGTGGCATGTCACACATTTGGCCTTGGGCATGGCGCTGAACTCCATGGCGGAAAAGGGAAGGGGAGATGTGTCCAGCACATGCTGGATAGGCATGATATATAGGCACCCCTTGCCTCCCCAGGATTTCACTAGGCCAGCCCCGGTGTAACCAGACTCGTCAGGTGACACTAACATGAGTCGCCTTTGTCCAGACCCTCCTGTTTAAAATTTTATATTAGTAAGGATAGGCGCACTCTACTTCCAAAGTAAAGGCGATTTAGGGTGCGAGTGAAAAAGACTATTAACTTAAAGTAGAAAAAAAACGCACTCTCAAGCTTGTCTCGTGCTTATTTTGACCAGTTTATTCACAGACGTGTTTCGGCCTAAACCATCGTCAGTGTGTGTGCTTGAGAGTGCGAAGTTATGACATTTTATATTAACCATGTAGATGGCAGTTAATAAGATAATATAGAAAAGCACAGAAAAGATGTTAACTGCTCTTACCCATTGCTTTGTGCAACATCCATGCCCGCTCTTGGTCACGCAACTTTGGGTACACCTCACAGAGAAGATCTATGATCTGTGAATTTAAACCAAATGCCCTAATCACCACCAGTATTTAATCAAAACCGGTTTAATGGGTACCGTTACTTCGGTTCGTCATTAAATATGAGTTTTCACCATACATATATGTAGCTACTTACCGGAGTTTGGTTGAAGTGAGTGACGTGCCTACGAGACTCTGTCAAAGCCTCAACGACCAGGACCAATCAGAGAAGAGCCCGCCCTCCTTTGGTTCCCGCCCACACACTGCCAAAACCGAGTGTGAGTTTTGTCATTAAACTGACGCCATAGACCACAGACAGACTGCTGACATTTGACAAAAGTGATGTGCTGGGAAGAATATTTACAACTGTGTGTGTGTGTGTATATTAACCCTTGTATGGTGTTTGTGTCCTAGGGACTTATGGGATTTTTATCAATACAAAAATAATATAATTCATTATTTATTCAAACACATTTTCTGCGAAGAACATAGATCAGAACACATTTTCAGCGACCGCGCACCGTAACCCCCCCTACACATTTCTACTACATATGTGTTGCATGTTACATGGTTCGGGTCCATTGGACTTTCGTGTTCAAAAGGCATGAGCTCCCCAATATTAACCATATTTTCTGTTTATATTGCTTCTAATTGGGATTTTTTGATTTTGTTGCATTAAAACCGCCAAAAATAGCCCCACAACACCGACTGAGTAACAAAACGATGAACACCCTGCAAGGGTTAGTACTGTACAGCTGGGAATCTTATTTGTAGGACACGTGGACTTTAAGTCAGTAGACACAGTTTTTATTGGAATACCTGTACTCACCTTATATTGAGCGTGGCTTACTTTGTCCCATGTTGTGACAGACGTTGTCCAACAGATGGCAGAACAGATGCCTGCTCATTTGTTTTATTTAACAGAATCTGAGAATCATCTTTTCAATCATAATCATTGTGAAAAAACACCCATGTATGAATAATACTTTGGTCCAGATGTTTGTCATGCCTTAAATTACATGTTGTGCCTGATAAATGATTGGTTTTAGATATTTTACCTGCCACTAGATACCAGTGTCGGCTGCAGCTTTGGCTTTTCAAGCAAAGAGTTTCACTTTCTCTTCAGCGGTAAGGTTCCCTTCTGCAGTAGTTTTGTCAGAAAAGGCATTTTCACTGAAATGACTTGCAAATGTACTTCAAATGTTGGTTTTGACATGGTTTTTCTTATGAAAGTTAAAGAAAAGGTGTGTAACCAGGGAAACATTCCTCCATCTGAGTCTCTAACACTTCCAGGTTGAGTTTATAATAAGAGATCTTATGTTTTGGAGTACATGTAGTAGAATCACCCAAATGCAGCTAAAGAAAGGAAGCAGTAGCGGAAAATTAACATAATCGAAGAATTTAAATGATTACAGTCCAAAGGCAGGACGCTAACACAGCATACAAGTCACAGGAACAAAACTCCCAACAGAAATTAAGCAACAAAGACTGACGGAAAAGACATTGGCCGTTTTTCATTTCCCAATTTTTGGCCTCGGCGCCGTCTGAGGATGTGAAATATGTAAAAATAATCAGTAAAAATAGTTTTGCTTCCTTAACGTCTTCCAAAAACAGGATGAAGAAACAGAAGATGGCGTTGAAAGGAGATTTTTTATATCTTTGATTGGTTTTGGCCCGGGAACGAAAAACAGATGCAAGTAGGTTTGTGTCCTAGCAACCACTTACATATCTCTAAGTTATGAGTAAGATTAGTGTAAGGTATGAATATTTAGGAATAGTAATGGGGGAAATTGGTTCCAAACAAATTGGGTGCATTTAGGTGACTTTTGAAACCTCCCATCTTTCCGCTGATGTTGAATGTATAAAACAAGATCTAGCTACACGACAACAAAAAGTAGCTACACGAAGATTTACAGAGTTCCTCCCCTTAAATGTGACCTGCCTAAGGTGACAAACTGCTTATACACAGTATGCAAATATCTTGATTGTATTTTATAGATCTATAGGTATATAGATCGCTATATAGATCTATATATACAGATCTACAATCAACATGAAAAAGAAGAAAAAATGCTTTTCATTTGGGCTGTTTTGGCAATCATGATTTGAATGCTTCTGTTGCAACTGTTCATAGCACAGTTATGGAGAAGCCGTGTCTACCTCCCCCCATCCTCTGGACAGGGGAGGTAGGTGTTATGTTGCGCAAAGTGCAAAAGGTTGAGCACAAAAACATGCACTCCAGCAAATGAAAATTCAGTCCAGCTTCACCTCAAAGAAGTGGAAGACAGAAACAGTTTGTGATTACCTTTTAAGGTTATTATTGTAACTTTGGAGACTTCCTAACAGGGTACATTTTTCCGTAATAATTATAATTGAAAGTATTTGATATGTTCATTAAAACATGCCTTGAGGGCCTTGGTATAACTCGTGAAGGATCCTTCTTGCTTGTTCATCAATGTCCCATTACACTGCTTTCAGATATTTAAGAGCTAGATTCCCATTGTTGTGGGTTGGGATATTTTTTGTTGACTAAAGATTGAAATGGGAGGTAACAGACGGATGAACGATCCCAAGAAAAATCTAAGAAAACACTTCTTCAAAAGTTAGCGGTGAACTAACCTTCCTAACAAATGTATTCACGTTAATGTCATCATTTCAGAAGTTCAGTACATTTTCTTTTACCTTGAGCTACTGGATTTGTGTTTGAAAAATAAAAATCCCTGCATCTTATACATAACCATTAGTTATAGTTTCAGATAAAGTGGAGACAACACGTGTAATAGAAGGTACAGCTTCCCTTCTTGCTAGAAAGATTCCTCTGTGTCGGTGCCCAAACCAATTTAAAGTGGAGCAATAGGAAAGCACCCTGACGGGAAGCATTACAACCTGGCATGAGATGTGTGCTGTCCAGGACCAGAGGGTATGCAGCCGGTGGTCAGTCGTCACTCAAGCTCACCTGTTGCCACTGACGGTCTAGGCGCCGTCTTTGTCCAGTAGATAATCCAGCCTATAGTCTGTGATTACAAAATATGTTGTGATTGACAGTAAGAAAAGTGAGGTGGAGAAACTGATACAAATGAACATAACCTATATTGCAGCAGGGTTAACTTCGAGGCTTGTACTGAAATCATAACAATGAAAATAATAATTATGCACACTGCTTTTCTGAGGGTTTTTTGAGGAGTTTTCAATGTATTAAATGCTGAACCCCTGCACCTTTATGCAGCCAGAGGGACAACACTGAGTTGACTTTGCAGAAAAAATAATTGAGAAGCCATTCGTGATTGGTTACCAATGGGCCAGTCCCAACGTGGCCCGACTGCTTGAAAACAGCCTTTTTAGCAAAGTGGATCCGACCTGCATGGTTGACCACCAGCGGCGTGCTCTTTAAACAACCGCTAAACTTGAAGTTTAACTCAACCAGTGTGATTGTGTCTGCTTGGTGAGCAGCTTTTGACTGTCATTGGGACCCAGGTACACTCACAGGTACAGGAGGGTATTAGTATTGTTGGACATTTTATCCAGGACACTGACCATTTAATGAGCAGCATGCAGCTTAACATTTTTTGACAGCTAAAACTCACTGTGAAGCATGCAAGTTTTGTCTGTATTTTAACATTCACTCTCTCTTGGTACATTAAAAAATCCCATTTGATATTTTTCCAACAATGTATTCAGAGCAGATAAGAAACTAAAGTCTGTATTTGTTTGTATGGGACTGTGGCCAAGTATTTAAAGGGTTGGGTGGGTATTTCCCTTCCTGAATAACAACTAACATCTGGGATAAATAATCAACTGGCATGTTCGTCACTTGTGATTTAATGTGTTCTATTAACTAAATACAGGAATTACATGAATTTTACACATTAATTACATCAACATATGGCATAAATGAGGACATATATAAGAACATTGTCTGACATCTCAATCAGAATAGCACCCATCAAAAGAGAATTTAGAGATCATGCAGTGGAAAATGGCATTTAGATCGTGTCAGATAGCTATCGAATGTGTAAACAATCCTCTCCAACTGTCACATCACACAAAATGGAGAGTCATTTTCACAAATATGCAACTGTTGAGCTGAGATCTTTAACCTACAAATACAATTGCACCATTTCTTAACCCTTTTTCATTCAACTAATGGTCCTCGATTCTGTTTATTTTAACAGTGGAAACATTGAGTTTAACTGTGATGAACGCTAAAAATGACTCAACCTGAAAACTAAAGGGGGTTCTTGAAGATGTAACACTAACATGTTGAAAATTATAATAATAATAAGTCATAAACATTTCTTTAGCAAAGTTAAGAAAAGTTGAAATGTTATTTCAACTTTTTGAAAAGTCAAAAGTCTATTCCTGTTCCTGGGAACCAGGAACAGGAAAGACACTAAGGGAAACGGGAAACCAGGAACAGGAAATTGACACTAAGGAAACGGGAACCAGGAAACAGGAAAAGCCCACATAAGGGAACCACGGGAACCAGGAAAGGGAAAGACACTAAGGGAACGGGAACCAGGAACAGGAAAGACACTAAGGGAACGGGAACCAGGAACAGGAAAGACACTAAGGGAACGGGAACCAGGAAAGGGAAAGACACTAAGGGAACGGGAACCAGGAACAGGAAAGACACTAAGGGAACGGAAACCAGGAACAGGAAAGACACTAAGGGATCAGGGTTGAACAATTAACATTCCGTAATGAAGCAACAAAGGACACATGACACACAGGGCTTAAATACATTGGGAGGTGCAGGTGATTGGACACAGGTGGATACAATCAGACAATCACTGTGATGACAGGACCAGGCAGGAAGTGAAGTTAACCCAGGGACACAAGGGGCAGGAAACTACAAAATAAAACAGGAAACAAACCCATATCGTGACAGAAACAGCCTCTGCCTTTAAGAGTTCAGTTCACAATGACCCTGTGACAAACCAACCAAATCAAAATGTTGGTTTGTTACCGTCACATTGTGTTTGCTGGCTTGCCGCAGCAACTGTAAACATTTCGATCGAATGACACATATAATCTACTGTAAATAGTCACGACCAAAGGAGAACTCTCACTTCTTTGCTTGTAAATGTAAACCTACATGCGCAATTATCACACTACAAAAAAAAAAGATATATACGTGATCTTGCATACCTTCCCCCAAACACAAGAGACACTTGATGGTTTAGGTTCACCGGCATGTCACACTCGTCTCTGTTCTGGGAGGTAGCTGACAGCAGCATACTCTGTATCACTCGGATTAAGCTCCAAAACTGCTGAAGATCTTTTGGGAAAATCCAGGACGCTGTAGACCAGCGGGGGAGCGGGTGCATAGTTGGATGCCTCAAGTGTTTCCTGTAACAACGATCAAAGTCAAGGTGAATGTTTTCAATATTTACTTTGATGTTTATAGCTGAAAAGACGCAGAAAAAAGATGACTGCGCTCTTACTTGCACTGTGGCATTGGAGCTTTGTTGTTGAGGTGTGGTTTGTTTGTCTGCATAAGAAGCACAACAGGTAAAATATTGAGTCAGGCAGGCAAATAATCAATGTAATCACTTCAAGACGCAGATATGAATGTAACACTTATCAACAGCTTTGCCTTTTATATGGTGGGGAAAATACAAGTTAATTAAAGGGAAGACAAACTGGTCAGAGCTGAGGTGAAACAACCAGCTTGCAAAAAGATGGTGTTATCATTTTGAAGGAATAGTAATAGTAATTTATAATACTAAGATTATAAATCTTAATATAATTAATAGTGATTCCTGGAGTCGTGGTGACATCACACGTGTTTAAGGAGCTTTGGTCATCCTTTTTTCCTAAACTATATCTGGCATCTGGAGACGTGGCACAGGTGTACTCGGAAAATGAACTATAGTTCATCAAACAGACAAAGAGTTGATAAGTGTGGAAGAATTGGTAACTTCATAGATCCAGACTCACTGGTTCACCTCTTCATACTGGGCATTGCTATGTGTCTCCCGACTCCGAGTCCCTACACACATGGGAGCTGGATCGGTTTTCTCATCCAACTATATATATATAGATATATACATTCTTTTTTTCTTATTCAATTCAATGATGAATGAATTTCACAGAGGTTTGTAAATTCAAGCCTATTGTATTTCGTATTGACTATGTTGATGTTAGTTTGATTAAGTCTCGCTTAATTATGGATTATTCTTTTATTCATAACTCTATGTGCTATACGGTGCATGTCAATAAAAAAAAATCAAGTGTCCTCTGACAGATCTGCTGTTGTGATATTTGAAGACTCGCAGCCTTATCTGATGAAACCGTCAGCAAAACCGTGCTTCTTAACACACATACGGGAATTCACGGTGTGGTATGTGATATTGCAGAGGCTGTAAAAAAATACTTCAGAGAGGCAATGTTCCTACTCAAAGTAGGCCAGAGGAGTTTGTCTCTAAAAGGGAAAACGCTCTGGTAATAGTGAACAAATAATGCAAGTGACTTTTCGCCCACCCATTTGTGACAATACATTGCATACCATGAGGGAGGACTTCTTCTCAAATGCTGTGAGTCATCATGTATCAAAAGGATGTGAAACTGCAACCTGGTTTGCATTTTTGAGCATCTAACCACATTATTGCAAATTTTTTCCACGGAAAAGCAAATGTTCCTTTTATGTTGCTTCAAAAATGTAGAAAATAAGTAACTCCAACTAGGTCACTCAACAGTGAAAAGTCTCTAAATTAATCTCAGTAACAGCTTACATGTATTATTGGATTCAGGTTTTTGATGTATCAGGTCAAACATCAAATTCACTAGACACTAGCCTAGGACAAGGCATATACAAAGCCTGCACGAGGAGAGTAAGTTATCTGTGGCAGAGAAGTAGAAGAAGTCTATTTTTCCCTACCTTTGGTTCTTAGGAGACAACAAATCAAAAAGGGAGGTACTGCAGCCAACAGCACCACAGATGAAACCACAAGGACCAGGACGATGTATGAGGGAAATAAAATATGATTTCCACCTTCTATTTCTGCGGTGGCATTCATCATGGGAGGAACTGTAGGAGTTAAAAGGAAATAGTAAAAATATAGATAACATCTCCGCAGGAAATTATTTCATCTCAGTAACATGTCTAGTATTATATCAAGATTACAATTGTTCAAAGGAGAATGAGTGACTGTATTTAGCAACTACAACAGAATTGTTTGATTACATTTTTAACGTACAATAATAATTATTGTTGTATTAAATACAAGATGAGCCTTTTACTTGCTCACACACTAATAAAATGTGTAGCGCCAAATAATATTTCTAATAAAGCAAAAATGAGGTTATAACAGCTCTAACAATTTTTATTATGAACAACAATCTATGATCAAACAATATTAATACTTCCCTCTAGAAGCCCATTTCCCACTGAAGATCTAGAATATTTTTATCTATATAATATACATATATATATATCATATAACCCTATTCATACGTAAAAGGTTTTCCCCGTGCTAGCAGTGTGGCACCTTGAGGGAAATATGTGCAACAGAAAGTTGTATTGTTGTGAAGACCCTAATCTTCCTATTTACATATTTTACATATTTATTTAAAAGTGAAGGAGGTTGTTCATCTGAAAGGTGTCTGAAAGTTAGAGTCTGATCTTACCTGTGCTGTTTCTGTTTCCGTGCTGATTCCCCCCTCGGACAATCAGCTGGATCTTATTACTTTCAATGGCAAGTCCTGAGTCCATGAACAGAGTGGCCCAGTATATTTGACTGTGGTGGAGTTTGAGATTAGTAATGTGGCATATCACAATAGTGCTTTCAGGGTAGAGGTGAAAATCGCCCTCATTTGATGAAGTTGTGCCCTTCAAATACTCAGCAACCTTTGTGTGGTTTGTTGAGTAAACTGCAAGCTTTTCTGTGACACTGATATTAAATGTGAATGGAAAGGAGATGTTCTTGCCGAGGTTCCCGGTGACCTGCACTGTGGTGGGGCCTGTATGGAGACAAAAAAAAGGATGCAATTCAGAGATCAAGAATCAGGAAAATTTATTGCAAAAACATGTTAGACAAGGAATTTGACATGGCGGTTGCATAACATCAGACAGTAAGACAATGAGACAATGGACAACAAGACACATAACATAGTGCAAGAAAAATGGGATGTTTAATTCACAAGTTTACGATGTAACTGTTATAAAATAAAATATATAGCTATTGGCTAGCGGGATATAGAAAAAATAAAAATAAAAATAAAGGAGAAAAACATACTCTAAACAACTGTGTTGTGAGTGTATGATTGATTGCAACCACTGTCCTACAAAGCAGGGCTCAAAGGGGCCAAAGTAAGCTGCAGGATATGCCCGCTACGAGCCCTCACTGCTGGACTAACCGCAACAAAAACTTTCTCTCCATTATAGCTGGCAGGAGCCTTTAGCTTTAGCTCTAGTCAAAGCTAAATTATTTTCTTCTTTGGTTGAAAAAGTGTGTTAACCCACTTATCTAAATAAGAAAGTGAAATGCTGAGTACAATTATAATGGAGAAAAAAGCCTCAATAGTCCCGCTAAAGCTAACATAAGAAAAGGTTACATATTCACATATTGAATACATTTTTTATTTAAAAAATAAATCATAAATCATTACACGCTAAGGGTTGTTAAAACTGATCTAATGTTAGGAATGTATACCATGCAACTATTACCCAGCCTTCTTTTTTTAATCTAAAGTAATAACACAAAGTAATTTTACAAGGAAGTGTACTTGACATTTGTTGAACCTGTTGCCCCAATTTCAAAAGACATTAAACAAGAATCCCCTGAAAAACACGTATTGTGACACAAAGATTTGAGCGGATTTTAGAAGTCATCAGAAGCGTAACGACAAAGAGACAGGAAATATAATTGCAACAGACAAAATAAGTTGAAGAGGGCAGTAAAAATGTGAAACCTCAAGTGTAAAACAACAAGACAGCTTACCGTTGAAAACCATCTGAGCTGTTACAATCAAAACTAACCCGAGAGGCTTTAAGACAATGTGGTCAACCATGACAGAAGAATCGGGCAGCTTGCAGCCCCTGTGAGCCGGGCCTTGAATCGCTGGTATTGCTGACTTATTTGAGCTGCCTTGGTGTGTCGAATCCTTTGGTCTGATTTGTCTACTGAAGTAGCAGTGTTCTGGCAGTGTGTGCCTGAGACGAGCAAACTGTAGACAGGAACTTGCACAAACATAAATTATATACAAGCACCTCCCGGAACGGAAGTCTTCAAAGTGGTTTATGGACATGTGGTGCAGACAACGAGGAACTCAGCAAATGGCGCTTTTACTTACATAATCTAAGGACATTTAGGAAGAGCTAGTCGCTTTTTTAAGACATTTTACGCACAGAAAACGAATCAAAAATGGAATAGTCTTCCAAAGTCTTGATAAAGTGGACTCTGGTCAAGTGAGTTTTCATACTCAGAGACGGCAAATTATTTTAAGAGTTTTTTTGTACTAATATCTACAACATACATACACACAGCCTACACATGCACGCTCGCACACACGTAAACACAAGGCAACACTTGAACCGCAGTAGAGGAAGTTGGGGTCTTTGAAGTTCAGATCTGATTTCATGACATCACGTAGTATATCTCGGGGGGATATTGCTGGTAGCACATTTTAGTTTCAGTGGTTAATGACTGGGTCATTTTCTTGCACTGCCTGTTCTCCTGCCACAGTCGCCTCGCTAAGTAACAGCCCTCAGAGCTAACAGTGCTAACGGCGCGAACAACGCAAAAAAACAGCAACAATGGAGACGGAGCAAACTGTTGCTTCCTGAAGAGGGATCAGAGAATCGGCGGTTCGCTTTAGCAAAGACAACTTGATTTGGGACGGCGTTGACAGCTGTAACCAGCATGTAAACATACACTGATATGCGCTGAACACACGGTTGGCTCAGCTACGTCACCAAAGGAGAAAGGAGTAGACTTCATTGTCTGCTCAGCCGCTGCGCAATATCTTTAATAGCAGATGTTAGGTCGTTGTTAGAAACCACGAACCCTGCTGATTACACCAGAGAACAATCAACCAACAATAGTGGACTTCCTAACCAACAGACCCCAATCTGTCAGGTTAGTGAACATCACCTCCTCAACCTTCATCCAGAACACCGGTGTCCCACAGGACTGTGTGCTGAGCCCTCTCCTAGTTAGTACATATAGTATAGTATAGTACATAGTTCCAACAACATTGTAAAGTTTGCAGACGACACAGCGGTGATTGGCCTCATTAGCAACGATGTGTCGGCCTACAGGACAGAGGTCCACCACTTGGCTGCGTGGTGCGCCAACACCAGCCTGGCACTCAACACCAAGAAGACCATGGACCTCATTGTGGACTTCAGAAAAAACAAAGGTGGCACACGCACACACCCATCTCCATCAGGTTGAGCGTGTTGCTAGCTTCAGGTTCCTGGGTGTTCACGTCTCTGAGGACATCTCTTGGACCCTAAACACCTCAACCCTGGTCAAGAAGGCTCACCAGCGCCTCTTCTTCCTCAGGAGACTGAAGAAGGCTAATCTGTCCCCTCAGGTCCTGGTGAGCGTCTACCGCTGCACCGTCGAGAGCATCCTCATCAACTCCATCACGGTGCGGTACTGCAGTTGCTCTGTTGCGGACCGGAAATCTCTCTAGAGGGTGGTGAAAACGGCCCAGCGCATCACGGCTTCCTCACTCCCCACCATCAAGACTGTCCAGCACAAACGATGTCTGCGGAGGGCGCGCAGCATCGTGAAGGACAACTCTCACGCCAGCCATAGACTGTTTGCCCTCCTCCCCTCTGGGAGGCGCTACAGGGCCCTCTGTTCCCGGGCCAGCAGGTCCGGGAACAGACCTGCTGGCCCGGGAACAGAGTTCTGTTTAGGTGAAAAAAGTAGGATTTAAAAAAGACAAACAAATGGACTTTGGTTTGCCTTATAATGCATGATAATTGCTGGAGAAGGCAACATATTGGATTCCTACATCCGCCAATGTTGGTTTATTATGGGCAAATGTGTCCAATCAGAGTGTTCCTGAGCAAAACAAGTTCTCTCTGCTCACACATTACATTTAGTTGGAATGCACATTTCTGACAATAGATACACGATACTCTCTAGATTTAGATACTGATGGGATTATTCCGCTCGTAGTATTGTGTTTTTGCACTACCTTGTGGTCTGAATAGTGCAATACAAGTCATTTGCAAAGCCCCGGAACACGTGACCAAAAAACCCACACACATACGCAGACACATGCACAAACACACACAAGCCTTTGTTTCTCTTGCACTCACAGAGAAAAATTTCCCTGTGATGCTTCTTATTTCCTCATTTTCTGCATCATAGTTTATTGAAATAATCCCACATGAATCTCTCGCCATGTTTGTCATCTCTGTTAATAGACTTTTTTTTAAATCTATATATTGGAAAAATATATCCTGTTTCAGCACCCATTTGCAAAATCACAAAGTATATTTGAAGCAAATGCAATAGTATAATAATGTTTCAGTGGTTTTATAATACTCAGTGAAGAAATAAATGAAGCCCTCAATATTAGTGCTTTCATGGAGGGCTGGAGAGATTATTATGGCATCGGAGGAAGCATCTTTAGTCCACTGTGGAAGTATACCTGCCACTGCTTTGACATTAACTCGTGGGGGGGGCATGCTATGCAAACTGAAGGCATCAGAGGATGCTACTGAGCGGTGTAAATAATATGCTTCATGTGGCAGGTGAGAGGATCTATGGTTGGCTGTGACCATGTTTAGCATACTGTTAATCTACTCTTGATTGCATAAATCATCTGAGGCGTACATACGCTATTATTTGTGTCCACAGGTCAATCCCCACGCGGTTATCTCTTCTCCTGCCTCACCTCCCGATGCTCACGTTATAGTTATTCCTGCCTGGGTCTGCTTGCTTGTTATTGAATCCTTGAGTATCTGTGGGTGTGATTTAGGATTTTATGATTAAATAACAACATATTAACATATTTAATTTTACGTTACATCATAGCAATTCCTATTGTATTAGAAAGATGTGCAGGTATAAACAGTGATAACTTGTGATTTGCAAAACTGTACTGTCACTGTAACCTAATTTAGTGGGAGGTTCAGTCGAGCAAGCAAAACAAAACATGCGCTGAGAGGCATTTGTTATAACAACTTTTAGCTAAGCTTCATCACACACAGCAGGTATGGGAGAAAGCACACACGAGTGATGGGGAGAAAATCAGGAAAGCCCTTATTACCATGGTAACTGAGTTACTGACTAATACTGCTCCTACAAAACAAGCCCCCACCCCCAACAGGTGGTTTCAGACAGACAGACAAAGCCCCCAATTATCATGTTACTGATGTTATTACTGCGTATACCAACAATTATGAGAATATATTGTAAATATCATGGATCATGATGTAAAATTCAAGATGGTGAAAGACTGAGAGAATCGCAAACACTCATTTTAGGGTTTAACATAACGAGTGAATACAATGTCAGTCATGTTGGAGAAATAAATGTGTGCGTGTGTGTGTATATAACTTGCAGCTCTTGCAGCAGTTGCTTTATTAGAATAAAGCTCATGTCCTAGCAACGAGTCAAACCATCACCAGCTGGTAACCATGAAGAAACTGGTGTCTCATTGCTTTCCCCAGTTGCCTAGAGAACAGGACCCCCCCCCCCCCCTCCCGAGACTAGCGCGCTTGTCACACACACACACACACGGTCAACAGAGTGGACGCTAAACAAAATTGACTTTCAAGTATGCAATTATTCGATATCACACACACACCCCCTGCAGTATAAGAGCAAGAATATTGACTTTCTAGCGTCTTAGCGACTTCCGCACACACACACGTTCTGGGGGAATCTACTTCCAAGCATGCAGTTAAAAACGTGTGGAAACCTAATGCCTGCACGTGCGCGCGGTCCCGGTGAGCCAGGAATAAAACAGATGCGTTTTTAACGTGCACGCATAAGCGCGTACATACATTCACACAGCCTGTGATTCTCGAGGGGAAAGCTGTGCAATTAATGAATCCAAAGAAAATGACAGCCAAAGTCGACACACACACACACACACACACACACACACACACACACACACACACACACAGGTGTGAGAAACGCACCACGTGTGGCAGCTGTCACGGTTTCTAGCGGAGGTATTCCCCGGCCTCATCACCGCCACAGACGGTGTTCACGGCTCCGCTTCATTTAGTTCCGGAGACACATTTGGAATAATGGATTCATAGACGAAGCGGACACCTCATTAAACAACTTCCACTACGAGTCGTGTGTCAGTGTTGTGTTACGTGAGGAAGAAGACGAAAAAACGGCGCAGTGACATAAACACATAGCGGGGCTGTATGATGGAAACATTACACGGCGGAACCATCAGGTCCGCGAATTCAATCTCAACGCCAACGACGCCCAAGTTCTCCGCTCGCCCTCGTCCAACCTCGCGCCACTCTCGGCTGTCACCTGACCTCACCGGCCAAATTGATTAAGCCGCCCCTTCCGATACACTCCCGCCTCTCTCTCCCCCTTCCTCCTCCCCCCCTCCACCAGTCACATTGGAGGTGAGCGGTGGCGTTGTGGCAGTCGGGCTCCGGTGCGCCTTGGAGACTGACGGAAGGCGGAACGCGCAGAACTGAGTGCGTCGTATGTTTTATTTTATTTTTATTTTCATTTTGTAGACGCAACTGCATTTTATTTTGTTCTCCGCTGGAGACGCTGGTGACAGACGCCCCGCTTGATGGGTTTATTTTTAGTCGCCCACCGCAGCGATGAGTGCGTGTGAGCCGGACGTGAGAGCGATCGGGGCCGCGCTGGTGGAGTGAAGCGAAGCCCCCCTTCCGGGCTCTGTGATCAGCAGAATGAAGTCGAGACGAGATAAACTGAAGATCCCCTCCCTGACCCTGGAGTAAGTCCTGCTTTTCACTTTCTCCGTGGCAAAGCACAAGCTGGCGAATCAGCAACTGTTGTTTTAAAGTTATCACAGGAGTTAAATGGTCGCATGTGTGCGCGCACTGAGGCAAACGTGTGATTCGGAATATTGGAACGTACGAAATGAATTCGATTGAATTGAAAGTGTCTGCTTCAAACCATGAAAATAACCACTGCTAAAGCTCCGCGACCAGAGCAGCCAGTTGATCCTGAAATGTTTTCTCCTAGAGGGATCACTATCATCCCAGTTTACTTTTGTATTTCGTTTTTTATTTTGAAGCAGGAATGCATTTTTAGTATTGTGAGTAAAACTCCGTGGCGACTGTCTTTTGATCTTTAAAATGGTTCAACCCACTGGATGTAGAGACATCAAGCTCTCAATCTTCAAATGAATGCGCAATTCATATTTAAACTGACAAATGAGAACTTTTGGATGTGGAGTTATTGTGTCAGATGTTTTAGGTAGATCGAAATATCAGTATCAGTGTTTTACAGATCTATTGATTTTGTCCTTCCCAGTCTTTCTGCTAGTTTCTGCGATAAGGGTCATGTCTCAGTTCTGTTATCTCCTTCTTTAAGTCCAGGATTCCTGCATGATTCACACGCTCCACATGCTCCCCCTCACAGCACAGAGGCAGACAAATGGCTCCAAAACTCTGGGAGAGCAGATATTTTATTTTCATATAATTGGCAATCTGCAAATCCATATCTCCTTCAAAGGATATGGCTGCGGTCTTTTGTCCGCCCACGCTTCCTCCAGTATGAATGTAGCTCTTTTTTTTGTGGGAAAGAAGGTGTGTGGGGGGTGGGGAGGGGTACCTGCTGCCCAATGGATGGCTAATCCAAAAGGCGTAGGAGCTCCCTCACATCCACATCCTCCTCCGTTGATGATCTCAGCTAAGGATGCGCTGTTATTGTTTCAGTTTCCTTCTGGAAGAGACGTAGAGGAGGATTCGCGCCTCTCGAGCAGAAGGGGGGGTGGAGGGGTTTCTATAAGGTTTTATTGGTGGTCTGTTGATGGACGAATGCAAGTGTACAGGTGCGCACCTGTATACTTTCAATGTAGAATTTTGGGGAAATCATGCTTGGTAACGATGTATTCAGGCAGCATCCTTGTTCTTGTGTTTTGTATTTAGAACCATAATAGTTTACTCTGAAAGAGCTGTCCAACAACATGAGCAAAATATCTTTGAATATTATTATACATTTGAATGCAAGCCTAAATTTGCTTGCCATGTTTGTCATTTTGCCAGAAAATACAATCCTGCTATTTTGCCCTTCAAAGGGGTTGAAGCTTCTACTGCGCTTTGTTTAAAAACACAGCCATAACAACCTGAAGATCTTTGCGAGTGAGAAATGCGGTGAGGCTTTCTAGTCAGTTTAAACGCAATGAAGTGTAGACAAAACAAAACAGCAGAAAACGAAAACGACCAACGATTACTCACTGAAGAGCCGTCGAGAGCTTCGGTTTAGGGGTCTAAGGATGAAATACAATGTAATGAGTCACATGTGTTGTTATTAATTATGAGCCCACACAGAATAGGGAGTCTTTATGCAAGGAGTTGTTTTTCCCCCTACCATTCTCCCTGCATTACTATGACAACACATTCATTAGCGCTTTTGGTGGTGCTGTGTTTAGCACCGAGAAGCCTCTGCAGCACTAAGACAATAGCGGCACTGTAAAGCCCACTAGGCAGAGCTTACGTCTCAGCAGGAAAATCAATAGAAAATAGCTTCTGCGCTGGGTCAGCATCAGGAAGATACAGCCCTCAGGATGGCTGAGCATGCATATTCTGGTGCAGAGATGGTAGAAAATATTTCATTTGTGCAGGGCTCACTTTAAGGGGATTGTTGTCGGGGGATCTGAAGTCAATCCCCATGATCACAACATACAGCGTGTTGCCATAGTTCAAACACTGGTAACGGTTGCCTTGGATGTTGAGTAAACATGTGCAGTTTATTTTCTGCTGTGTTGACACCAAACTGCCAACTTCCTGTGGAGTGTGTGCTCACGAGAGGTTAGAAACGCGACAAATTCAGATGCACCAAGCAACACTTACAGAGAGGCATCAGCCTGCACACATCGGCTTGACTGGTGTCCGCCGAGGAGAGGCAGGTCGGCAAACCTCCAACCCCTCGACCGAAGCTCTGCTGCCGTGCCATGGTGCCGAGTTCAAAGCACTAATCCGTGTAAACATGTCTTGCCTTACAGTTTGTCGCCCACATGCCAGAGCCCCACTCTCCTGAGCCCATGCAGCCCCTGCAGCCCGTGCAGCCCCTTACAGACCCTTCACCCCTGGAGGTAAGACAAGTCTCTCATCAATGAGTCCTTTCGCTGTAAAACCGACAATGAAATGATCCATATAACAAAGATGGTCTGTGTAGCTGCAGCCTGATACAGCTCATTTGTCCAAGACTATAGAAAACACATAAATGAGCGCCAACTTTTGCACTGGTTAGCTAATCTATTTATTCCCAAGAATTCAATAGAACATCAAATATTTGTTTGGCGCAAATACTCTCTAAAGCATTACATGTTTTAACACGCTGCCAAAAGTAGTCCTCAACATGTTTGCCTAAAACTAACTGTTCATACTTGGAAAATGGCTCATGATAATGATAAATAACACCAATACCAGTACTACTAATACTAATACTAATTACTACTAATAGTAATATGATATACATCATGATATACGAATATTAATGAAATTGATAATAATCAACTTAATTTATAGAAAGCTAAGTAGTGAAAATGTACTTTTGTCTGCAAGCCTCAGAGCCTCAGGCAGCGAGTTCCATAGTTCCATAGATGCCCATTCTTCTCTAGTGTGAGCTCGAGACTCTGGAACAGCTATTCGGCAATGTAGCAAGAGTCTGAACTCCCCCCATGTTATTTTATGGTTATTTGATTTAAAAAACAACGTTAATTCTTGACCCTTTCAGCAGCAGTGCTTTCAATCCTGTCACAACCTCTTGTTATTTGAAAATGTGACCGCCGGGTCAAACTCCCTCTGCTGAGGAACACAGTGTGATATAATCAACACCTCCTGGACCGCAGTACTAAATGGAACATGTGGCGTGATCGTAATGTTAACTCAATTGACAATAATTGACTCAATAACCCATTTTTGAATAACAACGTCAAAATGAACAGCTACCCGCAATGTTGTCACAATGGGTTTCTAATTACAGATAAAACCACTATAACTAAATCAATAAAACAAATAAATATTGTGAAATTAAAAATGGAATTTATTTGGGAAAAAAGGCAATATGCATTAAATCTGAGTTGTTCTTTGCTATATAAAAGGTGCCTCTGTTTCCCCAGTGAAGACCTATCATTTATTAGTTGTCCCTATGTGGGTTGCTTGGCAACGGTACTGGGTGCTGTGGAGGTAGGCAACGCTGCAAAGAGAGGCGGCTGCATCCAGCATGTTTCTGGATGTGTGAGCAGTGATAGGCTGTCACACCACACATAGAATTTTCTCAGTTGAAAAAATTGCAATTATTTTAGTGAATGCATTCCTCAAGACAACTCTCTCATCTTAAGTGCTCTAATTTCATGTGTGTTGGCTTCCTCACGGCATTTTGCATCAGAGACTCCCCCCGTGTTATTTCACCATCCAAAAATAGTTTTTTTTTAAAATCAGATCCGGTATTTGTATGTATTTTGTGTATTACTCTAGGTGACCAGTAAAGAACCCTTTTTTTTACAACTACATCTTGTCTCTAGGAGACTCTCTAAGTCCTGACCTGGCCTTGAACAGTGATATAATCAGAGTTTTAATCAAATAAATAAAAGCAATCTTTTGTGTGTGGCTGTGAATTAAGCATTACCCTTAAAGTATGTATGCTGGATTGAGTTTTCTTTCTTATGTAGTGTCATTTAAATACTTACATACTAGTTATAACTAGGCTTTACGACCACCAAAGCTACCTTATCCAATAGAATGTACCACGGTTTAAGAATTGGGCTATAGCATGGGAGTGTGTGAGAGGGAGGATCACATATGATCCTCCCTCTCACAGACTCCTCATGGTTTAACCCAACAACATATTAAGCTGCGTTCAAGTTCCGTAGGAGAATTACACTTTAGAATGGACGCACATTAGTGACCAAATAGGTAAAGGGTGTGTTTCTATAGCAATGGTTCTAACTCTTGACAAATTACTCTGTAGGTTTGCTGCACTACCAAATATTACATAATTGTGTGTAGACTAGGCCAACAAACTAAACTAAACAAGCACTTTCCAAGTGTGTACATCCAACTTAGAACGTTCTTCAAGGTCCATTGAACCAAAAACACCTAATTGGCATGTTTATAAAACAAGCCACATGCCATTTGAATTGCACTGATGAAACCAAGTGCGTTGTGTCCTACTTTAATTCCGCAAATTGGGACGAGCATTTTTTTTTTTTTACAAAATAGTTGTTCTGCGTCTTCTACGTCAGCAGCACACCGAGGGAACGAGTGGCACTTGAATGCGGCACCAGTCTCCAGCCTGCTCGCATAGAAACAAACCGAGCCAGCGGCGCGTGCTCGGCGAAACCAAACGCGTGTTGCCACCAGCGCCGCGTAGATGGTTATTACACAAAAGAACAAACTTGCATCCATGTGATGTTTCCCGCGAGATAACCGCGCCGCGAGAGCCGACCCCGGCGTGTAACGGCAGCTCCAGAAGCCGTTGGGACCGTGCGCAGACTACAAAAGGAACCCGCCGAGGAGAAGAGAGGATGATCGGGAGAGCAGCGGCGGTTGGAGCGGGTTTCACCCGGAACCGAGCTTCAGTTCACGGAAACCACCGTTAACTTTGAAACCGGGTCATACATGCGAGGGAACCCCCCTCCCGCTCCTCCTCCTGATCATCGGCCCAGCATGTCGGATCCGAGTCAGTGGTCTGCGGTGGAGAACCAGAACCAGAAGTCCCGTTTTGTGCCCGCAGCTTTGCTGAAGCGTTCGAAAAGGTACGAAGAGTCGGGACACGCGAGTTGGAACGCGACCCAAACGGTTCATTCCGGCTTGTTCCCTTTGTTGGGTTAAAACGCCGTCACGCGCGTGGTTTCATCGATCTCTACCGGTCGGCTTTAATTTACGCGTTACGTTAAAACGTCCCCGGCTTAAGCTAACGTTAGCTCCTCTCCTATCGTATCGCAGAAAGCCCGACGCTAATGACGCGAATCCGGGTTTTTTTGTTTGTTTTGGTGCACTGCTTTTGTCCCGGAAATAACTTCACTGAAAGTAACTAACGTCAACGGAGGCTCTTTTTTTTAACGGTAAAAAGTCCATGCTTCAAATACCGGACAAACCTATATGATTTCCCTTTGTTGAAACTGGAGAGTCTTTGGGGGCTGTTGTTGACGTGGAGCGAGGCCCGGGTCGGTGGAGGTTATTGCCGTGAGGGCACAGACGTTTGTGTACTGATGACTGGAGATAACAAACAGTTGCAGCTGTTGTCTGTCTGATAGGAGACACCACCGCTGGATGAATGAAGCGCAGACATGACAAAAGTGTGCTGTTATCCAGTTAGTTGTTTACACTTATATTATTATTGATTTTAATCTTTTTGGATAGTGGTCTTTAAAATGACGAATGACCTTCTTACAGAGCTCAGGGTAATGTGTTCAGATCAACAGTCCAAACCCCCACAGATTTGATATTAGTCATATAAATCAATGAAAAATAGCAAATCCTCACAAGTTTTGAAGCCGGATAATGCAAATGTATTCATAGTTTTGCAACCACATTTTTTTCTATAATAATCAGATTCTTTAGCAGATTGATACTGTTGTCTGAAATGTCACAATTTCCCAGAGCTTTAAGTCTTCTAATCCATCCTTCAAATCTATAGTACATCTCACGTATGTTTTCTATTCTGCAGCTCAAATAGCAAACATCTACAAAGCTGAATTGTGACATTGTTAAGCATTTTTGCTTAGAAGATGACATAATTCAAAGAAACAGTTGTCGGAAAGTCTTATTGTTTCGTTGAATAAATAAATTGAGCGTTATTGAGAACCGTTTATTAAAATCTTGATTCTTTTTAATGGCATTGGTCAAAATGTGCCCCTTCTTATCAAGACTAGATGATTGTTTAGCTCTCCCTCCCGCCTTTTTACACACACACACACACACACACACACACACACACACCATGTTGGACATCTCAAGCTGGTCGTGCAGCTGCTGTCGCTGCACGTACCCCTTCAGCACAGAGTCTGTTGACAGGTGCTTTTTTCTCTTTGTTTTGGCTCTTGTCAATGTTCTCTCTTCTACGACTCGGGCATGGTGGTGTGTCATGCATTTGCTTGCAGATTAGAGTTTTAGTTACATAAACATCTCTGAAGGCAGAGCTGCTCTGAAGGCGGAAATAATGTCATCATTGGAGTTAAATCTCAGTGGGCACAGACAAAGAAATCTCTGTTCTTCCCGCTAAGTATCATAAGCCCCATCTGTTCTAGACCACAAGTGTGTATTTTTGGTAACTATAGACATTTTAAGTGTTTATTTTTTAGAAACCATTGGTCTGGTTGCGGTTGATAATAACCGAGATGAATGAGTTCTACCGACTGGACCACAGTGTGCAGCTGAATGTGATGATTTATGGGGACACGTTTGAGTACGACTCCAAAACAGCCTCCTGGTTTTTGGTTTCTGTGTCCTGCAACTGGGCTTTTTTTCAGATGTCAGAAAGAAGAGGAGCACGCTGAAGTTCTGCAGCACAGAATTTACTGCAAACCACGAACCTCATTGATCAAAAGATTCTGGAAATGCTTATGATGCGGCTTTCAAATTTAGTCAACTGAATATCTTCTGGTTTTGGACGGTTGGTTGGATAGAATTATTTCATTTGCTTGGGCTCTGCGAGGGTTTTTTGGATTGGTGGGTGAAAGAGCGATTAAGGGAAAAATAAGTTATTGATATTTACATGTCTATCCAAAATAAAATATAGTATGACTGTGCCAGCCTTGCACTGCCAGGTGTAATGTGTAATAATTACTCACATTGACACCCATGTTTATGTGCTGCATCCTGTCTGATGTTAAACAAACGGGTTTGCCGTCTTTTTGCATAGACCCGTCAGTGAACACACTCTCAATAATCCTGTGTATTCATTAAAAGTACGTTTTCAAATATTCAATACAACAAATGTGAGCCGCTTCCTTTCTTGTTGTTAGGCTTAAAAGCCTCTCCATTCGCCTGGTAGCCTTGGTCTGAGCAAAAATAGGCCCTGTAGTATTCAAAAATGAAGAAACGCCGGACAGACAGAGGTCATTGCAGATGAAAAGGATAAAATCAAATGTATTTAATAAAAGAGATGGTGTTGTGGTAAAAAGAACATCTCAGCTGAGGAGCCGCTGGTCTCAGCAACCAACAGGCCCCAGGTCAGTCCTTTTGACCCCCCATAGTGCCCGTCTGTTGTCTCCACCAGCGAACTCAAGAACAATGGTTGCCTACAGAGGTGTGAAAGTTAGTGTCCACACCTCTGGGAGGGGTCTTCTGGTTCAATGTAACTCGGATTTCGAATGACCCTTAGTCAATATCAGTTGTTGTGCAAGTATTACATGCGTGCATTCCAGTTGATTACATTACATCAAATACAATCATAACTGTACATTGGTATTATTCTATTACAGTCTCATATTTACAGTGGTTTTACAATATTGTCATTACTTTATTGATTACACAGTTTCAGAATCATGGCTGTATTCTGGTGTACACTATGCATTTTATTGATTTTATGAATCGATTCGTCAGTTTATTTCTAATATCCTACAGCCCCTAACAGACAAATCAAATTAATTGTAAAGAAAATCATGAAATTCTATACAACTTAAAAGTTGTAGTGCTCAGAACACCTGGACTGCAGGTCTCCAAGCCAGCATACTTCTGGTTGGCGAGGGAACGCGGATGTGGTTAGATGTTATCCAGGCTCATTGCGTGCGATACAACCGTTCCATTTTAGTGGATGACGGAATTGTGGGTCTTGTTAATCATTAAATTGTGTTCTGTGTCTTTAGCCTGCTGCTCAATAGGGCACACAAACACACACTTGGATATAAATACAAGCTGAGGAATCGTATGAGTCAAACGTGTAATTATAGGTGGATAAACAAAAACTGTTCGGCTCAGAGGAACTGGTTGTCTTCTTTCTAGTTTGTACTGAAGTTTAGTTTAACTGTTATGAAAAGGAATGAGAAAATACCCTCAATGCAAACATCTCAGCGCCGACAGTATTAACCATTCACCCATTTTCTTTTATACAACGTGTGATGAGGGATGCAGGAAAGGTTGCATGATGTGGCTGGCAGCCAGTGTTGATGTTTCTCTTTTTTTTTTTTCCCTCCAGCTGTCGCAGCAGCAACAGGAAGAGTCTCGGCGTCGGGACACCGTCACCCACACTGTCCCGGCCGCTGTCCCCGCTCTCACTCCATACTGGTAAGATCTGCAGTGGTCTGCTTTTTAACCCGACAAGCCCCAGCATGACCTGCTAGTCACGCTGTTGGCTGTACCCAGGCTGCAGTGTCAGATAGCAACTCACTTCCCGATGTCAAACCGCAATGATGCACAAGTGCACATAAAAGCTAAAACGCCCTGTAGGATTTCAAAAGATTTAGTTTGTCTGTTTGTATTTAACTGTGTTCTGAAAAACAAACACGTCCACGGCAACTAAGCCCATCGCTTTATTTTGCCATACTGCCCGCGATGTTAGCGATGCTGCTCCCAGCAGGTGTTTTTTGGCTAAGCCAGCTGGACATTTGTTATTCAAACCCAGCAGGATGGACTCGTCTGTGCTGTTCTGCATGTCCACACTGTTTGAGAACAGTGTGAGATATTCTCAGTCGAGCCCAGTGTCGTTATTTGACACTGACACCATCATGCCTAATTTGTTCATGTGCCTATTATTGATGAATTGGGTTTAAAGGTCATTTTTCTTACCTGGAGATAGAATTGTGAGCGCCACACAGGTTTTATGTGAACACACACACACACACACACACACACACTTTTCAGATATAAGCATTGAAACATTCCACAATGTGGAAAACTTGAACTGCGATTGATTAATTACATTAATTACATCATTACCTTGCATTAGCTCCCACTCACCTTAACAAGGTTAAGCACGCTCATCTACTGAGCTGGGCGGCACGGTGGCGTGGCGGTTGGCACTGTCGCCTCACAGCAAGACGGTTCGACTCCACCCGGCGGCCTTTCTGTGTGGAGTCTGCAGGCTCTCCCCGTGTCTGCGTGGGTTCTCTCCGGGTACTACGGCCTCCTCCCCCAATCCAAAGACGTGCTCTTGGGTTCAGGTTGATCGTTGACTCTAAAAGTTGCCCGTAGGGGCGTGGATGTGAGTGTGAATGGTTGTTTGTCTCTGTGTCAGCCGTGTGATTGGCTGGCCTTCCAATGCACGGTGTACCAGTAGAATTACTTGTCTGAAGAGATGGAACTACAGAAATTATTGAGATGATTGAATGTCTAAATGGTTGTTGTCTTTAGCTTTCTGAATCCACAATGGTACAGACAGTTCACGGTCCCCCCAATGAGGTAAAGCGCCGTCACTATAAAAATCAACTTCTGCTCAAGAGCTCCTCACTTAGTAGTACGTGCATGTGCTCCCTTTTGAACATATCACGCCGAGGATTATCTAATCACAGAGTGCAGTCGGGCTCTAATAAGGTCTCTCTTGTGTTGTAATTGGTACTACTCAACCACTAACTTGTGAACACACCGAAGTGTGCAGTTTACCCAGACATCCTGCCTCTGGTGAGACCAAACTGGATGAGGCTTTGCCTTGAATTAGGATTTGGGTTGCAGGTTAAGCCCCCCCCCCCAATGGTTTTGCAGTAATTGAGGCCTATTGCGTCAATATAATGTCATCCTTTTTGCACCGTGTAATTTTCTCTTTTCCATTTTCATGAGTTTATTATTACAGTTCTGAATAGCACCGGTACTAACTTGTGTCTTTTGCTTCTTCAGCTGCGAGCAGCCCTCTAGACAGCCCACGAAATGTGTCGACCAGTGCCTGCCTCAACTTCCCGTTTGCCCGAAGGTACGTCAGCACTGCTCGCTTTTCTCCATGTAGAAATATAAATCCCCACTGGAGAGATATTCATTCGATGTGAGGAATTTCAGGGGTGTCATTTGAACAAAACCATTTTTGGAATTTCTATTTCAAGTTTCCTTGAGACATCTATAAACAATGTTTTACTTCCCCTATCAATAAGCTAAGTTGCTCTTGCCTACAAACCATTGCTTGTTGTAGTTTGACATTGAATTGGTCCCTTTAATGTACCAAATATTAAAAAAATCGAAAATGAATTAAAGCTAATGTGTAATGTTACTCTACGCTGGGACAGATGCAGAAAAACAGAAGTGAGTCGGACTCCGCCTGGAGTGTTCACACCTTTCTCTCTCTACCAGGTCTCCGTTAGGTAGAGGGTACCCCCAAGCCCACTCCTATCATTATCATTTCAATCCGGTTCCTATGGCAACAGGCCTGTCTCACTCCCGGCATGCATGTGTAGCCTGCAAGTGAGCTGGCACCTAGAAGACACCCAAGAACAGTTGTTAAAAACTCCCAATTAGTTCAGGTGCTTCATCATGAAGTACAATGGGAACAAGAGGGAAAACAACACCTGTAAAAAGGCGTGTAAAGCACGTCATACGATAGTGTTCTACCACGGTAAAAGCATACCTATGCTTAAACCTCAAATCATTAATTGTTTTGACCTTAACAGGAACATCACAATCCCATCTGATTTGATCACTGTGCTGAGGGGAAAAAAGCACATTTAGGCTACAAACTTCTTGCATCTGTCATCTGCAGTGCTGCACTAATAAAAACTAAAAGCCCTGCAGGACAATTGGTGCACCTGTTCATTGGGGCTTGAAATAGGTTGTCTCTTGATTTTACTTTTAAGTCGGTGTTTAGTGAACCTCTTCAGTTGAAGCTCATGACCAAATGAAACTCGTAGAAAGAAAAAGAAACTGGTGGAAACAGTCATGATGCAGCGATAGCTTCGTAAGCCTTAATTTACCAAGGTGCTCTTGAAACCCATGTTATGTTACACTCACATGTACAGCATCGATGTATAATGTGCAGTAGTCGCTCTCTGAAACTTACAACGCACAATCTTTAGCCGTTAGATTCATTGGCTGGTATCTAAAGCCGGAGAGAATATCCTCTCTGTTGTAATGCTATGAAAGCGAGATTTGTTTCTGTTATGTAAACTACATCCTCAAATTAATTTTAGTTGGTGGCTTACTTGCTTGCTTGTGTCTGGGCAAATGAAAACTGGCAAGGAGGGCAACATTGTCAGTACTAATCCCTCAGCTGAATGCCAGGGGTCACAGGATCACTTGTGCAATATTCCCTAAACCCTCTGAAATTCTTTCCTTTGCTTTTCTACTTCCCTTCGGCGCTGTCGGGATCTCAGTCACTTGGCGCGCGCCGACAGGTAGCTTCTCTTAATATTCTATGTCTGTTGGCTTTTAAAGCTTGGGTTTACTATTTGTTATTCACAAATAAATGCTTCTCCTTTATGTGAAGGCATAGCTTGATTTAACAAGCTGCTTTAAATCTTAATGAGGACACCAGGCCCTGTTATATATGATTTGGATAACAGGGCTTTCATTTCCTGCTCTTGTAGCCAAAGGAACGCTCTGTCGTCTATTATGTAATGAGTTAGACCAATGAAATGCTAAATTATGCCAATGCTGCTGAGGCTTACGTAACATGCGTGTCCGTTTCCCTCAGAGCCGAGGGCCGGAGATGGTCCCTGGCATCCCTCCCCTCATCTGGGTATGGAACGAACCCGCCAAGCTCCACTGTCTCGGTAAGTAATCCCAGAACATGTCGTCATCATCCTCCCCGGTCGATAGATGGCAAGGCCATTCCGACACTCCGCTCGGTCCAAATAGCACATTTGTTCATGCAATAAGGGGCAGCGAGTGCCAAGTCTGTGGTGACACACAGCTAATTGTTTTCCTCTATCATCTGCTTGAATTAGTCATTTTCTCGGTCCGTGGAACTCAGTGTTAGAAGTATTGAACACAGTCTGTGCGTATGCATGTAAATGAGAAGATCAAGGAAAATGTTCAGTCCTTTGAGATTAAATACTTAAACTGACTTTTTTTAAGACTACTGTTTTGTTTCAATAAAAACTCACAGCACATATAAGTCACATTACAGACAGCTTGTTGCATTTAACCTGATGTGCTTGTTTGATATTCAAAAAGCTTGTATTGTGAATTATTTTATTCTGGATAATTGTCCAAATAGGCAACATGTTTTTCGGAGCAGACTTTTTCCTCTTGGTAAAGTGGACATTCGACACAGTGTGCTGAGTCTGTGGTGAAAGTCGGCCGTGTGCAGCTACTACAAAGAAATGTATGGGCTCTTGTGCAGACCCACAGGTCAGGAGGGATAATGGGGCTTTTCAGTGGGCCTCTCTGCGCCCTTAATGCCGAGAAATTAGAAGCACACTTCACAAATGCCGCCCCGCTCGCCCTCTTCTCTTCAGAACAGTTGGGCCTCAAACTTGAACAGAAGGCTGGTAATTTACACCACGTCCAGTTTGAGAGAGAGTTTACTCAAATCCTCAGGAGACTAAATGAATATGACTTGTTTCTGTAAATAACAATGCCTGTTCATTGTTATCAACATCAATATGGGAAGAAATGCTTTTATTATTGTCTGGAGAGGTCATCTTTTTTGACAACTTTCTCATGAATGATGGTGGGGAAGATGTTAACATGAATTTTTAAACTGACTTTTTTTGTCTCTGCAGTCCTCCTCGTCCTCCCAGGAGCGTCTTCACCAGCTTCCCTACCAGCCGACTCAAGATGAGCTGCACTTCCTCTTCAAGCACTTCCGCAGCACAGACAGCATGACCGACGAGGATGGGCGGCCCTCGACCGTCATACGACCTCGGTCCCGAAGCCTCAGGTAGCTTCTTCTGTGTTTACCTTCTAATGGAATGAGTCGGCAAAATTATTGTTCTATTTTTTTTTTTAATGCTACATATTTCTTTTTAGAAATAAATGGCTCCAAAGGCAAAGAGATTTTTTACCATTACGTGAAATGACATTCTTTACTGTGGGATAGACATCATATATCTTAAGAAAGGGCAAGTGTTAGTGAATTACATTTGTTGTTTATATATTCCTATGAAAACTTTTTTTTTTTTTTATAGTTTCTTGGCCTGTCATTGAACAAATTAAATTGGTATTCTATACAGATTAAATGTGTTTATCATTACTAAAGCATTAACTACCTCTTTGTTGCAGAAAAAGATTTTTAATATGTCCTCCACAATTCATGAGGTCCGTGGTGTCTTTATGTACTTGTACACTAGATGTCAACGTCTCTGTGCTTCAGTGTGACCACGACAAATTCCCAAGCAAACATGGCATTTGGTGTCTGAAGTGCTCCTGACGGATTAAACGTCGGTTGGCCGGCGGGCCGGTGGAGATCTCACCGTAGAGCTGTGTGCTTTCTGACAACTTTTGTCTGTTGGCTCTGCTCCGTGCTGTTTGTGCTCTGTGTTCTGGCACCGTGGTGTGCCGCGCGTGGGCGTGCGAGCTAAAGGAGCGCCTCGGGGATCTAGCTGCTGAACTGTAGTGAAGGGGTGGGGGTGGTTTATGGGGGGGCGGGGGGCTGATGCAGAGAACCACGGTGAGCTGTAGTGTGTTTGGCAGCAGCCATCTGGTTTAACATGACAAAAAGAAAAAATGGCTTTAGCAGCCTGTTCGCATGTGATTTTCCCACCATCTGTTCAGTGATGGCTAATCAAGCAAGGTTTTCTTTCTTCTTTTCTTTTTAATACACACGTCTTATCGGCCTAAATACTGAAGTGATGTTGCAGTAAATGACTAATTGAGTGATGTTGATGATTCACACTGTTTGGCCATAAGCAACCTCTGCTGTTTGCTTAGAAACATTGAAACCCGACAGTGAAATCTCCTCCGATTGTAACTCTACCACCTTAAGAGCAGCTGAATCAAATCTTGTCTCACAATGATGCATTTGACAGGTTGAGAAATAAAATACAAAGTGTAGATGTTGACCTCTTAAAACTTCATTTCATTTGAACCAAACTTTGGATTTTCGAGTTGATGTGTATACGTTTGGGTGTACTGAACTGAATTGGCTTTTGATCGTTTTGGCTTTTGGCTTTTGATCTGACTGATGGCCTCGATGACATAATCCCTTTCACACCCGGTGCTAGCTTGGTGGAGAGTTGTTGTTGTTGTTGTTGTTGTTGATCGATTCAAATATACTCATCCGTTGTTTTGTTTCTGTTTCAGCCCCGGCCGATCCAGTGTCTCCTTTGATAATGAGATTGTGATGATGAACCATGTTTACAGAGAACGTTTTCCAAAGGTACACACAAGAACACGGTAGAACATCTGTGAAGCAAAGACCCTGTACATTGCTCTTTTTCCAGTTTTTCGCACACGCGTGTTGTCTCCCTAAACGAAACAATGTTTCATTGTAAATCCACCTAAAAGATGACAAAGCTCAGCAACAGTCTGTTGTGCTTACTCTCTGGAGACGTGCCATCAACAGACATATTATAGACATTTGGGAGTAAAAAAAAAATCATAATTACTGGCCCTTATAAATGCCATAACTGTGTTTGTGTGTTTGTTTCCCTGCAGGCCACAGCCCAGATGGAGGAGCGCTTGTTTGAGATTATCACCCACTGCTCTGCAGACAGCTCCCTCCCGCTGGCTGACGGGGTGCTGGGCTTCATCCAGCACCAGTTGGTCGAGCTGGTCAGAGACTGTCTGGACAAGTCCCAGAAAGGCCTGGTTACCTCCCGCTATTTCGCTGAGCTGCAGGAGAACCTGGAGAAGCTGCTTCACGAGGTGCGGAAACGGCTTGTTGATTTGGATGTAGCACGACTGATGTCAAATGTTTTCATTTGTAACAATTATTACTATAATGTAACTTAATTGTATTGTACAGATTTCAGCATTGGCTGATGAGCTACTACGTCTGAAGTCGACACTCAGATGTGATAAAGTTAAAAAAGAGGATTGATTGAGCAGCCACTCAATAACCGTCTCATAGCTAAAGGCAAACAAAATAGATCTGGTTCTGGAAATTGTCAGTGATGGGGAGAAGCGTTTTTATCTGTGTTGGGAAAAATATTAGTTTCTATAGCAACCTCTTCCCCTGTTCCTCAGCTAGCGGTGAGACAGAAGGCATGGCCGACTCGCTCTTCCTCCACTTTTGTACTAAGGCCACATTGTTTAAAACATGTTACAATACATTTTCAATCATCTTATCTAGGCTCTTCATTTTTGGTTTGATATATGCAGTTTCAACTTCTTTCAGTTGGTAAAAGCTGTGCATTGCAGGCAAATGAGGAGGGAAGACAAACTACAAGCAGAGGACTGGGTCTGACTCTCCTGGCAAGTCATAATTGATGACTAAGAGGGATTTCTTTTTTATGAGTCCATAAATAGTTTGTTTTAAGAAATTCCTGCATAGAATACCTTAGTGTAGGAATTCATTGACACTTCAGAAGTGCTGATACTAGGATTTCTTTTTTTTTTTTTTACCTGTGCAGAGGTATCCGTTACCCCGTTTCCAGTCTTGATGCTAAGCTAAGCTTTGTACCTCATATTTAACAACATGTGGGTGAAGTATCGATCGCATCAGGGTCCAGGCTCTACACCTACATACATGGTATGCCATGCAGCCTGTGTTTCACTGGTACAAATTGTCACTACAGGCAACAAGAAAGGCTGCATGTCACCCAGTTATTATTCCTGTATTTCCTGTTGGTTACAAGGTGATGTCTCCTCTGATGCAGGTCTGTTGGGTGGCTTCGGGTGTTTCTCTTAAATGCCCTCCCCATTGGCTTTGAGCCAGCTATTTTTAATGTTTTTAGATATCCTTTTTCAGAAGCAGTGCCTTTTCTACTTTTCTCAGGGGTTGAATGTGTGTTTAGCCACCATGATCAATTGTTTTTTATCATTAAACCACTTTGCTGTGCTGACACCCTTTTTGCACACGTTTTTAATTTGTAACTTGTAGTTCAATTAGCACATTGATGTTTTTTTCCCCATTCCATTCCAAAATATCAATCTTCTTACCATGGAAATCCCCCTTTTCCCCCATTATCTTTTAAAATAGAAATATTCATTATTAACAGTTTAATTTGTATATTTTTTTCTTTAATTCTGCATTCCCTGACTTTTAATCTCTCCCTTGGGTGTTTTTTGAAAAGCTTGTTGGCTGCATAAATAGACTTGTCATTTCTTTCTTTGTCAGGCCTACGAGCGCTCTGAAAGCGAGGAGGTAACTGTCATCACCCAGCTGGTGAGGAAGATCCTCATCATAATCTCCCGGCCAGCTCGCCTCCTGGAGTGTCTGGTAAGCTGACGAGGAGAAAATGTCCCCCATAATTATTTATAATAATATAAAGATGTATATGGATTATATAATAATCTAATTATTATTACTAACAAAGCTGACAATCTTGAGAAAGAAAAGACTTCTAAAAGATTTCTAAACCTTAACTATACTGCCCTGTCAGTAGATAAATGTTTGCAATAAAACGGTTTTCAAGAATATTTGGTTGAGTTTTTAAATATATATGGAATGATTTGAGCATCTCATGTGGAATTCCATTCAAGAATTAAACCACAAATATATGCATGTTTAGTTATCATTTGAGTATATTTTGTCTTTGTGTGGTGTTACAAATAGTCTCTATAAATCACCCAAAGATTAAACCCTGTAGTTTCAACCAAGCTGCTGGACATGTAGCCTCTTGGATGAGGAGCTAAAAAAATTAACACTACAACACTTTTGTTGTTTCCTTCTTTGAACTCAGTCAGTTTCAGCCAGTCCACATTAATGAGACTTTGCTGCTGTTGACAGGAGTTTGACCCGGAAGAGTTTTATCACCTACTCGAGGCAGCAGAGGGTCATGCTAAAGTCGGCCAGGGAATCAAGACGGACATCCCGCGCTACATCATCAGCCAGCTGGGTCTGACACGGGACCCTTTAGAAGGTGAAGGAGTTCTCTGCCATAACGCCAAGTCTGCTATTGTTTACTCATTCGTAGCCGGAAATTAAGGTTCAGTAAGTTCAAGGAACTTTTGGAAGTTTTACTTTCACAAAAACTGCCTGTAGGAATCATCTTATGTTCAGCTAGATGACAACCTTCTGTTCACAGAAAATCCTAATTATGTGTGACGTGTTGATTGTGCGAGTTGAAGATTCTTTGCAGTAATATTAAACCCTGCCCTTCCCTCTCTTTCTAGACATGGTGCAGCTCGAGCAGTATGATGCCAGTCCTTCAGTGTCTGTGGAAATGGAGGCAAATGGGGAGGTAAACATTCCCATAATTATTCCTGACTACCTGTTAGTGTGGAAAGCGTTTGATGTATTCAGGATTATTTGAGACTTATTTGAGGGAGAAAAGGTGCTCTCTCAACAGACCGTTTCTCCTTACATGTCCCCAAAGAAATGTGTTCAAGGGGAAAGTAGATCTCAAAATTCAAAAGATGGTTCACTTAAAATACTAAACGCAGCAAACGATTACTGGAGTATAGAAAAATGTTATCAGAATAACAGTATTGCTTCTATTGTGTTGCTTTTGTCTTGCCCATGAAGAGCATTCTATTTCTGCTTCCTCTCCACAGAATAAAGCCCCACAGACTCTGACACCGACTCGACGGAAACCTTTTGAGAGTGATTTTGAAACAATCAAACTCATTAGTAATGGAGCTTACGGGTAAGAACAAGAGGCCATTGCTGAAGTTTTCTTTTCTCTTTATTGGCATTGGTTAGTAGTTTTTACAAAAGATTTGCTGTTTAACAAAGTATAAAAAACATTCTAGGCTGAGAATAACAAGACCTTGAACACAAGTCAAAGGTTTCCTTGAATCTATTGCATGCTGTATGTTCCACTCAGCCTTTTTATCAAACTATAGAAATGTGATTACATTAATTATGTCTTAATTGTCTTGTCAGAAACAAAATTCCTTCTTTTGATTAACCATTCAAAATACCCCCTCTAAGAAAATATTAGTTGAAGTATGGTTTTTAAATAATTACACAGCAGCATGTTTCCTTTGTCTCCGTAATAGCTCAGACTGTCAGAAGAACAGAAAGCGGCTCACGGGGCGCTGCAGCCCTGTCGATGCCGTAGTGAGTTGGATTAGCATATGGTGAAGGGACTCCCTACTACTCAGAAGTAAAAGTAACTCTTTTAGAATCTGCAAATAGCCAATGAGCCACCCTCGTTTTTTTTCCACGTCCTCACTGACAACGTCCCATAAACGTCTTCTTGAAACCTTTTTACCGATAACTGTGTGTGTGTGTGTGTGTGTGTGTGTGTGTGTGTGTGTGTGTGTGTGTGTGTGTGTGTGTGTGTGTGTGTGTGTGTGTGTGTGTGTGTGTGTGTGTTGTTTTTTTGACAGGGCTGTGTATCTCGTCCGTCACAAGGAGACCCGCCAACGGTTCGCCATGAAAAAGATTAATCGGCAGAACCTGGTTTTGAGGAACCAGATCCAGCAAGCTTTTGTGGAGCGAGACATCCTGACTTTTGCCGAGAACCCCTTCGTCGTCTCTATGTTCTGCTCTTTTGAGACACGACGTCATCTCTGCATGGTCATGGAGTATGTGGAAGGTAGAGTACAGAGAGGCTGCTGTGAGTGATCTGTGGTTGGACATTTGGCTCTTATCTAATCTGGAGCGGTTTACACTTAGTGGTAATGTTGAACGACATAGTAGGAAAAGGTCATCCAGGCAACACAAGTCGATGCTCATGTCTTTCTGTTTTTGTTTTTCATTAAGGTGGAGATTGTGCCAACCTGCTCAAGAACATGGGCCCACTACCTGTAGAAATGACACGGTTGTACTTTGCTGAGACTGTCCTGGCCCTGGAGTACCTTCACAACTATGGTATTGTGCATCGGGATCTCAAACCTGACAAGTGAGAACACACAAAGCGCTATATACAATATACAAAGTATTTCTCCCTTGAGAGTTGCATCTGGGTTTCTTGCATTCGCTTGCACAAGTCACTGAAAATGTGGAAAGCTCTGAAGTATATCACGTCTCTTGATGCTCATGGATTGCTTTGTGTTGTTCCTCCTCGCAGTCTGTTGATCACTTCTATGGGCCACATCAAGCTGACGGACTTTGGACTCTCTAAAATTGGCCTGATGAACATGACCACCAACCTTTGCGAGGGTCACATGGAGAAAGACACCAGAGAGTTTATAGATAAACAGGTGAGACTGCTTCAAAAGCAAAACAAAGTAACCAAATCATCGTTTTCTATGTAAGACACTCTCATAAATACGGGCGGCAGTTGTTTCTTTTCCCCCTAAAGCTCACCTGTGTCGGTCTGCTTGTGCAGGTGTGTGGCACACCGGAGTACATTGCCCCAGAGGTCATCCTCAGGCAGGGCTATGGGAAGCCAGTGGACTGGTGGGCGATGGGAGTCATCCTGTATGAATTCCTGGTCGGCTGTGTTCCGTTCTTTGGAGATACCCCCGAGGAGCTTTTTGGACAAGTTGTCAGTGGTGAGCGCTGAAATCAATCGTCAGAAGAAATAGTTAAAGACTCTGGACTTATTTGTGACGATGTCTTGGTTCCAACTCTGGATGAAAGAGAGGATTATTTTATTTTCTAATCTGTGCAGAAAATATTTAGTAAGTTATGTAAATTAAGTATAAATTCAGCAATTTGTGTCATTGCATACTTTTTTCTGTTACAATGTCATGTTGTTTATCAAAGACAGAGATGTGTAAATAATCCAGTTCTAGTTGAGACTATTTTGAGTACTAAAACTGGGCCTTTATTTCATGCACTGTGATACTCTATGTTGTCATCATTTTGTGGTTTTCTATGTGGTTCTATATATTTAGCTCTATTTCTTCTTGCAGATGACATCATTTGGCCAGAAGGAGACGATGCGTTACCTTTCGATGCTCAGGATCTGATCACCCGCTTGCTCAGACAGAGTCCTTTGGACCGACTGGGAACTGGTAATGATCAGTTTACTGCAGATTAACAGACTAAAAAGCCACATGGAGGTTTTCTTAGAATCAAATTTGTTTGTAACAAAAAAACATTTTTAAACAAAATTAAAAATGGGATTTTCTAGTAAATACAATTGTTTTGGTAAAGTCTATAAAGTGCATATGTACCCATGTAAGAATTAATAGCTTACCTTAGTTTGGGGGAAATGCTTTAAGTAAGAGATAGATATAAATTGCCCTTCATTTAATACATGTTGCCCCTTCATTGTCATTGAAGCAGCACTCTCGTTATACGTAGTATTTAATTGGCTGCGAAAAATGTTTGTTTGTAGGCGGCGCCTCAGAGGTCAAACAGGCCCCTTTCTTCCTGGGTTTGGACTGGAATGGACTCCTGAGGCAGAAAGCTGAATTCATCCCTCAGCTGGATGCGGAGGACGACACCAGCTACTTTGATAGTAGGTCACATTCTGAATTCAGGCTCAATGATTGGGTTTTCTCCCACATTGGACCAAAATACTGCTTCTACTAACGTCACAGGAACAAACCACATTTATTGTGACGCACACAAGCCACAATTGTTGAATGGCAAATTGTCAGTCAGGGTTTTCTGTTATGTTTTTGAGTCTTGAGTGTCTTCTCCTGTTTCTGTTTTCAGCTCGTTCCGAGCGTTACCATCACTTGGCGTCTGACGAAGATGAGGAAACCAATGATGAAGAGTCTTCCTTGGAAATCAGACAGTTTTCTTCTTGGTCGCATCGCTTCAGCAAGGTAAGGCCCACGTGCTGGAACACAAGCTTCAAAGAGTGGTCAGCCCCTTTGGTACGGCAGAATCTTTCAGCTATACGTATGCAGATATACGTCTGGATATTTACTGCAATGATGTTCATCTTGGGGGTCCTGACAGACCAAAGCAGGTGTCTCTTTTTAGGAACAGATCCTCTTGAGATAGACCCTCATTTTCACTGCTACAGGTGTCTGACAGTCGGCCCGTGCAGTCCTGGTCCTGGTTTCTCCAGGTCTCCCTTCTCTCCAGTGGGAATTTCTCATGAATCCGCATTATTTTGTCAGATTTAACGTGGATTCGGAGAAGCATTAACAATTACTTTATAGAAATAGAAAAACTTCTGTCAGATGGTACTTGTAAATTACACAATGGCATAAAAATTACATTTCTTAATCAGTTAAAAGTTCTTCACAGTAACTTTAAGGATGTTAATATTCACATTGGAAAAGAATAATTGTCTCTGCTTGGACACAGTTGAGTAAAAGTTAACTATTGCCCACTGTTGAGATTACAAAGTCATATGTGTATCCGATATTGGAGGGTCTCTAGTGCTGCTCGATGGTGCGTTACATAATTTGAAAGTACTTCAGCTCTCAGCCCAGCCCTCTGCTTCACAACCTCTCTTCTGTTTAACGTTTAACCTTTCAGGTTTACAGCAGCACAGAACATCTGGCGACACCATCCAACTTGAGCTTCTCCTCTGACCGCAGCCACAGTGAGGAGAAGGAGGACCGTGGGGACATTGGAGGGTTGAGTTCCTACCTGAGCCAAGCAGAGGGCAGCGTGGAGCGCGCACATGCTGGACGCATGGCCAGGTGGGCACAAGTGACATCAAAAGCTGCTTTTATTTCTGTCCCCGCTTTTGTTCCAGTGCTTCTAGCTGGTCGTAAGGCTTTTTGTCGACTGTATTCTTGCATCTGTGTAAAAGCAGCAAGACCCAGTGTGGGGTTGTGTGATCTCCTTCACCAGTTCATTTACCCAATCCACCTTCCTCTGGCTGTTTTCAGCCTTCGTCCTCGGGCTTCCTCCAGCTCCTCCCAGTCTGAGAGGAGCTCCAGCCCTCTGGTGATGAGCAGCACCCACAGCCTGGAGACGATGCCTCGCTTTGCCCTCTCCACCGACGATGAAGGTAAATTCAGACTGACGGAATCTTTTTGAGTGTTTTCACTCAAGACATGTCAGCGGTTCTGTCAAGAGGCATGAACACATATCTACATGTTATTTACCTTTTTTTAATCTCCGATACCTGCAGCTGAGGTGGTCGTGTCAAATCTTCGGAGAATCAGGATTCGCAGCAACAGCACTGGAGCCAAACACTCGTCCCCAAAGGAGCCGGCTTGCCCTCGGCGCTTCGGTAACCAGCTGGAGACACCAGATAGACAGAGGCTTCCCTGTGGCGGGAAGCTTCCCAAATCCGCCTCCATCTCAGCCTTGTCTCTCATCATCACTACAGGTACAGATCGCTATCAACAACACATTGGCAATCAGTAGACGGAAATGGCTGAACCAAATTGTCTTGTTTGTCATCATGCTTGTATTTATCAGACATGCTTGTATTTAGAAAATAAATTGGAATTAGGGTGAACTGTAACTCAACATCTTTAGTTATTGAATGGTCAACATTCATTGACCATAATCTTGATTATAAAAAGAGTTTTTCTGAGCCAGAAAGCTGCGTTTTGTTCCATGGACTTATTTAGAGGGAAATGGTTTGTTTCAGACGACTTACCTGGCGGCCTCCAGCCCAGTCCCATCTCCCCGCGTTCTCTGTCCTCCAACCCTTCGTCCCGTGACTCCTCCCCGAGCCGGGACCTGTCTCTCAGCCCTTGCAGCCTGAGGCCTCCCATTGTCTTCCACACATCGGGGAAGAAGTGCGGCTTCACGCTGCAGGCCATCCGGGTCTACATGGGCGACAGCGACGTCTACACGGTTCATCACATGGTGTCGGTGGGTGTCGCCACAAATACAAACTGTGGTCTCTCCAACAAAACACACAACATTAACCAGCCCGCAGGCGTTTTTCAATCGCATGTGTCCCTCTCAAGTAAAGGACTTTACTCTGATGACAGAGAAAAACAATGTGGTTATGTAATGCTCAACATGAACTCCTCACACTCCCTCTGATGCTCTTTTAACAGAGTGTGGAGGAGAGCAGCCCAGCTCACCAGGCAGGTCTCCGCACAGGAGACCTCATCACCCACGTGAACGGGGAGTCTGTCCAAGGCCTGGTCCACCCTGAGATGATAGAACTGCTGTTGAAGGTACAGCAACATACTCACACTGCGATCGCAGGTCATCACTGTGTTTGACATTCAGTTTAAGGTTAGGTGGCATTTTATTTGTGTTGTTAACCCAAATGAATCACCGGTCACATCCATCAAAATGTCCAGAGTGGCAGTAAGGTGGCGCTTCAGACCATAGCACTGGAGAACACGTCGATCAAAGTGGGTCCAGCTCGAAAGACCAAACACAAAGGCAAAATGGCTCGTCGCAGCAAGAAGAGCAAGAGGAGAGATAACTACGACCGGTGAGAACCCGTTCTGTTGTTCTGCAGTGTTACTCATCGTTTGTTTGCTTTGTGAGGTTGGGAGCCGGTGAATGTTTGGAAAACATTTTTTGAACTGCAAAAGTCAATGCTCTGTCTCCCCCTAGTGTAAGGCACTACAAAGTCAAGCAACTGCTTAGGGGACTCTATGGGGGTTCTATTTTACTTTCAAGATTTATGTCAGTGCAGCTTTATGGTATATAGTACTGGTACCTTTCATTTGTTCATCCGTATCATGTATTTTTTATTTATTAATTTCAGGGCAATGAAATTATTGTTGAGTTTGTGAAACTCGCAGAGATTCCTGAATACTCAGCCGGGCCATGAGAAAACACTATACTTTAATACTTGGAGTCCGTGCCAGTGATGAACTGCCCGTTCCGTTCTTCCTACTGTAGGAGACGAAGCATCTTGAAAAAGCTGTCCAAGCAGAGTACAGTGATGCACAGCAGTCGCAGCTTCAACTCAGGCCTCCACCACTCAGTTTCCTCCAGCGAGAGTCTTCCAGGCTCACCGACACACAGCCTCTCCCCCGGACCCTCCACACCCTGCCGGAGCCCCGCGCCCGATCATCAGGCTTTTGGTGAGCTCAGCTTCGCCTCAGAATTGATCATGATGAAATGGTTCCTGTGTTTATTGGCTCCACGGCTTTATTGGAGCATTATAAATCTCGTAACATCCACAGATATGTAACAGGGTGTTCGCAAGCGTACTAAAATAGAGGTTTCTGCAACTTGTGACGCCCAATGTTTGAAACCGCTCTGCCTCTTTCTCCCAGACAATAACTCTCCTCAGAGCACGTCTCCTTGCTCCAGCTCCCCCAGTTCCCCCGCTGCACACATCCGGCCCAGCTCCCTCCATGGCTTAGGCTCCAAGCTGAGCACGCAACGGTACACCAAGGTGGGTCGCCGCAAGTCCACCAGTAACATCCCCCCCTCGCCGCTGGCATGCAACTCGTCCTCCACCCAGCCTCTTTCGCCACAGCGCTCTCCCTCTCCGCTGTCGGGCTTCGCCAAAACCCTTCACGGCTACCACGGCAAAACTCTGTCCCCACCTACCATCGTGAGACACGTCGTCCGGCCTCGCAGTGCCGAGCCACCTCGCTCCCCTCTTCTCAAGAGGGTACAGTCGGCAGAGAAGCTGTCCGCCGGGTATCATGCCGACAGGAAGTCGTACACGCCGCGCAGGCACACGCTGGAAGTGCCATTTTACTGTGAGGGAGACCTGCTGGGCGACTCCGAGGCCGAGGGTTTCTGCGGAGGCTCCTACTCTGGGCCCGATCTCACCAGGCTGGGGGGGTATATTGGAAGCCAGAGACTGAGGGACTCTGGGTTGGAACGATCCGAGCAGCTGGTCGTGATGCGAAAGCTCAATCTGTCAGAGCGCCGGGACTCGTTTAAGAAACAGGAGGCGGTGCAGGAGGTGAGCTTCGACGAGCCGGAGGAGAAAACCAGCACCGCGGTTACCGTGACCCCCACAGCTCCAGGAGCCCAAACACAAAACCAGCAGCCGCACAGGACAAACTGGCTGGTCACCGGACCCCAGAACAGCGCGGAGCTGGAGCCTGAAGTGCCAGTGGTGAGGAGGTTCACACTGGTCCCCCAGATTGCCGTGCAGGGCTCAACGGAGAGCGAGCAGGACGAGTGGGAGCCGTGCTCAGACGGAGAGGACACCTACGAAACCGCAGAGCTGGAGGCGTGCGTCACTTCATCTCCGACACAACAGGCTGGGCTTCCTCCTGGTGACCTCAGCCGCAAGCCGGTAGCAGAAACCTCCTCCACTTGTCTTCAGGTCGGACCGTCGGCAGCGTGCAGAGAGGAAACTCCACAAAAGGGACATGAGGGAAAATGACCCCTCACCACTGCGATCAGTTCAACGGCTCACGTCTTTTCTTTCAAGTCTTTCAGAAGTTGTAAACTCATTTACAAACTCTAGCTAAGAAAAGTTGGAAACAATTTTACTTGAATTTTTTATTTGTAAATATTTGGCTACGGGCATTGCAGACGTTTGGGTATTTATTACATTTGTCAACTATGATGCGTTGATAACAGTGGAAGGGGGAAGTCGTCAATGGTTGAATTGCCACGGTCAGCATTTTCTATCACAAAATGTTGTTTTATGTCTTTTGACTGGATCGTTTTTGTATAAATGTCTATTTTTTTGAATGAATTGTCGCAGAACAAATGAGTTTGATAAAGCAGGGTGTAAGTGTTGTATGACTAAAAGGTACACCGATTAAATCTTTTTCTTGAGTTTTTGGCTCAACGGAGCAGTGCTGTAACAGATTAACGGCGTAAGGAGTGACCTTTGGGTTCACGCTGTATAGAGACACGGTTGATTTTAGTCATTTTCTGAACTATTGTTTGCAGCTTTGCTTTGGCAGAAACGTTCCTACCAAGCACTATTTAGCATCAAGGTAAAATAAATGCAGAAGTTTGATAGTTGCTTAAAGCTGGGACGCTTTGCACAGCTGGAATGATTCCACTTTGCGCGTGTCACACAAAACTTGTAGTATTGGTGGAGAACTGAGCAAAACTGTATTATGATTGTCTGGTGGAATACCCACATAGAAAAAAAAAATCAGTTTTGGTACATCTTTCTCTGACATTTGTGGAAACAAAAGAAAGAAATAGTTCTTCCATTTGCGTATTGAACATGTTCCTTACAGTGTGAATTAATGGTCAGTTTTTTGTAATTTTTTAACTGGTCAGTGCAGGGTGATATTTTACACTAACTACAATCTGTCATAGAGCTGCAGCTGACTCAAAAGGGGTATTATGTGCCATGATATCACTTCAGCGTCTTTAAAGCCATATCCTTGAAGGCAGAAGTTAACTCACTTTTTAAACTTTTTTTTTTTTTACTGGTATTGCAATCTTAACAGATGTTAAGATTTGAAGCCACTGATGAAGCTCTGGCTGTTACAGATCATGACACTCAATATAAACTTAGTATGATGCCATAGTCATAGGGGCATCTCAGATATATATTTTCATCCCCACTTTGACATCAGTAGATTGAAATTCAGCATGACTTTTTTTTTTTTTTTTCTACTCAAAAAACATTAAAGTAAACTCATTGAAGTCTTTGTTTTCTCCAGAGAGTGAAGGGAAATAACATTTTGCTCAAAACATATTTTTTGTTTTCTTTTTTTTAAAATAATAAAACGGGGGGGGGGATTGTAATAGACTGTATTTTTTTTTTTGGAGCATTTGTCTGGAAACTGTAGCTTTTGTCTTTTTCACATGAGCATGTAAGAGACACCATGCATACAAGACCTGTTGCTACTTAATGTACTGTGTAGTGATGTTTACATCAAGGAGAAACGTGCACTATTGTATTTGGTAAGTGAATGTTAAAGGTAAATTGAAAATGGCAGAGGGAACCCCTCACATTGCATCCAAACCCAGGGCTTCTCTGAACAAATGTTTTCACGTCTTTGTAATGTAAACAATTTGATGTATATTTTGATAATGATGTGTAGAATTTGAACGTTTTGGGGGGACACGATATGCACAATTTCAGGCACCAGGATTTTTCGAAGTCTAACTTAAATGAATAAGCAGTTACCATCTTGGATGTTTATTATCTTATTTATCGGTGGCTGGCTTTTGTACCAAGTTTCTCCTTCTGTTTCTGAAGCATCAGAATTATTGATGATTACTTAAATCCTTCTTCCTCTTTAAATCTCATGATGACCTTTTACAGATGGCTTTCATTGCGTCAGTGAAAGATTATGTCGCTGAATGGCTCCGTTATTTTTGTAGTCTGTCAGAATTGTTTACATTGAGCAAACATGCTTTGTACTGTACACACGTTTTATATTCTGTGGCTGTATATGATGAAGCTAATGTCTTTGATACCTTTAAACAAAACATTCAAAGAAGTAACAGCTGTTGTGAAAATGTTCAGAGAGTCATTTAGCAACAAACTGAGAAGCATTACGTGTTTTTACATACACTTAAGTAACTATTTTGAAAATCTTGATGTGTAAAGGAGAAATGCAGTTTTATTAACTGGGAAAAGGGATGAGAGTAAAGGGAGGGGCAAAACTAGATTTCCGCTTGAATTTCTGTGCCACTGTTTTTCACATGTGCACATTTGCATGAAAAATATTTCATATAGGGAAATGAGTACGGTATAAATAAAGCAACTTCTGTCTGTGTAAGTAAAATAATGGGTTACAAGTCAGACAAACTAAAACTGCTGGTATAACACTATTAGTCACACTGCAAGGGACCGCCTGTACTCTAAACTGTACTGTAGAAAGGCCCCAATCCTTAAACACATAACTTATGAAATACGGCAAGCGTTCTCTCAAAGTGATTCAGGAAAAAACTTTGCAGTGCATGTAAACACAATTTCTCAGAATAACCAAGTTTCTAATGTGAATGTAAATGTAGTCAATGCTTGATTCATCGCTACTGGTTGGAAGCCAGTTTGGCGCCTACAAACACACCCAACTTTGATGTGACAGCTGTAGGATGCAAGTTTAAAACAACATCCAGTGGAGGTCAGCATAGATTCTCAGCTGGTGTTAAACTTGCTGTTAAAGAACTAACTGGCAGATTCAATTGTTGTACATGTGTTCTGGTGTGGACTCGGTTCACTGCATGCTGCATGAGACAAGCACACCTCTGTAATACTTGATCGCATGGTATACTGGCGTTGTAGCCCTGTGCTGCGTTTTCCCTTGCAACAAATAAAATTTGTATTTCTCTTTTCCTCATCCAAAATCTGATTCCTCTATTTTTTAATGTCCTTCATCACATAGAGATGTTTTATTTTTATTGTAGTGCCCTAACTATAATTCTATATGATTTAAACGAGAAGCTTTTTTTAAATCTAAAACTGCTCGTTTAAATTTCACGGCGGATTGATGGAGTTGCATTTCACGAATATTATCAATAATTTAATGTGAGGCGGTTTTACAATGTTTTGCGACTGTGCGGTTTCTCTTGGGAACCGCAAGGTGTCGCTAACGTGCGCGCGCGCACGTCGCATTACGACTCATACCACAGAAGAAGTCCAGTGTCCTTCACAACAGCTAACATGGCGACTGCTACCAAAATCATCCAGAGGCTCCGTAATTTTCTGTCAGGGGTGAGAGACACAACCACAAACAAACTATACATGCATCGTAAAAAATATTGGAGATTATCACTTGGTCATTTTTGGCGAAAAAACCTTTCTGAACCGGATTGAATCAGCTGACGGTAGTGGTTCATGCTAGCTAACGTTAGTTTTTCAGCGCTAGCCTGAGTTGGTTGACAGCTAACGTTGACTTAACGTTAAGTTAAGTTAACCTTACATGTGCCTAAAATATTTAACAACAAGCATGTTTACGTAGTTTTTCAGCACTGCTGTTGTTGTTTTCCAGCATGACTTGCAAAGCAAACTGCAGCTGAGATATGAGGAAATTGCAAAGAGGTAAGACGTCATCCAAGACCGCTGTATAAATGTAACGTGAGGTTCTTCGCCAGTGCAACAGACTAAAGAGTGTAATTGGTTGTTGGAACGTGTACAACCAGACGCCCCCACTAGACTTTATTTTTGGAGAGGTATGAAAGAATTAATCAATCTCTTGCAGCCTAAAAGTGGTCTAGTTTCTGCATGAAATGCTCTCAGCACCTGCCTGAGTTTGCACTGTTTCAGGCAATCTAATGAAATGTTTCTGACTGTGTTCCAAAGCTTTAAGTTCACACCTATTTTAGTTTGTTCAATGGGCTCTCAAGATCATGGATATTCCATCATGTTGCCTCTCCATGAAATCGCATGCCTTAATACACTCAAAACAGAGAAGCAATGGAGCTGTAAAAACATTGTAGTAAAATCCATGTCATCACTTCTGGATAGCTTGAAGTAGCTGTTATCACTGCAGAGACACCATCACATTCTGATCACAAATGTTTTTCTACAGGACGCAGCCACCGCCCAAGCTGCCAGTGGGCCCGAGCCACAAGTTTGCCGGGAATTACTACTGCAACCGAGATGGACGCAGGGAGTCCGTACCCGCCACAGTCATCATGTCTTCTCAGAAGGCTCTGACCGCTGGCAGGTACGTGGGTCCAGGGCTTTTTTGTGTACTGTGATTTTTTTGTATTATCATTAGATAGGAAAGCTGCTCTAATGCTTTAATGTTTTGACACGATGTCTGCTAATGGGCTACTGTCCCTTCCTGCTTTCATTGTGAAGTCAAACAACTGGATTGCATACTTTTACCCCCTGTTCAATGACGCCTGTTTGTAGTTAATGAGTGTCGTTGTAATTATCTTCACCCTCCTAATCTTTTAGTCAAGTTGCTGAAGTCCCAAAGCTTCCAGTGACGCCGGGTCCCGTATATAAGGAGCCCCAACTCTCCACAGACCAGCCATACCTCTGAGCAGCAGGATTAAAGCCCCCAGCATCCACAACCTAATTTCTTCATCTGAACCTGATGCAAGTGTCTGTTGTACAATGTGAATAAAATGTGTTCTATTTAAGATTTCAGTGGTTATTGTGGTCACACTTCATTATGAACTGAACACATATGAAATAGATTCTGAATCATCAGTGTGAATTAATTTGTGCAATGTGTATTTGTTTTTTATCAAAACACTGTGTGGGAGGTGAGTCTTATGGCAGAGAGGACCAGATGTTTGTCAGTGCAGCAGCTGGATCCTCCGTGAGAGGAATCCCCCAAAAGACAAGGACGTATACGCTCTTTGAACTCACTGTTCTCGCCAATGAAGCATTACAGTCTCTCAAAAGTCTCCAACACAGTTTCATCTGTCCCAATTGCCCGTAGTAAAAGTAAAGTTTGAGAAGGCGTGATCTTCAAACTACAGACTTCAAGGTATCACTACTGACTAACAACTGTGCTCAGATTGTTTAAATGTATTTCTCAACAGGCGTGTTCCGACTGCTCCGCTGACATTTCGACAAGACTTCTTTTGAGTTTGGAGTAGTGACAAACGTACAAGACTGAAACCAAAGATGAGGCAAATGTGATTGGAAACAGCTGTGATGGCGGCAAACATTAATATGCATCGATAAATTAACTATTTAAAAGGTGAGCCGTTTGAATCCAAGATGTGTATTATATCCTATAATATATGTAGACTAACTACTAGAGAATGTTATAAGTGTTTCGAGGTTATACTGACACTCAGCTGCTACTCACAGTGCAATAAATACACTAAAAGGTTTAGGGGAGATTTTGAAAACTAGATGGATAGAAAATGAGGGTCTGACCTACAGGTAGATTTCCTGTTTGCTTAGCCAGCTTTTCCTCTCACGTCGCCTAGCAACCTGCTGCCGTAAAGGCAAACGCCTTATATAAAACGCACAGCTGGCGAAGCATGATTAACAGTAATGAATTCAAATCATATATTCAAATACATTTTGAGGTCATTTCAAATTGGTAATGCTACGTACTTTTACCTGAAGGTCATGCGGCAATTCTGAGTCAGAGGAGATCAGTCCAGACAGTCAACAAAAACAACAACAGCGAAATCAACGCCAGGAAACGTGTTTGCAGACTCTGGATTGGCGCAGCTTCACACGCAGAATCCGCTCTTGCGTCATATTTCCGCGCCTCGTGCGTTCGCTGCGATTCCGCCGTGGAGGACATCGAGCATGGGACACCTTGCAGGTTTATTATTTGTACTCACGCCTTTAAGCTGGTGTCCAACTTGGGGTAAGAGGCTGAAGTGACGCGTGGCGACATTTGAAGAGCTCTCATTGGATGTGTTTTTGTATTTGAATGGAAGTTTTCGTACTCGTGAGTTCACAGTCGAGCAGACCTGTCAGTTTGAGTGACGGCTGTTTAGCGTGCAAACGCACGCAACTTGCACATTTTTGCTAAATGCATTCGCGAAATATGCGAATAAAGCTAGAAAGTTGAAAAGGAAAACATGAGATGGTTGTTGTGCATCAACTGATCTCTGTGCATCGCATCGTTACATCAGACTTTCCTTTTGTGACGTAAACTGTCAGTGTAACGAAACCCAGTGAGGACCAGTTAAATGAGATTTATATCACATCGCGTTCCACTAAATATGATATCATTTAATTTTAGAATAAAAGCTTAATTCCTTTAATTTCTGAAATTAACTTTAGGTTTAACACATTTATCATAATGTATGACCATTGCATAACCACGTCATTTTAGTGTTTGCCAATTGTTTGTGTGTGTATGTATTGATAACATTTACCTTTTTTTTTTTTTAATAAAACATAACATACAAGTTGTAACTTCTACACTTCTTCTCTCCTTTTCCTGATATTGAATTATGATATTGTCCTCTATGATGCCTGTGACTGTCTGACACCGAACACGCTCGGTGAATCGGTTTGTGAAGTTTCAGGTGCTGCGGTTCATTCGGTGCCCGCCTGCCACCAGCAGCAGGAGTTCAGGTGCAGCGATGGTTCGTGCATCCCGAGACCGAGGTTGTGTGACGGGCACATCGACTGTGAGGACGGATCGGATGAACATCGCTGTGGTGAGCATGTTGTGGACAACATGTCCTAATCCACACCTACACACACGTGCACAAGCAATATGTGTGTAGTGTAAACAAAAACAATGCACCTCCTGATAGTTGACAGTACATTTTCAGTAAAACAAAAGATGAGATTTCAATAAATACAAATTTTAACAGGAGAATGGATTTTCATATGAATCGACCGGTAGTTTGTTCAATATACGTTGTAAGTCAATAATGCATCCTGCTTCTCCGTGCAGACACCTCGACAACATAAACTCTGGGATTTTCTAACTAGCAATTCCCCTTTTTAATTCGAGCGAGCTAGGTTGGCCGATGGATGATTGTTTTGACAATGGTAAAGGTTAAAAGACGGACATAATTCGGTCCTGACTCATGTGAAGTACCACAAAAATGACAACAGGGAACAGAAGTACGGTTTCCACTGTACCTTTTTAATTTATACACTTTCCTTTAAAAAAAAAACACGCAATGGCAAAGCCTTGTCCACACTGGCTGGGGACCAGTTGATAAAAGGTGATTATTTTCCCAGTTTCTCCTCAATTAGAGGCCTCACAAACATCGATTAATAGGTTCACACAGTCACCATTTCAATTTTTTTTGTTGCACTTTTACCCACATTTGTCTTATCCAGCACACAGTATCGTTTAACGCGGCAAAAAATACCGTTGGAGACCTTTGTCGCGTAATCCCAAGCAAGTGATTAGACTTTGAAATCTCATTCCGGAGCGATTTGATGTTGAGCATGAACCTGTCCGGCATTCGCAAAAAAGGAAGGCCTGCAGGAGAAGGGTGGACTGAACATAAACCCTGTGGATGTGAGGAATGCCAGCAGGTTAGGATATTGGCAGCGTTGCTTGAGACTCGAGACTCAGAAAGTTGCTGGTTTGAGTAGCAGCCAGGAGAATGTGGGAAGCAGGGCTGCGCTCTCCCACTGAGAAGTGCAATAGATAGTGGTTTTACTGGTACGCATAGGGAGAAGAGCAAATTGATAAAACAAGATGAAATGATCTGTTGTTGATCATAAAAACAATCTAAGGCCCTTCATTCAGATTAGAATTAGAAAACAAACATTTCTGACCGCTTATTTTATCCGATACATTTGATATTCTGTAAAAACAAATACTACATTGCCAAATGCATATCAATATTGCCGCTATACACAACTTCATACCCTGATTGAGTATTTTTTTCACATTGCTCACATCAAACCAAGCTAAAGAGCTGGATGGTTCTGATCTTCCTCTGAGGAGCTTTGCTTATGAATTTATGTGGTTCGCCCCAAAACCTCTTATCTTCTCCTGAACTAAGTTCTCTCTGACGTGACCTCATTTTTTACAGGTCACCTTTCGTGTAAGCAGGATGAGTTTGCCTGCCGCAGCGGGCGGTGCATAGCTCCACTCATCCGCTGCAATGGGGTGGACGACTGCGGCGACTGGAGTGACGAGGCCTCCTGCCCGAACTGCAGCGCCCCCGACTCCTTCTCCTGCGGGCCGTCCGACGTCTGCCTGCCCAGCAACAAGCTGTGCGATGGGCGGACCGACTGCAGGGACGGACGGGACGAGGCTCGACCGGCGTGTGGTCCGTCTCCACCCCGCCCGCAGACGTCTCCGACGTGCACGCCGTCCGAGTTTCACTGTGGAGACGGGCGCTGCATCCGCCAAACCTGGAGGTGTGACCACTCACCAGACTGCTCTGATGGCAGCGACGAGGACGACTGTGGTCAGTGACAGGGTTTGACTTCTCCTCCTTACGTTAGCAAAACCAAAGGAAATCTGTGTGAAGTACACGATAGGAACAGGTCAATCTTGTGCAAACAATTCTTTGTACTTTGGTTTTGAGCCTTATTTCGACGTGATTTGGGCTATTAAATCCAATAAGGGGAATTCCCAATTGTACTGCATACACAGAATGTTGTACTATTAGTTTGGTAAAGGCCCTTTCCCGCTCCAGTGCAGAAAGCCATAAATGGTTTTCCCAGTGTGGTTCTGATCTCAACCCCAACCAGCAGCTTCCAATCCAACTAAAGGCAGCAGTGTGCTCGAGCACCTCCGGAATCGACTCCTCAAAGTTACTGATGCTGCTGCACTCTGTCGTTCACATGAAAGCCACAGAGGTACAAGGGTGTGGAGGGGAGGAGGTTTTAGCTGCTGTTTGAACATCCAACAAGTTCTTCTGTTGTGTACTGAAATGTGACGCCTTTAATGCTCCTGTGGCTGAGAACAAATTATTCTTGGTGAAGGTCTTTTCTCCGTGGTTTTGGAATGATATTCTTCACCCACACGTCGTACTTGATTTGACTAATCAGTCAGCAGAGGGCACTGTGACACGGCTCCATACTACGCCTCGCCCTGGCAGAAGGGGCTTCACACATCCTCCAGCTGTTTACATGTATGACAATGTCAGTGTTTTAAGAACTAATTCTAATATTTATGCATTTGTCTTTGGTTGGGAGTGTCATCAAATTCCTGTGTTGAGAAACACTGTTTGGGTTTGAACTTGTTCAGTTCTAAAAAAATGTTTCATCAACCATGTAATCCATGAAGCTGAAATATAACCAGCAGATTAGTCATTACCTATATGTGGAAGAGTTGGCTTATCCTTAATGACAAAGCATACTTATGGCAATGTTTACATTTTAACCTGAGTAAATATAAAATGCAGCATTACCTATTTATGCGAAATTGTCTTTTTTTCTCAAATGCCAGTCGACATCTAAAACAAATTTTGTTTTTTTGTGCTTTTGTTACGATCTAATCTCGGCCAAACGGGTTATCTGAAGTGCAACATGCAGCATGGGAATTGCACTCGTCTGGTCTGTACCACCCCGCCCTTGCCTCGGTCTGTTTTCGACACACTTATGTCTTTGTTTAGGTGTAAGTTTTGCTTCGGTCTTCTTTCAGCACTCAAAACTTGACACTTAAGAGAGGTGACATTTCTTAATAACTGCCCGATGACAGAGAATATGTCAACACATATCTTCTGTCACACCATCCAGAGTCAAATGTTTGTCGAAAGAGAAACTTTGTTAATTATGTAAAATGTCCACCAAAGAAGACAACAACTTGTGAAATGGTTTAGTGGTGTCAAAACATTTAAAGAGGAGCTCTCTTTTGCTTCTTATCTTTAACATATCAGTTTACTATTTAACACTCAGAATTAAACGGAAAGACCACATATTTTCTGCACAAGGTTTCTTAAAAGATAATGTGTTCTAATAAATAATACATAAAAAATGAACTGTACCAAGACAAAATGTGTGGTTGTAGACCCAGATTGTTGCTTTGAGTTTGATGAATGGTTTCCTAATGAATGTAAAAATGGACCCGATGATGAAACTTCAGATGTCTTTCACATATTTGATGATGTTTATTCGCTAAGAACATAGAAGTTTGTTATGAAATATTAGTATTACTCGTCATCCTCTCACTAAAGTAAATACAGATTTATTTCTTGTCAGTGATTGTGTTAGTATGCCAAATCGACTCATCTGCAATTCATCCAGCAACTTTTTCAGATGGAATATTTTAAGTTTTTTGAACACAGGGACCAAACACATTCCTCAGTAAACAGTTAAAAGAAACAAAGAAATTGGAAAAAAACATTGCTTTCTTTTTTTATTGTATATTTGTTTATTTTTTGGAATGCCATAAATATAACAAACCGATATTTAAAAAAAGTCTCCACATTTATCAAGCTTTCCTTGTGTGATTCCATCAATGCTGATCTAATGTTGTTTTTTGCAGATCAGAACGAGTGCCAGGTTAATAATGGCGGCTGTTCTCATCGGTGTGTGGACCAGCCGCTGGGTTTCCACTGCGACTGCCCCAGCAGCATGAGGCTGGTCGGGGACAGCCAGTGTGAGGGTGAGCATGACGGAGCAGCTCGCTACCTCTTTGGCATCACTAGTGACAGACATCTGTCCTGACCTATCGTCATTTAGCATCAAAATTTTTTCACCGTCCAATGCAGCATTTTTGAAACTTCTTACTCTTTTCGCATAGAGGTCGACCCGTGCCTGGCGAGCGACATCTGCGACCAGCTGTGTGTCCACAACAACGGCAGCCTCCCCTGTGACTGCACTGAGGACTATCAGATGGATCTGACAACCGCGGAGTGCAAGGCCAAAGGTGAGTGTCACGGTGTGGTTTAATTTACTGTCTTATTTTGTAGTTTTATTCTTCTTGTCTCCCTGGGTAACTTCACTTCCTGCCTTGTCCTGTCATCGTCTGTGATTGTCTCATCGTTTCCACCTGCACCTCCCTAGTGTATTTAAGCAGTTTGTCTCTTGTGTCACTTGTTGCGTCATTGTCTTTTGTCCTGGATGGTCCTCGGTCCTGCCTGCCTTTTCCCCCCTGGTACTTGTATGTGTTTTTGCCCGTTGGCCTTTTGCGTTTTTGCATTTTGACTATTAAAGTCCTTTTTGTTTCCCGCAAACTCTGCATTTGAGTCCTGCCTTTTTCCCCACGCAACATCCCTGACAGTGAGAAACAAATTACAAGAGCAATTTCTATTCTGCAACTGACAACGCAAAGGTTGTTTCCCTTATCACAGAGTGTGTGTGTGTGTGTGTGTTTTTGTTTCAGGGGAAGCGGCTCAGCTTGTTTTCACCTCTTCTAAAGGAGTACAATTGATAAGCATCACAGGCTCTGGGTACAGGGAACCAGCTCCACATTTACTGGGACCCGGGCCAGTGGCGGCTTTGGCCTCTAACCGAACACTGTACTGGGCCAGACAAGGACAAAGTTCTCTATACAGGTAACCGGGGGGAGCTGAATTGCCCAAACACAGCTTTATATTACCGTACAAAGATAAAGCAATGTTTGAGGTATGTGAAAGGCATGGCTCCTGTTGAACATCCTTAATCCAAATGCAGAACTCCATCCATCCAGGCTAATTGGTTAAATAATTGCCTGGATAGATGGTCTCCTGGGTCTCTTCATTGCTGGCTGGAATGCCTCCACAGGTGACTTAGTTTTTTATTAAGGACAGTACCACAGCGTCTTAAATATAGTGACTTCATTGGTGTCTTTAGAAATGAACACAAAGGGATTCTGTATTGACTCATGAAGCCTGGATTATTTTATAACGGATTATTTGGCTATTGTTTTGATAACCGACCGCTGCCAGTTCAGTGTTTCCCTTCATTATAACCGGTGTGCGACCTCCCGGACGCCGCAGTCTACCCAATCAATGGGAACAACATGTGTGTACTTCTTCCGACTTGAGTCATTTAACCGTCACTGGACAAAACCAGTTGAGTTGATACTCCAACTTCTACACAAGTCTTTTTAAACTCTGGTATCTGTACTTCTACTTGAGTAAGGAATGTGAATACTTTTGACAACTCTGTTAGTCATTGAGTAAAAAGTTGAAACAGGAATAACAAGAGAATCAAGTAACGAGGAAAAAACCTGCACATTTTCTGTACAAACATGCAACATCCTTTACAGAAGCCAGGCCCACTTCACATTGTTAGTGCATTCATATTTGAGGTTTGTAGTAGCAGGTTGACTTTTCTGAGATTACAACCATAATGGGACAAAAATACTGAACCCAATGAAGTCATGTTTGGTCTTACTCGGTATTTGAAAGCATTGGATGGATTGCAGACCAATTTGTGTTTAAATTCCTCCACCCCTAAATGTTTTTCAGAGTCTCAGTGGATGGTAAGACCGAGGATTCGGTGTTCGTGCTGAAATTTCAAGGTTCAGTTTCGGGCCTGGCCGTGGACTGGATCCACCAGCTCCTCTACTGGACCAGTATGGAGACTGGATCTGTTAACGTTGCCCTGCTGGCTGGTTCTGCTCAGCGTCCGCTCATCACAGGACTGGACAAACCCTGCGCGGTGGCTGTGCATCCTCTCAAAGGGTAGGATGGCCCTGGACTTTGTACTGTTTGTATAGTTAACCGCATTATCAAGGAGTTTCAGTTTAAGTCAGCAGGACTTTTAAATTGCTGGTCATAGATTGTTGCGTCAAGATCTTTGGATTACAATTAATAACTTAACAAATATTTACTTCCCTGAGGTTTAAAACACAGCCTCTTCAATTAAGTTTAGACATTTTACACGAATATTTCATAGAAAAGGTGCAAATGAAAGAAATACAATTTACGAGTAACTTTTTAAATGCATTTCAAGGCAAAATTGTTGTCACAAAAACATCATGAATGTGAACCTGGGGAAACATGTCTCAGCTTCTCGGACCATCAGCACCGGTTCCCCCCAAGGCTGCGTTCTTTCCCCTCTGCTCTTCTCCCTGTACACCATCAGCTGCACCTCCAGTCACCAGTCCGTTAAGCTCCTGGAGTTTGCGGATGACACCACCCTCATTGGACTAATCTCTGGTGGGGATGAGTCCGCCTACAGGTGGGAGTCTGACCATCTGGTGTCGTGGTGCAGCCAGAAGAACCTGGAGCTCAACGCTCTAAAGACAGTGGAGATGGTTGTTGATTTCCGGAGGAACAGAGCCCCACCCTCCCCCATCACCCTGTGTGACTCCCCCGTCACTATTGTGGATTCCTTCCTTTTTCTGGGCTCCATCATCACACCAGGACCTGGGGAGAAGTGGGAGCTGAACATCAGCTCCATCACCAAGAAGGCTCAGCAGAGGATGTTCTTCCTGAGGCTGCTGGAGAAATTCAACCGCCAAAGACCATGCACTTCTACACAGCCATCATGGAGTCCATCCTCTGCTCCCCCGTCACCGTCTGGTACGCTACGGCCACAAACAAGTCGAGCCCGGCCCCTACAAGGGCAGGCTGCGAGCGGGTGATCGGCTGCAATCTGCCGTCCCTGCAGGACTTGTTCGCTTCCATGACCCTGAAGAGAGCTAGAAACATTGTTGCCGACCTCTCTCACCCCTGACAAAATCTGTTTGTCCCCCTTCCATCTGGCAGGAGGCTGAGGTCCATCAGGACTAAGACGGCACAACATACAGTTTCTTCCCATTGTCAGTCGGGCTCATCAGCAGAGCTTGGTCCCCCACTGACTGACTCTGACATCCCACCGGTCACTTTCTTCACACTGCACACGTCACTTTCACTTGTCACTTTCAAAACACTGGTGCACTTTATTTAAAATTTTAACTTAAAAAAAAAAAACTTTTATTCCTTTATTTTTAAACTAACCCATTTTATTATATTGTATTTGATTCCTCTTGCACTATGTTGTTTTGTTGTCCATTGTCATACTGTCTGCTGTCATGCACCAACCGACAAGTCAAATTCCTTGTATGTCTGACATATTATTGTAATAAATGTTTCCTAATCCCTGATCATTTGTGTGTTTGTTTTCTCAGGCTGCTCTTCTGGGCTCAGTGTGGCAGCTCCCCGAGGATTGAGAGGTCAAGCTTGGACGGAAATGACAGGATGTCTGTCGTTGTTTTGTCATTACGCCAGCCTGTCGCTCTCTCTCTGGGTACGTTCTGCCTCTGCTTTCCCTTTTTTAAAACCCCAACATTTGTGTGTATTTGTGTTTTATCTTCGCAAACGTCATCAGGACTGATTTCCATCACTCTTAGCAATAGTCATAGGGGCCGATTGCCATCACGATCCAGTGGCGCTCAATATACGTATCGTTTCCTAGACATGCCTCGTCAGCTGCTGTACTGGGTCGACCGGGGAATGAGAAGCATCTCCAGAGTAAATCTAGAAGGCCATCATCGCAAAACAGTGGTAGAGTCCAATGGTTATCTGGACCGGCCGTTCGGACTGGCTGTGTTTGAGGTAAAATAAACCCGTAACCGCCCAATAATGAAATGGAGAATGTGTCACCACCACTGTGCCGCGAATCCCATGACAGTATAAGGACAAATGGAAGGCCGGGCTCGACTTGTTTGAGGGGCTGCAGGCCACAAGTGAAACCTTAGAATTCACATATAACACAAGCACTCGTTTTTCTTCTTTTCTTAAAAGAAACCGGTTTGCTACGCGCACAAAGGTTAAGTGCTCAAAATGGAGCCCAAAATAATTTGACTTTTTGACCCATCACTTTTCTCATATGCCAAAACCCTCCCAGCTGTGTCTTTGTGAGAAACGAGCCCCTTAGTTCATGGTTTTAGTGATTCCATTTTTGCCATGAAATAACATCAGTGCTCCGTCGGCCTGTTCTGCCTCAGGGTTTTGTATATTGGAGCGAGGAAGTGACTCGCTCCATCTGCCGAGCCAGCAAACACAACGGCGGCAACCTCCAAGTGCTACTTTCAAACATCACCTCACCGGGCGGGGTGCTCGTCATTCAGCCCGTTCTCCAGCCAAAAGGTATTTGAGTAAAAAGAAATGAAAGACGTACATGTTCATTTAAGCTGAGTTTGTGCCTTTTGACCTTTTTAGAGTCGGAGCGAAGTATCTCGCTGTGAGCGATTTCTCTCAACTGATCCTTCTGGTCCTGGTTCTTAGGACCTCCATCTGAATGCGGACTAACAGCCACGGTGTGTGCGCATGGGTGTGCTGTGGACTCGCCTACCGAGTGTCTGAAGTTCAGCTGCACTCATTCAGACGCGACGTTTGCTGGAATCCTCTCTCTTATCAGTAAGAACTGTAAAAAAAATTTTTTTTAAAAAGGCACTTTCCTGTCACACATGGAGAATACACAAAAGTCAGGAGCACAGATGTGGCGTTCACGCTCTCTGGGTCATTTAGAGTTCAGGAATAGTTGTATAGCCTACTGTACAATGACAATGTAGCCTACATACTGTATCATTTAATGTTTCTTTCAGTATGTAAAGAAGTCAGTAAAGTGTACTGTAATGATTGAAAATAATCTTTTCATTCATAACAGCCACCTATTTGTTTGTCCTGTGAGAAGAGACCTTTGGATCAATATGCTGACGTCTTTAGGTATACGGTCACGTCCGCAGAGGCTACAAATTGAATGGTGTGCGTGTCCTTCCCAGTGTTTCTCAGTGTGCTGCTGGTGGGGATGGCTGTGTGGTGGTGGAGAGAGGAGTTCAGGCCGTCCACATCTCTCACGGAGCAGAGCTTCTCCCTCAAAGAGTCCCAGGACCCGCTCATCACCCAAGGGCCACATGCAGCTCAAGGTAAGAGACGTTTGCACTCAAACTCAAAAAGAATTAAAAGAAAGCAAACACACGCACCGTCACTTGTCTTCAGACAGGAGATACCATTCTATCAGCTTTTGAGTGATTCTTTCATCCCTCACTGGTTCTCCTTGACCTCAGTGTGATGTTGGATGAATGAAGTGACTGTTGCAGATTCTCCTTCTCTGACCTTAATTTGTCAAAAGTCCAGGCTGCACTAGTTTTCTCACAGTAGAGGTATCTGTGCTGATTTGTTAACATTTGCAAAAACAAACCGTCTTCTACTAAGGTTTAATGTTGATGCCACTCATTTTATAGCTATTGAAATTTGACACCAATTATGTCTAATTATATAAAATTATGTTTGTTAATGGTACAATAAGTGTCTTTGGTATTTAATTTCTTTGTTAATTACAAAATAAAATTATTCTATCATTTGGGTTTGCCACTTCACACCTTCGTCACTGTAGTGACAGCAACCATAACTTGAGTTTAATTCTGTCATTTTTTTAATTTTCAGAATTGTCTCTATAGCACAGCAGAAATAGTTATTAGTATATCAAATTCCTCCTGAGGTAAACTTTAAATTCCATAGCAAACAATCCCACAGTCATTGAGACATTTTACTCAAAACATTGAACACCTGTTTCAAAACCCACTCCATCCAAAGTGCAGACAACCTGTCAGTGGATCACCAAATTCAGTACGATTTGTCCTCCGGGGGCCGCGAACGACCAGCAAATAGTTGTTGGGAAATGTTATTCAGATAACTGCTGGCAGTGACCGTGACGCTCTTCCCTTTCCTGACTCACCACATTTCCTGCCTTTTGTGCTCCCAAGCTTTTGACAGGATTCGAAAAGATCCTTTCGTGTTCCAGCTTTTAAGAAGACAGATGTGTGTGTCTAATGAATGTGCTAACACAGCATTTGGCCCTGTTGTTCTGAACCCCACCCCCCAAAAAGCTGTAAATCTAAGAGGAAACACTGCTAGTGAGACTATATTCTAAACTAAAGTTTGTTCTTAACCTGTTACTGTTTATTCAGCTTCCCATCAGGTTGAAGGCTTATAGTGGTACAGTGTCGACTAAGCTGCATGTTTCTCTTTTCCAGGAAACTCTGCTTAAGCTGGACTTGGATGTTAAATGAAGACTGTGTGGCACGGATGGCCACCAGACTTCCCGACTTCACCCGGTGCCGCCTGTACCCCGCGCACTGACGTCAGGTCTGCCGGTAAAAACAAAAACAAAAGAAATGACATGCTGGTAAATAACGTTGGTAAATGAGTTCAGGTGGCTTTCAAACTAACTTCTGTTTCGAAGAAGCTTTAGTTTGAACGTTGGTGCCTTCAGTTGTTGTTTGATAAATGAGGATTTTTGTTTATTCTTTTGAGCAATAATTTCACATTTTTGCGAGTAAGCGCAATTACGCCTTGTTTTACGAAGCCTTCTTTGAGCTATCTACCACAGCAGACTACTATGACTATGTTCTAACTATATTACTTTTTTTTTTACTCTGTCTTTGGCATGTTGCAACTTCTGCTTTAATCCCACGGGTTATAACTCTGTTTGTCTTCCTTTTTATTGGTTGCCTTGCCCTTTGCCTGCAGCGAATCTGGGGCAGGGTATGCACACAACCGGCAGGAAAATGTAATACAAAGTCAGAAGCCGGCAGTGAGTTTAGTGTTTCAGCATTAATGCTCCTGTGACCTCTATTTTTTTGCAGTCCAAAAGGTTTACTTGAAGTGGCCTTTAAAAAGTTCAGGCAATAGAACAATACTGGTTCTCAAGGGGGACTGCACATCTGGAATTGTGTCATTGTAGCGCTCTTGGATAAAGCATTAATCATTAATCTAATGCTAAATATGTCCGCTTTGTTGAACCCAGACCAAGCTGTTTTTTGTCTTATTCGGCAAATAAGCTGGCACTGCAATGGGTAACCATGTGTTTCGTTTTCGTTTGTTGAATTTGTCCCTGAGGTTTGGTTTTTGCTCTGTAGCACGGAGCCTGTGTGTGAATGTTTGCTTGATCAATCTGCCCGTTGACTCAGTGGTTGTTTTTTTTTTTTTTTTTCCGACTTATTTAAATCAATCTGCCGGAGATAATTCTGTGCTCAAACCGCTGAATTGTGTGGTATTTATTTATAACAAAGGGTTTTATTTATTTTCGATCAGCATCACATCGTGTAATCTTTTAGTTGCACAAGGGGTAGAAAATGTTAAATACTGTAAATTTTAATAAAATTAAGTATTTTCATTGTATCGTTGTTGAACAATGTGTCCTCAAAAATATAAAGTGTTACTGTTAGGTCGTAGTTAGAAACCACGAACCCTGCTGATTACACCAGAGAACAATCACAGCACGAGAAACAAAGACACTCAGTCGACTTGTGAGTTTTACTTGCTGCAAGGGGAGCCTGGTCAAGAATCTTAAGAGTACTAGACTCTTCACTCGATCACAGCCGACTCCGACTAGACTTCCCCATGCAGTCTCCTTTTATTGAGGTAGTGAACTATGTAAGCATGATGAGTTGACACTTGTTTGTTAAAAAGGTCAGTAGTACAACAGTAGTAACAAAAGGCATTGTACACCAAACTGGGTATGTCGACTTTATGTTTAAGACATCTTACGCACACACTTTCACCTGCGTAAGCTAACGTACGAGTGTGTGCAAATGTGTTCCTCCCATACAGGAAGTTGTTTTTCAGTTTGGTGGAGAAAATACAGCCGAGTCTACAGTTTCCTGTTTAAACACAATTAAACAGGATATGAAACGGCATATTGTGTAAGCACAACAAGAGGTATTCACTATTATAACAGTTACTGCGTCACATCGACTGCAACAAAGGCCTGTAGTTGATTAACCACTGTGTGAATGCAATTATCTGACAAATTCTAGTTTTATTTCCTGCTCAGGAAAAAGGTTTGAGTCTCAGTTTCATTCTAAAACGTAATAATGAAGCATTTATCTTTGTGTTAAATTAGTGTCCTCTGTTTCCTGTTGTCAAGGATTGTTAATCTGGTATTTGACCACACCAGGGTCTCTGTAGCTGAGGGGGAACAAAGACGTCCGTCCTCCATCTCTGTTGAACTTTGTAAGGAGACGATATGCCGGTGACTAAAGAAGAGTTTGGTAACCAGAAATTAAATCCTCCATTTATTTTCATAAAACATCCAGAATCAAGTGATTCCTTCATTAAAATAAGAATCATAAATCATGAGACAAAATTGCCCAAAGGTTTTAATAAAGGAAGCACTGAAAGAATTAAGTGTGCATTTACAGGAGCTGTGGGTGAGAAAATAATATCCATGGACAAAGGAATCTTGAATAATTATGTTACAGGTGCGTCTGAAAAAGCCCTACTAAAAATGACATATCTAAAGGAAGGATTCATTGTCGTATGTCTGTCTTAGTCAGGTTAGGAAACTCTACAGGGCGGTGTTATCTGTTGTTTTTTTCAACATGTGAATCCGCTAAAGGAACCAAGAGTGTAACCAACAATGTCACCTGATGGGAATTTGTTGGAACTTTTACAGTGCAGCCAGTTTGTTAGGTGAATGTTTACCTTAACTCAAGACACGAGGTCCCTGCCTGTCTTCCCGGAGTAGTTTGCGATCCATTGCGAACATTATCAGGAATCGGAATACATTTATTGCCATAACATTTCAGACATGCAAGAAATTTGATAAGACAAGACAGCAGTGAATAAAATATAATATGTCATTCCTAAGAAGCTCATCACATACTCTGAAGACTCAACACTTAAGATAAGACTGAGTCTACAATCTTTCATGATATTCACATTCCTGAGGAAGTATATAAATGTTTAGCATTCACATCTGGAGAGTGAGATAACGTGGAATACCTTAATGAAGTTGATGTATCTCTTTGCCTCATGATCATTTTAAACAGGAGTCAGAAGTAATGCTGTTAAAGGATTGCATTGTAAAGTTGATTTGATTTATTTAACGGTGGTAGCATGCGTTGTTTGCAGACAAGTTGCAAACAGAAAAGCTGCTATTCACTGGAATAAGTTCCTCTAGGTTAAAACCCTGATTCTTGGCCTTGGCAAGATACCAAATGCTGGACCTTGAGAATTTTCTGTTATCGTTTGAAAGTGCTCTCCATCCCCACAGTGTGCCGTTAAGTATCCCAACGCCCTGATCGGCTCATTGCCTCCTCACACTGCAACGACTAATCTGGAAGTAGGATCTTCTTTGACCGCGACCCAGCCTTCTTTCACCATATCTGCCATTGCTATGAAAGTGCAGTGCTGGATGATGATGATGATGTTCAAGGAGAAGCTGCACGAGATGAAAGATTAGCTAAGGGTGGAGAGGGAGACAAAGGCCGAGCTAGAGATAAAGGTAAAGTATGACGAAGATCATACTCTTCAACTCTAGCGAGAACAAAAGTGGACTGATGGAGTGGGTTTCAATGGTTTCACAATATGTCATTACTTCCTGGTGTGACGCTACGGAATGTTCCAGTTAAAACACCCTTGTGAATCACACCTCCTGTGCGAATGAAAAAACTAACTTTTTTCTTAACTAAGTACAAATGAGCCTGTACCTGCTGACATAGAAAATTGTGGCATTTACGGCACTTCTTGCTCGTAGATTAATATTGTTACATTGGAAATTGATAAATCTAAAAGGTGGAAGCATTCAAGTGTGTCTACATACAGGTGCAGTGCATGTGTCTTGATGGACCCATCCACTAATTTGTTTCTGACGCTTTTTTGTTAACCTATACAAAGTATATGTTTACTGTATTCTGTGTCTGACAATATTTTTCAAATAACCCTATATAAAAGCATAGAAGTAGTCCCCCGTTATTAATAAATATGGGCATACACGCACGCACAGAGATATACATAGAACCATGTGGCATGACGCCCTGCCGGGGGGAGCTCTGCTTACACGTGACAAACAGGCCCCGCCCAGCGGGGGTATACGGTGACGCTCGCTGATCAGACAGCGGTCACTGGAGCAGCAGAGCTCGAGGTAGAACCTTCTTTTAACCGTCAGCAGCCGACACTTGGGTAATTATACAACACACACTTCATATTGGTCTCATGCTGTTTGTACACTTGGCTATAAATAATACGTTGTAAAGTATTGTCCGGTGAGGGAAAAGACTACAGTGAGTGTGCTTTTAATATTAAGGGGGCGGTAAACGGAACTTAGAGTAACATCTGTAACGTCGTTAAGCTATGGTGTATACGTTTTGTATTAAATCTAATTGTGACAGGCCTCCTTGATTGGCTACATATGTCAACGACGATCGGGTCGTGAAAAAAAACGCCCCCAATCCATCCATCCGTCCATGTTCCTGTAGTATATTCACGGCTATAATTTAGCAGAAAGTAGTTATTGTATCCGACTTAAATATAAAACGTATGTGATCCTTCAAAATACTTCCTTTCTGGACTTATTGGCTCGCTTCACTTCAAGCGAGGACAATGTCCTGATAAAAGTTTTCCGCTTCGATGTTAAATGGAATTCGCACTTGAGCTTTTCTTCACAAAAACAATTAAAACACACAAAAAAACGTTTGATAAATATCTATCTATATATTTTATTTTAATTATGGAGTTTGCATTTAATAATACCAGAATTCCGGGGTAACACTACTAATATATATATATATATAATCATTAGAGATCATTTTAAATGTATTTAAACGATCAATTATTATGAAACTAAATTGCCCTATGCTTCTTTTCACTTCCCCAACTTGTGCCATGAAACATTTGCCTAAATTGCTCATGTGTCAACATGGCCAAAAAGCAAACAATATGTTTTGTAGTCTTGTGTGCAAGTGGGTTTTTACACAAACCCACTTGCACACTCCCAGCTCTATTGTTGGCATAGATCAATGCAGTTCATATGACAATTGCAGGATCTACTCATGTTTAATTACAAGGATAAGCAAGTGTTTGGTCTAGGTGTGTCCTTTGACATTTGACAGTGAATATATATATATATATCTTTAGCTGGGCCGTTCTACTGTTATACGGTTTCCTGTTTCACTGAATGAGTAGTAAGTTTGTTCTGTTGCTCAAATATCTGACATCATCCATAAGTAACATATTCCACCCATTAACAGGGCACATGACAGCATTCAATTTTGTTTCCACCCTTGACTGTAAAACTACAGCATGTGATAATCCGCGCAGGCAGATGCCAAACCACCTCATGTCTGCTCTTAGGTTCTCTGCTTGTTCAACCAGTAAGAGGAAATGCGCAGTAGCTTTTATTTATGGGCGTTTTCCGTCTCTGTACCTCATATTTTATGACAAAATTCAATGAGTAAAAATGTATTCACATTCACCCCAGAAGGACTTATTTTAGCAGTCAAAGATCAAACTCTTATGACACACAGTTCTCTAGTTATGACTGTATTTTGTTACGCTTTTTCTTTACGAGAAGCCGGACGAGTAACAGTTGATGCTACAAAAATGCGCTTTTCAATTGAGCTTTTGGAGCCATATTTATAATATGGTTATAGAATGTATAACTACAGTCTATATTTCTTGTCTTGGACTGCGTCTTTTGGACACATTTAAAACTGCCTTAAGACATGGAGCAGAGCTGTTCTGTAGTCTAACAGGAAGAACAGACCTGCGGTTCCTCTCTGTCACTCACAAATCGTTTGTAGGTTGAAATGATGCAACTCATATGCACAATGCACTACGCGAGAGCCCAGTGTCACCATATTGACTAAAGAAAGCCCAACAGACTAACACAGTTTATCTGCTCATTTTGAAGTCCACACTCTTTCTGAGTCAACTGTGATTTGGATGTTTTGAGGGCAAGCGGATCAGGTGACACAGAAGCTTCATTGGAAAGGCTAACGCTGTCTTAATATGTTACCAGTGTTTATCCTGTTAAAACAAATATAATGCCCATACACTCAACATGTGCTATGTTTTTACTTGTGCTGCAGTATTATGTTTTTTTACTAGCAGCTGGTTTCCTTTGCACTGATCAGGTAGTGTAAAAAAACTACAAAAAACTGTGGATGTGTTTATTTCTCTCATACTGATATAATGAGCAGTCTTTAAGTGACAGACTTCAACTCAGGGGAAACACGGATGTGACCCAGCCTACAGTTTCTGCAGATTGTGCAGTATCCTTAACCTTAATTAATCATGAACTAATTTGTATTATTGTTTTTGTCATACTGAGATGTTTTGGTAAGATAACTGTGCTTTGTTTTGTCACTGCAGAGTTTCAAGGATGAGATGCAATAGGGAAAGAACTTTCTTGCTGGTGGGAGTTATGGGCTTCTTGGTATTTTATCTCAGTAAAGATTTTATGGACCACAAAAACATCCACCTCAACATAGATGTGAGAGGAGATGACATTAAAATAAGGCAACACACCCCGAATCACTCCTACGTCTACTCTTGGCCAAGATGTGAAAGAAATGTGTCTGCTGCAAACATTACAGGGTTCAGCTCCCTATCCGGTGAGATAAAAGACTTTCTCTATTATCGACACTGTAAACATTTCCCGATGCTACTGGACCTTCCTGACAAGTGTGGAGGAGTGGATAAATCCGCTGAAGTCTTCCTTCTACTTGTCATTAAAAGTTCTCCTGTGAACTACGAGCGCCGGGAGGTGCTGCGTAAAACCTGGGCTAAAGAGCGGTTGCACAATGGCGTGTGGGTCCGAAGAATCTTCATCTCAGGAACGATGGATACCGGATTTGAGAAAGAGAGACTAAACAAACTACTTGAGCTGGAGCAACGAGAGTACAGCGACATCCTCCAATGGGACTTTAATGAAAGATTCTACAACCTCACCTTGAAACAGGTACTCTTCCTTCAATGGATGGAGAGAAACTGTCCTAACGTTCGCTTCCTGTTAAATGGGGATGATGATGTTTTTGCCAACACAAACAACATGGTTGTGTATCTCCAAGGCCTCGAGAACAACGACGGAGGCAAGCACCTCTTCACTGGCCATCTGATCCAGAATGTGGGGCCCATTAGATATCCATCAAGCAAATATTTTATCCCAGTTCAGGTACAAGAATCAAACTCATATCCCCCCTACTGTGGTGGCGGGGGCTTCCTGCTGTCTGGCTTCACAGCTTCTGTCATATACAATATGTCCCAGTCCATAACTCTTCTCCCCATTGATGATGTTTACATGGGGATGTGTCTGGCTAAAGCAGGACTGAGTCCTTCTTCTCACATGGGTGTGAAGACGGCAGGACTGTACATTCCCTCCAGCAAACTAGATGGATACGATCCCTGCTATTATAAAGAAGTTTTACTGGTACACAGATTCCTTCCAGCTCACTTGTACCTTATGTGGAACAGGGTAAATAATCCCAATCTGAAATGCAATACCCAGCTAAAGGTATGAGGGTGATAATATATACTGATCATACATAGTCTTCATAAAAAGCCATAAAAGACCAGTTGTGCCTGTATGTTTGCATTCAGTGCACCTCACCCAGAAACCACTGCTAACTATGCAAAAGAGGTTTAGGAGGAATAAATGCCTTCGTGGAACTTTTTAAATACACAACCAAAATCACAAGGCATCTCCAGGAAGAAATGTAGAAACATGTTTTAATAGTAACATTGGTCTCCTAAATGTGTACCGAATAGTCAATGTTTATGCCCACAAAGTGATCATACTCCATATTGTTTTTTCATCATTACAGGCTTTGAGATGAAAATATATAGACTATAGTTTTTTATAAAATATGAACCAAAGAAATAATGTTGGTGTACATAATGTGTTTCCAGACCTTTACAGAGCACAGCTAATGTTTACACACACATTATATATATTAGGGCTGTTTGTTTGTTGTTTGTTGTTAATTACGTCAATTTTTCTAACACAATTCACGCATGCGCAGTGGGACAAATTATCAGGTCAGGAAAGTACCTCTTCCTCTAGGGAATGCACTTCATCTTATAGAACACATTACTGCCACCTGCAGGCATAAATCAGTACTCATCACAATAGATACTCACTAGGGAGGTGCCGTGCCGTTGGGAGCTAGATGCGAGGCGAGATGTAACAAGGAGTTTCAATTTCACCGGAGCTGTTCAAGCTTGAGCTACCATGTCAACGACAAATGTGTTTGCTGGGCCGTCAGGTTCAGCAAGTCGTTTGTTACTACCAGAGAGGTATCACTCCCACAGAGTGGCCTGAACGAACCACCCAGAGGCCGTCACGTGAGCCACAAGGATTTTTACACAGTGTTTTTTTCAATATGTGCGTGTGTGTTGTGGAAAAAATGGAGGCGCACTCCGGATAGGCGGGCAGAGGAGCATGGCGTTTGAGGTGGGCAGAGGAGCGTGGCGTTAGAGCAACTACAAGTAGCCTTTTGGCAGGCCGTGTCTTTGCTTACGGCCATACCACCCTGAACACGCCCGATCTCGTCTGATCTCGGAAGCTAAGCAGGGTCGGGCCTGGTCAGTACTTGGATGGGAGACCGCCTGGGAATACCAGGTGCTGTAAGCTTTTTAAAAAAAAAAGACAGAGGACCTGCTCTTTTGAACACCGCGTAAGAAGGTGGACACATTGCACCCAGGTTTTTTTTTTCTCCTGGGAGTCACAAGGTTTGTATGTTTTCGTACATTGTTGTCCTCAAAATTGCTGATGCACTGTTGGGTAAATTCGAAAAATCAAAACAAAAGGGAATTCTGCTCTTCTGATTTACACTGAAAGCCTGTGATAGAAGGTGGAGCTATTGCTTCCATGTCTTTTTTCTCTCTCTCGTGACCATGACAATTGAGGGAAGGAGACAGCATAACGGCTCAAAAAAGGGCTTTATTTTACAAATGAAAACAACTCAACATCTATTTTGTAACAGGTAACTTAAATCATACAAGCAGGGTATGCATTGCGGCGAAGAGCCCGCCGCGTATTCCGATCAGGTGGGCTTGATCACCCTTGGCTCACCACTCCCAGGTGCCCCAAGTTTGCAATCAACTAAAAACAAAGATGTTACTACCAGAGAGGTATCACTCCCACAGAGCGCGCCTGAAAGAACCAGCCAGAGGCCGTCACGTGAGCCACAAGGATTTTTACACAGTGTTTTTTTCAATATGTGCGTGTGTGTTGTGGAAAAAATGGGGGCGCACTCCGGATAGGCGGGCAGAGGAGCGTGGTGTTTGAGGTGGGCAGAGGAGCGTGGCGTTAGAGCAACTACAAGTAGCCTTTTGGCAGGCCGTGTCTTTGCTTACGGCCATACCACCCTGAACACGCCCGATCTCGTCTGATCTCGGAAGCTAAGCAGGGTCGGGCCTGGTCAGTACTTGGATGGGAGACCGCCTGGGAATACCAGGTGCTGTAAGCTTTTTAAAAAAAAAAAAGACAGAGGACCTGCTCTTTTGAACACCGCGTAAGAAGGTGGACACATTGCACCCAGGTTTTTTTTTTCTCCTGGGAGTCACGAGGTTTGTATGTTTTCGTACATTGTTGTCCTCAAAATTGCTGATGCACTGTTGGGTAGATTCGAAAAATCAAAACAAAAGGGAATTCTGCTCTTCTGATTTACACTGAAAGCCTGTGATAGAAGGTGGAGCTATTGCTTCCATGTCTTTTTTCTCTCTCTCGTGACCATGACAATTGAGGGAAGGAGACAGCATAACGGCTCAAAAAAGGGCTTTATTTTACAAATGAAAACAACTCAACATCTATTTTGTAACAGGTAACTTAAATCATACAAGCAGGGTATGCATTGCGGCGAAGAGCCCGCCGCGTATTCCGATCAGGTGGGCTTGATCACCCTTGGCTCACCACTCCCAGGTGCCCCAAGTTTGCAATCAACTAAAAACAAAGATGTTACTACCAGAGAGGTATCACTCCCACAGAGCGGCCTGAAAGAACCAGCCAGAGGCCGTCACGTGAGCCACAAGGATTTTTACACAGTGTTTTTTTCAATATGTGCGTGTGTGTTGTGGAAAAAATGGAGGCGCACTCCGGATAGGCGGGCAGAGGAGCGTGGCGTTTGAGGTGGGCAGAGGAGCGTGGCGTTAGAGCAACTACAAGTAGCCTTTTGGCAGGCCGTGTCTTTGCTTACGGCCATACCACCCTGAACACGCCCGATCTCGTCTGATCTCGGAAGCTAAGCAGGGTCGGGCCTGGTCAGTACTTGGATGGGAGACCGCCTGGGAATACCAGGTGCTGTAAGCTTTTTAAAAAAAAAAAAGACAGAGGACCTGCTCTTTTGAACACCGCGTAAGAAGGTGGACACATTGCACCCAGGTTTTTTTTTTCTCCTGGGAGTCACGAGGTTTGTATGTTTTCGTACATTGTTGTCCTCAAAATTGCTGATGCACTGTTGGGTAAATTCGAAAAATCAAAACAAAAGGGAATTCTGCTCTTCTGATTTACACTGAAAGCCTGTGATAGAAGGTGGAGCTATTGCTTCCATGTCTTTTTTCTCTCTCTCGTGACCATGACAATTGAGGGAAGGAGACAGCATAACGGCTCAAAAAAGGGCTTTATTTTACAAATGAAAACAACTCAACATCTATTTTGTAACAGGTAACTTAAATCATACAAGCAGGGTATGCATTGCGGCGAAGAGCCCGCCGCGTATTCCGATCAGGTGGGCTTGATCACCCTTGGCTCACCACTCCCAGGTGCCCCAAGTTTGCAATCAACTAAAAACAAAGATGTTACTACCAGAGAGGTATCACTCCCACAGAGCGGCCTGAAAGAACCAGCCAGAGGCCGTCACGTGAGCCACAAGGATTTTTACACAGTGTTTTTTTCAATATGTGCGTGTGTGTTGTGGAAAAAATGGAGGCGCACTCCGGATAGGCGGGCAGAGGAGCGTGGCGTTTGAGGTGGGCAGAGGAGCGTGGCGTTAGAGCAACTACAAGTAGCCTTTTGGCAGGCCGTGTCTTTGCTTACGGCCATACCACCCTGAACACGCCCGATCTCGTCTGATCTCGGAAGCTAAGCAGGGTCGGGCCTGGTCAGTACTTGGATGGGAGACCGCCTGGGAATACCAGGTGCTGTAAGCTTTTTAAAAAAAAAAAAGACAGAGGACCTGCTCTTTTGAACACCGCGTAAGAAGGTGGACACATTGCACCCAGGTTTTTTTTTTCTCCTGGGAGTCACGAGGTTTGTATGTTTTCGTACATTGTTGTCCTCAAAATTGCTGATGCACTGTTGGGTAAATTCGAAAAATCAAAACAAAAGGGAATTCTGCTCTTCTGATTTACACTGAAAGCCTGTGATAGAAGGTGGAGCTATTGCTTCCATGTCTTTTTTCTCTCTCTCGTGACCATGACAATTGAGGGAAGGAGACAGCATAACGGCTCAAAAAAGGGCTTTATTTTACAAATGAAAACAACTCAACATCTATTTTGTAACAGGTAACTTAAATCATACAAGCAGGGTATGCATTGCGGCGAAGAGCCCGCCGCGTATTCCGATCAGGTGGGCTTGATCACCCTTGGCTCACCACTCCCAGGTGCCCCAAGTTTGCAATCAACTAAAAACAAAGATGTTACTACCAGAGAGGTATCACTCCCACAGAGCGGCCTGAAAGAACCAGCCAGAGGCCGTCACGTGAGCCACAAGGATTTTTACACAGTGTTTTTTTCAATATGTGCGTGTGTGTTGTGGAAAAAAGGGAGGCGCACTCCGGATAGGCGGGCAGAGGAGCGTGGCGTTTGAGGTGGGCAGAGGAGCGTGGCGTGCGGTTAGAGCAACTACAAGTAGCCTTTTGGCAGGGTGTGTCTTTGCTTACGGCCATACCACCCTGAACACGCCCGACCTTGTCTGATCTCGGAAGCTAAGCAGGGTCGGGCCTGGTCAGTACTTGGATGGGAGACCGCCTGGGAATACCAGGTGCTGTAAGCTTTTTAAAAAAAAAAAAGACAGAGGACCTGCTCTTTTGAACACCGCGTAAGAAGGTGGACACATTGCACCCAGGTTTTTTTTTCCCCTGGGAGTCACGAGGTTTGTATGTTTTCGTACATTGTTGTCCTCAAAATTGCTGATGCCCTGTTGGGTAAATTCGAAAAAATCAAAACAAAAGGGAATTCTGCTCTTCTGATTTACACTGAAAGCCTGTGATAGAAGGTGGAGCTATTGCTTCCATGTCTTTTTTCTCTCTCTCGTGACCATGACAATTGAGGGAAGGAGACAGCATAACGGCTCAAAAAAGGGCTTTATTTTACAAATGAAAACAACTCAACATCTATTTTGTAACAGGTAACTTAAATCATACAAGCAGGGTATGCATTGCGGCGAAGAGCCCGCCGCGTATTCCGATCAGGTGGGCTTGATCACCCTTGGCTCACCACTCCCAGGTGCCCCAAGTTTGCAATCAACTAAAAACAAAGATGTTACTACCAGAGAGGTATCACTCCCACAGAGCGGCCTGAAAGAACCAGCCAGAGGCCGTCACGTGAGCCACAAGGATTTTTACACAGTGTTTTTTTCAATATGTGCGTGTGTGTTGTGGAAAAAATGGAGGCGCACTCCGGATAGGCGGGCAGAGGAGCGTGGCGTTTGAGGTGGGCAGAGGAGCGTGGCGTGGCGTTAGAGCAACTACAAGTAGCCTTTTGGCAGGCTGTGTCTTTGCTTACGGCCATA